TTCAAAATATAATTGTGAAAGGGACACGCACATATGTATATGCATGCAATCTGACAATTAACATTTAACCAAGGAGAAAAGCACGCCACAACCAAGGTAAAACTTTCTGCACTGCATCACAACCGACCTAATAGTAAAGTATTTTAGTAACGTTTACTTCCACCTCTGCTCATTGGCTATTTGAAAATGATTTTTTTAAGGTGATATCTGCTCAACAAAAAATATCGAATTAATTGGAAGGTTATAATGGTCATAGAAGCAGACTTTATAAGAACATAGGGTGTGGTAAAATACTTGCGTACCTGCTTAACTGAGACATAGACATAGACCTTAACTGTGCCATCAAGTCGATTTTTCCTACTTCCTTAATTGATTTCAGTTTACACATTTTTATTTTTATTTCATTTTCGTTCTTCAAATTATTGAGAGGAGGGCGAAAAGATATTCTTTCCCCTTCTCTATTTTTATTGGGGATGGAGATGATCGCCGTCAACGTCCCCTTATTCTGCATCTATTATACTGGTACTATTTCATAGGTCTATATGAATCTATGGAACTAACGTATATTTCCACAAAAAAAAAAAAAAAAAAAACGAAAGTGAGAAAGTGTACAAAATATAAATTGAGATGCCCTACATTTTTTAATTTTTTTTTTTAATAATACTTTATTTATTCTGGGACGAGTCACTATAGAATAACACAGAAAGACAGAAGTGTGGGCTAAGGAGCCTTAGAGATATATAAACAAAAATACAGAGTAATTAAATAGTCAAAATAAAAAATACACACATATATATATATATATATATATATATATATATATATATATATATATATATATAAAGTTACTTTATAATTTTCATCAGTTAATAATAAAAAATTGAAAAAAATAATGAAGAACGATCTAATAATTTATATACATATTTACAGTAGCATCTGTTAACAATTTTATGGGGACTGGATGGATAAGAAAAAATTGAACAGGTGGAATTTAAAGGTTGGAAGGGATTTGAATTGACGGATATGAGAAGGAATGGAGTTCCATAGGGATGAGGATCGGATAATGAACGGCCTGTCGAAAGCAGCGGTAGGTAGGCCCTTATATATAAGACCGGGATCGAGCACTATGGGACCGAACAGAGGATTTGAATTGAAGGAATTCGGAGATGTATGAAGGGCGGTGGGATTGGATGACTTGAAAGAGGAAGGATGCCAGGAAATACTTACGCCAGTAGGAAGGATAAAGCCACTTCAACTCTGCAAAAAACGGGAAACAGGTGTCTCTTGGAATCCCAAAGATCCCCAATCGTACAAAGCAATTTTTCAAACGTTTTAGTTTCGCCTCGAGATACCCAGAGACATACACCGTACAGCAATAGTCAAAGTGGGGCACAATTAAGGAAGAGACTAGGAGCCTATGGGTTTCAAGGGGAAACAGTAATTTAGACGTTTTAAGGTGAAATGGTGCGACGGGAGATATTGGATACATGTTTTTTCCAGGAAAGCGTTTGAATCAAAGTTATTCCAGGGTTTTACGTGGAGGATACAATTTATATCGTTTTATCAATGTTACGAAAAAGAGTTGAATTATATTTATGAACATTTTAAGAGTGATTGAAGCCTATTAAGATTGCCTTTATATTTTTCCGCATTGAATTTCAACTTGTAGCTCTCGCTCATACACAAATCCTAGCCAAGTCTTCTTGTAAGTTTTTTTCTGTGGCTGATAATACGAATAACGTCCGATGTCAGAAGACAAGGTATATATGAAAAAACCAGCATAATATGGTAGTGGGAGGATGCTCAGAGTTAGATCATTAAAAAAATAGCAAACAAGTAGAATGGAGAGGAACAGCAAGGATAAGGAGGGGTCTTAAAGAGTTGACCTGGACAAACAAACTGGGACCGATTTGAAAGAAGGATTTTAACCCACGCAGGATATTGTCAATAAGTAAGGATGGGTGTTAATAACTGTTTCAAAGGTTTGGAAAAATCTAAAAGATGAAGAATTAGAGGTTTTTGGTGTTCAATGGAGTTTTGGAGATCATAGTTCTTCCTGGTATGAACAGTGACTAGTAGTAAATCTAATAAAATAAAAATTGGTTCTATAATCTTCATAATCCTGTTTTAGGGGTTCAGAAACTGATAAAAATAAAACTCAATCCTATCTAATTCAAGTCTTCAATACAGAGCAAAGGTCTATCATTTAATGATTATCAGATTTCTTTTACACTATCTAATGATCCAGTCCAAAAATTAATCCCAAAAAAAATTTAAGGCAATAACTTCAATTAGTTATACCATTCAGGAATTCATACAGATTTAATTTCCTTAACACTCAATTTAATTCACTTCATAAATTTTTTAAATTGTAGTTTTCCATACAGATTGACAGATTGAAATATAATTTTAACAAATACGTAATATGAATTTGATAAAAGACATTGAATTTTAATTCTAATTTATCAATTTTATTTTTAATTAAAAATTTAAGATCTGTAGAATTGTTTTCTAAATCTAGGTATAAATAGATATTAACAAATGTCAAAAATAGGAAATTATGAAGCATAATACATTACACAGTGGGCCAGACCCCTTACCGTGCACCCCCCCACATCCCTATAGATTGCATATTGTTGTGTTCCTTGTGACAATTTATTAAAAAAAAAGCCAATGTTCCCACAAAAAAAAGTGAACGAACTGCCCCAAAATGGCGTATTGACGACTTTGACTTTAGTTAGTTTTTTTGTTACTGAGAATTAGCATTTGGCTTAATTTCATCATAGTTGGTCTTTTATTAAAGCCATATAATGGATACTGATCCTTGTTTTCTTTTCCGAAATTTTGGCACTTCCTTTGTTGTTCGCTTAATGTATTTTTCCAATGTTTGGGTTCTACTAGAAGAACTTATAGCTTCGCCCTTTCCATCCTTATTTTGTGCAGAGAGAATAATGCATTTAGTATTAAAATTTCGTATTTTTTGTGATATGGTCCAACATCCAAAAAAAATAAAGGAAATAAAAATAATTTTTTTAATAGCGATATATGAATTTTACTAAACAATCCATCACCTATTCATTGAAAGTAGTTCAGATTAGGTATTTATTATTTTAGTTTATAAAACAGATATTAAATTACCTATACATATATAGAAGTATATACAATTTAAATTACCTCTAAGAATCAGTAAATATATAAAACAAAATGTTAAATTGCAAATATTAAATAAAAAATTCAAGATATTCTGTAAAGTATTTTTGAATTAAATTTTATTATTATAATTATATAATTTTTATAATAGAGACCTTCTTAAGCGACCTCAGTATAGAATAAAGGAAGTTAAATTTTAAAAAATAAATGATGATAAATAAAAAAAATAATAATAAATTTAAAAAAAAATTGTTTTTTTACATTTAAATTATTGTATTAATATTTGTTCGTTAATACAATCAATATAATATAACAAAAACGTTATTATAGCATTATAACTAAGCCATTTATGAGTACTGAGTGGTGTGGTAGAGGCCTGAAGGCACCCACGCCAGTAGCGCTTTTCTGCCGCTTAAGTACATTTTCTACGAAAGTACTTCAAATATTTTAAATAGTAATTAGTGTTTTAGAAAGAGAAATGTATTCTCCAGAAGTTTTGCATTATTGTTGACTGTTTAATTACAAACGACGCTTGATTTTCAACTTGAAAATTTTTTTGTAAAAAAAATTGACTACTGATTTTTTTTAATGCCTAAGCCAATTAGTTTAAAAAAAAAAAATCATGTTTTATTATTCTCTGACTATCCAGCTTTAATAAAAGACCAACTATGATGAAATTAAGCCAAATGCTAATTCTCAGTAACAAAAAAACTAACTAAAGTCAAAGTCGCCATGTTTGGACGCCATTTTGGGGCAGTTCGTTCACTATTTTTTGTGGGAACACTGGCTTTTTTTTAATAAATTGTCGCAAGGAACACAAAGACATGCAATTTATAGGGATGTGGGGGGGGGGAGGGAGTGCACGGTAAGGGTGTCTGGCCCACAGACTACATGGGTTTGATGCACTAAAATACACTTGACATAACAAACAAAATTATTGTTTGAGTAAGAAAGATAATTTATGTTTAAAAAAATGCTCTGAAAAAAATAATAAATCTCAACTTAAACATGCAATTTTGAATAATAATACAAACTGAAAAATTAAGATAATTTTGTCAATTATAAATAGATGAACCTCTTTTTTTTCTATTGGCATAACAGACCATGTAGTTTTTTTGCCGCCTTAACAAGCCTGCTCCATCTCTGCCTGTCTTGGCTATTTCTTTCCATTTATCTGCAAGCAGCTCTATTGCATCTTTGTTGATTTTATCTATCCATCCGCTTCTTGGCCTTCCAAGTGATCTTTTGCCTTCTATTGAGGCATTCATTGTTAATTAGAGGCTTCCATGGATGGATGGATTGCTATGAGCTACATGCCTCACCCATCTTAACCCCTGTGGCTTCATATCATGGCATATTGATTGACCAGTTTCTTTAAGCAGTTCTTTATTGGTCTTTCTTCTCAACGTGTTAGTACTCTGATCCCAGACTGCTCCAGTTATCGTAGTGAGGATTTTTGTCTCAAGTCTTTCAACACTTTTTTCTAGGGTGCTGGTTAGTGTTCAGATCTCACAGCCATATATTAGAACTGGCTTTATCATAGCATTGTAGACCCTTAATTTGAGATTTTTAGGGATTTCAATACCTTTGAAAGGGAGAAGAAAGCTCTGTTTGTTATTAGTTATACGCTGGTCTATTTCTGCCAGTCGATCATTCATTGATATTATTGTGGAGCCGAGGTATTTGAATATTTCTACTCTCGGGAAAGATTTTCCTTCTATGCAGATCCTGTTATTGGGGAGGGGGGATTTTCAGCTTATTATCATATATTATTTCATTTCTCTTCATCTCTTTCATCTACAACTAAAAAATCAATAAATGAAGGAAGAGGGATGAAAATATTGTGGTTTAATAAACTTTAGCTTTCTTAAGAAAATTTTATAAAAATAAATATACACATAAAATACATAAAATAGATGTAACTATTTATATGGATGAAATCACTCCTTACTATTTAATCTATTAACTGTAATTTAAAATTATATATAAATAAAACAAACTATTTTCAGAATAATTTACATTATTGAGGTAATCTGTTATAAAACTTGTCAACACCTGTTTAAACAAAAATGTTTCGATAAGTAAGTACATTTGAAATGAAAGTTAGACTGTACACTTTACAAATTATTGAACTCCTGATAACAATTGTTTTTTACAATACAAAAACTTCACAAACCAGTCTATAAAATATATATATTTACAATAAGGCTTAACCAAACTAAATTGGTGAATATTTCAGAACTTAGGAAGAGGAATGTATACCCCTCTACCTCTACCTCTACTACCACTGCCAACGGCTTTCTTCTTTGGCGATGGCTTTTTCTTAGCCCTGGGGTACCAAAAATAAAAATATTAATAGTATAATAATGACAATAATAGAAAATAAAGAAAATAATACAAAATTACCCTTTAAAATTTCGTCGAGTAACGCTCCTATAAAAACAAAAAACGGTAAATTGCATAAGAATAAATTTTAAAATAACTTAATCTATCACTAACCAATTAATAATAAAAAATATATACCTTGTTGAAGAACCAGCGGAAGAGGTGCTCCTGTAATAAGAATATTATGTGATCTTAGTAAGCTATTAGTTTTATGCAAAATTTTAATACTATAAATAATAGATCACAGTTGGGCGTTAATGAATAAATTTTTATTCGAATAATTAATTCAATAATTTTTCATTCAATAAATTTTTAGTGATCGATGATTCCTAGAATAACCAGTTGTTCTGATTTATTCTGAGAATTATTCATTATTTCTATTGGAAAAACAAATTATTCAATAAACATATGTTTGAATAAATATTTATTCTAAGAAAATATCCACTGAATAAAAGTTTATTCAGTGAAAAAGTTCACTGAATAATCATTTATTCTATCATAAACCATTTATAAAAAAAGAATTTATCTTTTTTACTTGCATTTATGTAATACATAGTAAGTGTAAGTATTATGATCGAGAAAATTTTTTAATCCGAGTTTTCAATGGAAATACACGTTTTGGGGTACCCTGAGTCCAAATAACCAAGTCCCAAAAATGGTCTGTGTCGTGTGTATGTTAGTCAGTCTAGCTCAAAAACAAAAAGTCGTAAGAAACTGATATTACGTATTTAAGATAGGTGTATGCCTTAGATGTGACAGCAACTTTTTCCTCAAAATCGGCTAACCGGAAGTGCCACTTTATATCAACGCTGAAACACATTTTCACAATTTTCTCAAAAACAGCTTGATTAAACTCTGTGTATCATTGTATAATTAAGTGGTCTTTACCAATCAGATCTTATCCTCATTGATGTCACTTTACAGGGCTTAAATGCCCAACATCCATATAAGTCTTCCTCTAAAGTACCTTTAATACGGTTTAGTTTAAAAAATTAATCTCAAGTTATTCAGAGTTACGAAAAAATGCTAAATATAACCTTTGAAAGAATTTGATAATTGAATAAAGGAGAAAAAAATAAAAATGCTAATCCAGGTCGAAAATGAATCTCCGGAAATACCAGTCAGAAGGTATACGTATAATATATCGTTGGAAAGCGAAGAATTTTAGAAAACACAATATCTAATATAGAAAATTGTAGAAGGTAAAGGAGAGTAGCGAAAACATTATAAATAATAATGTCAGAAAACTAACATTATTTAACGTAAATCACATGTTTCCAAGGAAATTAAATGAAATTTCCTTACTATATGTAAACTTTTAAATGTTTTTCTAAGATTGAAAAAAAAGTATTTAAAATTCACCGAATAAAGCCAATGCCATTGTTTAAAATACTATTTCATTGTACTTGTGTGAAAGAAGAAGTAAAATATAAAAATAATTCATGGATATGTTTATAACCTCAAATATATTTACTATAGAGTATTAACTCTAGTTAAGATGTTATATTTCACTAATTAAGTACCTATCAGCCGTTTATTCCAAAAAATGATCAAGTAACCTTTTAGAAAATTAAATTAGTGAATAATTTGATGAATTTTCCCTTTGTCAAATAACATTATCCTCTTACAATTAGTGTAACAACTTTTGACCGATCCATGGCAAGGCAATGGAAATCTCGTAATTAGGTTTTAGTAAATTTTACAATGAAAAATAACAGGTTAATAACTAATAGTCCTACGAGGCATAATCATTTATAGGTTAAATATTCAGATATAATTTTAAATATCTCTAGGCAAATATGAGCCTTTCGGTTGACAGAATGACTAACTCCAATTTCAACATTCTTTATTACACATTTTAGTGATGTTTCTAGTGGCAAAATTTATACCTTAATTCACAGTTCTATATTTCAACACTGCAATCACCTACTCCAGAATCAACTTACTCACTGTCTGTATAGATAACTTTTTCAACTAGAAATACCACTAAAATGACATTACTAAAAAATTTTGAAATTGGAGTTAGTCATTCTGTCAACTGAAAGGCTCAGAGACTGAAGTTGTGTGGTTTATAAAAGCAGATGGGGTAACTAGATTTTTATTGCCTACCGTAGATATAATAAATAGACTTTTTGTAATTTTAATGGTCTTAATGATTTGTTATCTGTAAGCTTTAACTTACCGTTCTGGTGAGTGTGCATGGTGTATTGAAATTTGGTAACCCGTGGGAGTGCTACTCCTTGCGGAAAGTCTGTGTGTGTAAGTATGTCATCTATCAGTCTAACTCAAAAACGAAAAGTTGTACAAAACTGAAAATACTTATTTAAGTCAGGTATATACTTGAGATGTTACAGCAACTTATTCAATAAAATCGGATAACCGAAAGTGACACTTTATATCATTGATTTTACACATTTTTACAATTTTCCCAATTTTCAATAAACAGATGTACTTTTAAATCTTACTAGACATATATAGCTCAGCACAGCAACTGGAGTTATGTGGTTTACAAAAACAAATAAAGTTACGAGGTTTTCATTGCCTACCGTTGGCATAATAAATATGGTTTGTTATTTTAATGGTATTAATTAATTCTTAGCTGTAAGGAAGGCTTAAGCTTAAGCTCTGTTAAAAGTGCCCTTCAAACATTTTATAATAGCCTAACATTGCCAAAAAATAATTTCTATTCAAAGTACAATGGTAAGTGAAAGTTGTGTGATGCGCGTGCGCACCAAATTTTTTTTTTTAAATCTGATGTGACTAAATATTAACTATGAAGTATTTCATAGAACAATATTAATAATCCTTATAATAGTCTAAAATGACAATACCTGCCCCTAGCCCTTTTAGCTCGCCCTCGACCTCTGAATCTTCCTTTTCTCTTCGTTCCAATCTGTACAGAAACAGGAGATTCGAAATACGGAGAGCTTTCCCATGATTCACCTGATGGACCTGCTTCTTCAGTTTCTTTATTTGCTCTTTCACACAGCAAAACTGTGAAAACAATATATAAATAAAAAGGAAATGCTATAGTAGAAACATAATTATATATAATATGTAATGACTAGAAATTGGATTTCTGTTATGGTACATTTCAATTGCAGGCATGTAAAAACTACGAATATGATTACAGGGTGGCTACAAAACTGTTGAAATAAAATTTCCTAACTTTTCTCTACGTAATAAACGTTTTCCCTGACCAATATGTCAGGGGACAAAAAAAAAAAAAAACCTGTACCACTACAACCCGTGAAGGGTCTTGGATTCAGTACTGTTTAGGGAAAGCACTGTTTCTTGGTTTACGGTTGTGCAAGGAGGTGATTTGACCAAGACCACGCTCAACTGCCAGGTTTTTTCTCTCAATTAATTATTTTAATTAAGAGTACCCACTTTATAGAGGCTGGGTGTGCCCCAGGGGGGTCTACCTACACAGGGTGGCCCCACAGCCAATGAAACAGAATAAATAACTTTTTCAGCCATAAGCCAGGATTCGGACCTGGGAACTTAAGCATTGGAAGCTCAGTAAAAATGTATAAGGACAAAGATGTTAAAAATGTATAGTTTATAGACTGTACAGACTTATTTTTACTCTAAACTTGTAAATAACATGTTCGGGGTCCATTAGTAAATAACCCGGTTTGGAGGGCAATTGTGAATAGCCTTCCGCTTCGTAGGGGGACTAGGTTATTTACACTCATGATTTAATTTTCTTAAAACAAAACCCTGGCACTGGATATAGACTTTTTGAGGGTGTTTAACTGTCATTGGGAATTCGGGAACCTAATACTTTTGTGACACTGAGTGACAAGAAATAATAAGAATATATATACCTGAAATGTGGGACTGAGTAAATACACTTCGAATGAATTGACTCACCTGGTTTGTTATTCTTCAATTGTGAGGCCTATAGGACAACTAAATAAATAAATGACTTTTCACTCCTATCACAACAGTTGCTAATTAGCCAAAATTGCTTTGACAAAACACAGCCGATTTCACCAGGTGCTATGTATTTTTATAAAAGGCCCATAAATACTTTTTCTTTATTTTGGTTCAACTTGTCATTTCTCACAATCATTTCGATTGAATATCAAAAGGCACTCAAACACATACATCTATAAGCTTTTCAGGTATTAATATTATAAATTAAGCACAAACTATGATTTGGGCATTATTGAATCGTGCTAATTATATGATTTTACGCTTTTAGTGTTTTTAATGCATGAAAATCCGGTCTCTAGTGATGACAGATCCCATTAAGGTATTCTATTATTACATTTGAACTACTAAAAAGACTGTCACTGAGCCAGGTAATAAGCTTGGTTTTGAACTAAGCTTACTCTGGCCTACCCATCTATCTTAGTATAAATTAAGTTTCAAACAATAATTTGTTTAATCTATGGTTAAAGTGAAACTGAAATACAAATTTTCAATTGTAATAAATTATAAATATAGAGCAGAGTAGCAAATTAAGTAAAACACTGTGCTCCAATGCTCCTGGTTCTGATTTCAAATCCGGCAGTGGTAGGTAATTATTTACTCTGATTCATGAACTGTGGATAAATCCAGGGGTCAACAGATCTTTCTGGGGTACACTCAGCTTCTATACAGTGGTTAATTTTATTTAATGAATTATAAGGCACAACTGATAATTGGCTGATGGCAAAGCATTATTTCAGTTAAATCATCTCTCTGCACAACCGTTGACCAAGAAACAACACTTTCTTGAAAAGTAATGCATTCCAGACCCTTAATGAGTTGTAATGGTAAAATTAAAAAAAAATTCATAAATTATAAATAATCAATACTGCAGCCAGGATTTTTTTCATGAGGTAGATTAGGTTAAGTTAAAAAATAAATTAGCTTTTGACTCAACAGACAACATTTGATCTTATAATATTGCATTTCAATAAAAAATCTTACCGTCTCTAGCAAAAGCATATTCTGAAATAATTTCCAAGAGCTGTTGACCATATTTATCGAAATTCGCTTTTGTTACTCCAACAACATTAAGCATTTCTTCTTCAGTCTCAGGTAACGACTGGGACATAGCTTTCAAAGCCTGCAAATAATTCTTAATAAAATATTCCGTAAAACCCAATTAATGGGCAGATAAATATACAAAAATACTAAATTGTTAAATTGTAATTGACCTAATACAAATAGGTATACATTTTTTTTAATGTCTGTTATGTGGACTAGGGTAGCCCAATAAGGAAGGACACATTGGGGCCAGATTAGATTGTGGGCAGATTTATTTGTACACTTTGTGGATCAACTTCAGGTTGGAACTTGAAAATTAAGTATTACTTTCAAAATATAAAAAAATGAACTGAACTGCCTTGAAGGGCTATCTGTACTTGGATCAAATCAAAAGACCTACGTCCATATTCTTTTACTAATTTCACATATTAATTGGTGAAATTAATTGAATACATATTTATCTTTCCTGTAATTGAGTAAAATTTGACACTTAACACTATAGTCCGTGGTACAGACCCCTTAAAATCAAATTATTAACATCCGTCTGAAACTTCGTAAATAGCTTCATCTCATTGTAACCTATAAATATTTTATTTACAAAAATTCTCGGGAGAGTTTTCAATCGGGAGTTCAGCAAAGATTGTCTATTTAATTTAGGTACTAAAAACTCGTAAATACCCATTTGCTTTCCACTTGGATCATAAGATAATTTGATCACAAAACCGATAAAAAATGTGACCTACAAAAATATTGGGCCGTTTAGTCAGTATAACCTCTTTATTTTGACAATTTGGGGATAAAGGTCACGCCAAACAGCTCAATATTTTTTAAGGCCACCTTTTTCCTCAAGTTATCTTACAATTCAAGCGGAAAGCAAATCGTATTTACGAGTTTTTAGTACCTAATTAAATAGACAAAGTTTACCAATGTCCAGATTGAAAACATCCCAATTCCGAGAATTTTCATAAATAAAATATTTGTAGATTACAATGAGCTACAGCTATTTACATAATAATTTGTTAAAAAGGGTTCTATACCATGGACTATTTTTTTGCTATTGGTCTATGCCTTGATAATCTTTCAACAGGTCAATCAATTTTATTTTGTTTTTTTTTATTCCGTAGAGCTCTATACAAGAATGTATATATTCAATATTACAGGCTATCCCATATAGTCACAGAACCCTTTTTATAGAATTACTAACATCTGCCTGAAACTTCGTAAATAGCTTCATCTCATTGTAACCTACTAATATTTTATTTGTGAATATTCTCAACATTAGAGCGTTTTCAATCTGGAGATCAGCAAACTTTGTCTACTTAATTAGAAACTAAAAACTGATAAATACCCATTTGTTTTCCACTTGAATTGTAAGATATAAAAAAAAAAAGAAAATGTGGCCTACAAAAATATTGGGTCTTTTGGCCTACATAACTTCGTTATTTTGAAACATTGGAGGTGAAGGTCATGCCAAACAGCCCAATATTTTACAAAAGCTATTTACGAAGTTTCAGGTGGATGTTAATAATTTGATAAAAAGGGGTCTGTACCACGGACTAATAAGTAATAGGAAATTGAAGAGGTGATAATAGACTTCAAGAGTAACAAAAAGGTATACATAGACAAAGGTCCTATACCACACAGAAAAGCTGGAAATTTAATCTTTGCTTTGGACATTTAATTTAAATTTTATTTTATTATATAACCTCTTTTATTGAATTGGAAGTAATTTACATAAAGAAAAAAAAAATAAGTGAAAAAATGTGTATGTATATATAATTTTTTTAGCTATCACTGCATATTTAACATATATAATTGAATAAGTAGGATTTTATCACAGGACCAACAAACACCATGCAGACAAATATGTTTTTCAGAGATGGAAATTAAAATTATTTGTTTTAAATTATAATATTTAGTGTTGACTGGCCTATATAAATTAAAAATTACAAATTAACTAATAATACTCATTAAATGTTTTAATTTCTATCATTAACACAACATAGATTTTGACCCACCTCAGCTGTCATAACAGAATTAGTAGAAACATGCAACTGTAGAGCTATCTCTCTAACTTTTTCCCTGAGAGCAGCGTAGCATGCATCTTCTATCTTTTTAACCTCCTCATTTTCTGTCTCTGCATCTTTCGTAGAACTCGTAGAAGCCACAGCCCCCTTCCCTTTTCCATTGCTGCTATCCTTTTTCATAGGTAGTTCTACCTGTAAATTAAATACATTTTTTAATTTATAACATAATTATGCTGTTAACATATATTCATTTGGTAATTTTTTTCACTACCATTTACAAAATGATGGTGTTTCTTTATCACTATTTGGTAAAAATTATTATTTAATTAATATTAATATATTTATTAGCTTAAATGCAATGAAACCATAGTAATCTGGCTCAATTGTTCTTAGTCTAACTGGAATCGATTATTTTCTGTAATATACATAAGACAAATTTTTATCATTTGGCTATTGGTGATTGTTTGCAAAATGATGAATTTTCATCATGCGGATAAATATGTGTTAATATTTTGATACCTGAAGAAATTATGATCAATTAGGACCAAAATCGTAATTCTTCGTGTAGCATTGATCAATTCCTCATTAATTAAATTTACTTTTTAACTTATTCACTATAATATGGTTAACATTAGGAGACAATATTATTTCTTTCTTATAAACCAAATAACTTCGAGTAGTAAAATTTTAAACGTCATGAAATTGGTCAATTTCAGACATAACATTTTAACATTGTTAGAACGAATATGTTTTTTACTTCCTTCTTCATGAAACCTCAAAATCGGATATTAACATCTCTAGTTAAAATGTTTTGAAAAAAAGGTAATCGGTCTGTCTTATTAGAACAGAACTTTAAATTTTAAGCCCTCAATATTTTACATGGCCAATATCGATATGGATAATCATTGGTCATGAAGGAGAATTGACCTATGCTTACTTATTAGTTCTGCTTAATTAATATTTTAAAGTATAATTTAACCCTTACTATAGAATGAGTCATAATACATCACACAAATAATATTTCATTTATCAAGCAACCAGTTATAAAATGTACTTGTAGGTAAATTAATGTTGTTTTATTGAAGATCTTGTGAAAATTTATGAACAGTTACAGGACTATTGATTAAAACACGAGCTAGTAAATAAATTTTAAGGCAGAATTAGAATAAAACAAATATTTGCACACATCTTTAAATAAAGGTTTGTTTAAAGCAAAAAAAAAAAATAAAAACTTTTATAAAATATACTATTCATATTTTATTCTTCATATTAGGTGTTTAAATTTGATTAAGCAACGTTGAAAAATAGACATACCTTAGCTTTACCTTGTATCAGCAGATCTGCTTTAGGGCCAACCTTGACGTAGGCATTTACTATCCCATCCTTCGATGCAACATGAATTTCACCTAAATAGCCATCAAGGGTCAGCTTATGAATCAATCTCTCGCTGTCAACTCTGTTCCACGATTTACCAAGACCATGAAGTCGCAATTTATTGTGACCTATCCAATTGATAATCAGTTAAATTGAAAATAAGTTTTAATAAAGATTTCAGAAGTTAGAATATAGTAATATCGAGACTTGTAAGACTCATGAACACAGAATGCAATCTGTTTCGGCTAGTAATAACAAAATGTTACATACAGGCTGGATTAGTAAATAGCTAGAAACATACACTCAATGAAATAACTAACCACTCTGGATTACTTTTTTAGAAGCACTTCCTTTAAAAATATCTATGATATGAAGATAGGTAAAGTTGCTTCCCCATGAACTGGTTCTAACATCACCACAAACTTCTTTGACAGCAGAAACTAATTCTTTGGCAATTGAGGTTACATCTTCAACATTGTATTCGTCCTGAAAAAATAAGGAATGCAAAAAATGATACATTCAATAACAAGCCAATTTATAAAATAAAGAATTATTTAACAAGATTGCGACATACAAACTAATTATACATTTTTTTAATAACTTATTTAAATAATAAATTGTTTCATTGACACAAAAAGGAATAGTTTCTTGTTATACTTTAGTACTAATAACTAAATCATATATGTTGATAGATCTAAGTTTGATAAAATGAAACATTATTAATAAATATCCAACCTTGCTAAGACAATTGTCACAAGCTGTACTTGGACGTGATCTACATTGTTCTCTACTGAACTGTTCACCAAAATAATTAAGCTGCATAACTCTTCTACACTCTGTTTTATTTTCACAGAACCTGACCATTTTCCACAAATTGTCTAAATGAGTCTTTTTTGATGCTTCAGTTCCATCACGGTCCACTGAAATTCATTCTTAGTTAACTTATAATTTATTAATAATATAGAAAGATAATAATAGATGAAACATTATTTATGAAATTTAATAAAAGATTTTACATTAAATTGTTGAAAAGATACATATTAATAGTTAATAGTTACTCTCAATAATCTTCCTAATGCGGTGCATGTCCTTATAACTATAATACAGTAGACAATTTGCTCGGTCTCCATCCCTACCAGCTCTTCCAGCTTCCTGATAATAACCTTCTAATGATTTTGGTAAAGAATAGTGAATGACATAACGCACATCTGGTTTATCGATTCCCATTCCAAATGCAATAGTAGCACATACAACCTGTTTAAAAATTAAAAATATAAACATATTAAATTTATAAATGATGCAATCGAAGAATAATACTGTTGAATATTAAAAAGTTAGGAAGTATAAATTAACTACTATTTATTTAGCCTAATCAACTAAATTGAATTATAAAATTAGAACTTTAGAAGACAATCTAATCTCCTTGAGAAAAACTTTTTCAGTCAAAAAAAAAAAATAAAAAAAAGGACAACTCAAAATAATTTAACAAACAATTTTAACTTTATCAATCAAAAGAACGAGTTATAAAGTTAGATAAAACATAATTTATTAAAAATATGACCTCTATCATCTACGAATTAGAGTTGTCCAAAGACAAGTTAAATTAGGGTGGTAGGGATGCTAGGTCAATGAATTTCGCAATATTTGGTCAACTATGCATCATAACCACTCATTGTTATTCAATATAATAAATGGTCTATTAGTTTTTTCAGGATATTGGGTGGGGTGGCTGAGCAGGCTGATGCATATGCAAAACATGTGTTGCCCGGAGCAACCTATGATAACCCAGTTTACGAGTTCGAATCCCGGTGAAGGAGAAATTTTTATCTCTGGCGTAATTCCCCTATCCTCTCTTCTGGACCAGGTTAAACCCCGTAGACCCTAAAAGGCGAGGAAGGGGAGAATAGGAAAAAAAAGTTTTAGCAGAGTTTAAGCATTTTTTTAAAAACTATTTTGTTTGCAAGTTTCATGGTTTTGATTTTAGAAGACTAGGAAACAATTTACTGTTTAAAACCACACTATATGTGAGAAACCTAATATTGCTTGAGCAAACTAGAAAATATAATAAAATGAGAATTAAAATAGCTTAGAAAATTACCTGTATTTTATCAGTAATCCACTTCGTTTGTACAGTGCAGCGCTGGTCATCGCTGAGTCCTGCATGGTATGCAGCAGCCTTAATCTGATTAAGCTTCAAATTATGAGCGAGAGAATCGCAGTCATTTCGAGAAAGGCAATATATAATACCACAATCTTTGGCAAACCTAATTCAAATTTACATCAATGCATCATTCATGACTTTTATTAAAATAAAATCATGATGTTAAAAAATTTACCTTGTTTTAAGAAGACCTAAGACTTCTAACAGAGCAGCTTTACCACTTAAGTTTCGTACTTCATATTTTAAATTAGGTCTGTCAAAACTTGACAAAAACCTGTAAAGAAAAAAAATTTAATTTATGGAACTGCGGAAATTGTTATGAAAAAAAATGTGCATTAAATTTATTAAATATATTTTATATGGAGGTATTTATTTGTTTTTGTTCTCATTTTTTAATATTTATTTGAAATAACTCTTTTAAAACAACAGATCCAATTTTTTTTTTAATCTCATACGTCGGTTTTTTTTTTTTTTTTCGTGAACAGAGTTTGTAGAGTGGCTTATGCAATAGAACATTAAACCTTTCTTAACTTGATTCAAGAATAAGGCTAAGCAACAGGGAAGAAATTCAGGGTGGCCTACAGTGTAGATCACTAAGCATAAAAGGGTTAATGGAGACCAGAAGTTTCTTGACCCTAAAGTCATTCCAGAAAATTTATTTTCTAAAGTCTGAGACACTATGCAATAGAACACTAAACGTTTCATAACTTGACTCAAGAATATGGCTAAGCACAGCAAAGAAATTCAGGGGGGCCTACAATATAGATCACTAAGCATAAAGGGGTTAATGGAGACCAGAAGTTTCTTGACCCTAGTCATTCAAAAAAATTTATTTTCTAAAATCATAGACTGAGCATTAGGACTCCAGTGTGTTACCCACTAAGCCATATTATTCTTTGATACATTTAAATTAACATAATGAAAAAGAATAATCACTCCCATAATAGCCCATGGAGATTCAATTAGTAATCTTCAATCTTCATTAGCATGTGCAAGTAAAAACATATAACATTGATTAATAAAGAAAATATACTATCTTACCCTTGACAGAATATTTGCTCATAAGCAATTTATAAATTTAAAGTTAAAAATATAGATTTACCACTTGGGTTCCTTCAAGGAAAGTTGATGAAGAATGTCTTTTCTAACTCGAGGTGTAGCGGTAGCCGTAAGAGCCATTATAGGAACATTAGGGTATTTCGTTCTCAGCAGTGAGAGCCGTTTGTAATCAGGCCTATAAACAGGTGTATTAAAAACATAAGTTGTAACAGAAATAAATTTACTAAATTTATTTGTTTAACTTATAAATATATATATACACATAATACATGTGAACATATAATTAGTTTGGATATTTATAAGTTGTATGTATAATACATGAAACTTGTTCATAGCAGATATATATTTATATATTATGGTCAAATAAATATTATTTCTCAACATTAATCTTCTTTTTTCAGAAATCTCCTATCCTTTGAAAAATAAATTATTTAAAACATAAATGGTCAATTGTTTACAATGCTTAGGTAATTGATAAATTTTTATAATAAAACATAATTTTTATGATATTCATAAATTCAATTGGAATCTAATTGACAAATCTAAAGTTACGCGAAGGAGGGTGGCTTTCTTCTCATCCAGTGTAAAATCTCAGTCTGAGTACTGCTAAGAGGTATTTATACATATATAAAGCAAAGAGGGGTAAATATATATATAAAATAAATATTACCTGAAATCATGGCCCCATTGTGAAACACAGTGTGCTTCATCAATAACAAATCTAGAAAGAAGACCATTATTGTACATGGTCTCAAAAACACTGTTCAATCTGTCACTATTTGATATTTTCTCAGGAGTAACAAAAAGTAGCTTGATATCTGAATGAAAAAATAATAATAAGAAAAGTATAAGAAAACTAAAGATACAGCGCAGAAACACAGTTAGTAAAAAATATCAAAACTTTGTATACCTGTTTGATTTTTGTTAACACTTAAATGGTGATATATTCTGTTAGCTTCAGTAAGACTTGCTTCACTCGTAAGACAAGCTGCATTAATCTGAAATTTCAATAAATTTATATAAAACATTCAAAATTAATCAATATTAACTAAAATAAATTATTTAATTATTAAAAAATAAATCTTTGGTATCTTTAGTTACCAAAGGATTAGTTTTATTAAAAAATAAAATAACAAATAATCTGATGTAATGGTTTAGTTACATCAGATTATTTGTTCCTCAATAATTGTCTATGATTAATAACATTTATTATGTATTTTATTAAATGTATGAAAAGTTTAAATCATTCAATTATAAAAATAACACGAACTCAACAAAAAAAAGTATATTACATCAAGAGATTTCAATTTTTCAGTTTGATCGAAAATGAGTGACTTGAGTGGAGATATGACAATGGTAGTGCCTTTACTTAAAATAGCAGGCAGTTGGTAACAAAGTGACTTTCCTCCACCAGTAGGCATCAGTATGAAGCAGTCATAGTTTAGCATGGCAGCATTAATGGCTTCCATCTGGTTAGGCCGAAATTTATGAAGTCCAAATTTGGTACGGAATACCTGGGAATAAAAAATAAAAACAGTTAAATAATCTATTCCCAATTTCTACTAATATAGTAAACGACCATATCATAATTATATATCAAAATGTATAAATATTAATACAATTAAATAGCCTGAATTAATAAAAAACTATTAAAATAAAACAAAAAAAATTCTAAACAAAAACTCTTTTTTGTTGTCAACTATTATTGAAACCTAAATGTTTTGAATAAAATGAGTAACAAATCATAATTCAGAGCAAATATTTATTTTTAAAAATTTCAGTTCAAGAATAAAAGAAACAGGAATTCTTCTATTGACCTCCCAAATTTTAAATTCTTTAATGAAAAAGATAACACAAAATTATAAAAGCTCGTACTCAGTTGATCCATATAAATTTCTAGATTGTCTTAAACAAATGGAATATCTTTTTAAATATATTATTATTGTTAAATATACTTGATATTGTTAACATATTTGGTCTAAAATTAAAAAAAAATTGACGGATTGCATAATTTAGTTTCATAGGTCTAGTTTCATTACCTAGAAATGATCAAGTACATGAACCAAAAGGGAATAGAAGGATTCCAGCACATTCTAAACCTTGTGTGGAAAACAAAGAATACTCCAAAGGATTGGGAAATATCTGTTACAGTCCCAATATTTAAGAAAGGGAACAACAGAGAATATAAAAACCACCGGGGAATATCTCTTCTTAGTGTCCCGAGTAAAATATACTCAAAGATTTTAGAGAAACGCCTACGAAGAACAGTGGAATCCTCCCTGAGTGAAGAACAATATGGATTTAGGCCAAATAGAAGTACCCAGGATCTCATATTTACCTTAAGACAAATTTCTGAAAAATTAATAGAAAGGGACAAAGAGATATATGCCTGTTTTGTAGACCTCACTAAGGCATTTGACCGAGTGAAGAAGCAAGACATAGCAAAAGCCTTAGAAGACAAAGGCATCGAAACGGGCCTCCGTAAGGCAATTCTAAGTCTCTATAAGACCCAAAGAAATGTTGTGAGAACATGCAATAATATATCGGAAGAGTTCACAACTAATCAAGGTATTAGGCAAGGGTGCAGTCTAAGTCCTCTGCTATTTACACTAGTGCTAGATAATGCAATAAAAATAGCAAAACAAAATATGAGATCATATCAAATGGGATACAGAAATCTACAGCCTGTATTTTTCTCTCTGTTCGCTTATGCAGACGATTTGGTGGTTTTCGGAAGCAATGGACGAAACCTGCAATTCAACCTCCGCATTCTTCAGGAAGAATTAAATAAGATAAATATGCAAATAAATGTGGAAAAAACCAAAACTATGAGGATTGGCAGAAAACAAGGAAGAGGAGACAGAATAGTGCACTTGAGTGGAGTTCCATTGGAACAAGTGAAAACTTTTAAATACCTCGGTGCCCACATCAATGAACATGGATGGATCGACGGAGAAATAAAGGAAAGAGTGAAGTCTGCAGGAAGGTGCTTCAACGCCATCAAGAAGGATTCTTGAACAAGAGAGAAGTGAGCAAAGAGACCAAAACTACAGTGTACAAAAATACTTTCCTCCCATAATGACCTACTCCAGCGAGTCATGGACCCTCACCACAAAGCACATCAGTCAGATTCAGGCCATGGAGATGCGATTCTTGCGCAGGGTCGAAGGAAAAACAAAGAGAGATCGCATAAGAAACTCCATAATACGGAAAAATCTGAACGTAAGATCAGCCGAAACTGTGATGGAGGAAAATCGTTTGAGATGGTTTGGTCATGTCTCTCGAATGCCAGAGAATCGAATGGCCAGGATAGCGTTGGAAAGTAAAGTGGAGGGAAGAAGACCTCAGGGAAGGCCCAGGAAGACCTGGGAGAACAGTGTCAAGGAGGCCTTTGACAGAAGGGATATTGACTGGAGGAGGAGGCGGCAGTTGGCTCAGGATCGAGAGTTGTGGATTCGGCTCTACAAGAAGGCTCCTCACACCGCTCAGCGGTAATTACAGTTTTGAATTTAGTTATAAAGAAAATTGATAAAAATACATACAAAAATACATCCTTAAAAACAAAACTTTCTTCAATAACATTGCTTTCTGTAAGCATAAGTTCTATAAGATAAGTAGCTATAAAAAAAGGTGTTAAAATATTCTCATATTGATTATATGACACTATTTAGCAAACAAAACTATGGTTCCGAAAAACATCAATGATCACATCCACCCACATTTGATTCCATAATTATTATCAACTAACTACAACCAGAGAAAGCTTGTGAAGACTAATTTAAATAAAAATAACAAGCCATAATAAATAATGTAAAAGATCTTAAATGAAGTTAAAAAATAAATAAATAAAAATCAAACTATTTAATCAACATTATAATAAATTATAGTAGAAATCTAATTAATTTTAAATTTAGATAATATTCTTTGAGTCATATTCAATAAAAAGTACCTTCATCATTTCAGCTGAATGGGGATAATTAGTAGAGCTAAATTCTTTAGTACTACTTATATTAACATTTCCAAAGCTGGAAATTGTAGGCTCAAAATCCTTGGGACTTTCATTGTAACCTATAAAAATAAATAAGTTTCATTCAAAGAATTATAAATAAGGATATTTATTGAATAAATGGCTAAGTTAAGTAATTGAAACAAATGAAAATTCCTATATATCGATACTGTTAGTTAGTTACTGTATAAAGATATGTAACAATTTTTTATTCCTATTCTATTTGTGCTAATGGTAACATTTTGTAGTCTGTAAATACTAAAAGTAGTCCGCTACCATGAAAAATAGTCTAGGGAAATAAAATATGAAATTATATTAATAAATAATAAAGAAATAATCAGTTCTATTTGCTGTCTTGTAAAAAAACTCAATTATGACATACAACCTTTTGCACTAACAGCAGCGATATATTTTAACATAATTATATAGTTTACTCATAATTGTATAAAGACTCATAATTGTATAATTTTGATGAAAAACATGAACTTAATTATTAATGATATTTAAAGTACAGTGAAATAACCATAATCTGAACTTCCGTTTACTCCAAAACTGAAAACTAGCATATATTCTTCAGAGTTAAAAAAGAACCGAGGAAACAATAAAATCAGAGGTATTAGGAAATATAAGACATATTTCTGAAAATTGTGTGAAAACTCTTACTTAAATAATGCACTGAAGTAATTACAGTATGAATGAACTATATAGATTCAAATAAATCTGACTCTTTTTTTTTAAAGAATATAATATCTCTCTCTTGAGGTCAAATCATTAAAGCAGTTAAGAAAAACGGTGTCCATTAGATTTGTGGCAGATTGCCACAACATTAAATGCAGTCCCAAAGTCTGAGAGGAATAAACACGCTATGCTCATTGCCACAAACTCCTTCACCTTTAATCTCATTAGAGACATTCACAGGACATTTCAAAATCTTTTTAGCAATCTACTGATCATCTAAAATATCGAGGTCATAATCATCAGCTCACAACCACACATAAACATAATTTTTATTTACATTATCTCTGCTAAAATAATTTCGTTAAAGTTCTCTAATGGACAGAGGAACAAGGAGTAAAGAAATCAAGAAGGTAAGAAGGTTTTTTGGTAGCAAAGGTTCAGAAAAGGAATACCCCTAGGAAATATTGCCGTCGGAAGACTGGATAGAGCCACTTCTACTTGGCATAGCAACTGGAGACGTAGGAGCGCCTGGGGACTCCTAAGGATAAATTTAATGAAACAATTCATTAGCCTCTTTAATCTGATCTCAAGCCCACCAGACAGTCCACCATATACAAGGCAGCCGTAATCGATGTGAGAGAAAATGAGAGAGGAAACTAGAAGCTGACGGATTTTCAGGGGCAGAGAGTCACGGAATCTCAGAAACTGTTTGGGGGATAATAAATACAATTATTTATTTTTACCATTTTCTTTTGACTGATCACTCCAACCACCCCTCTCTCCAATTATTAAGAGAATATTATTTTACAGAACAAGAGATATGTGGCAAAACTAGAAATTGGAAAATCTTGACTTATCTCTCATTACTTTGCTTGAAAGATATAGGTATAAGATTGCAAGAAATAAATATTAAAAAAATTGAAATAAATTATAATCAAACAATGCCATTAACAAATATCATTCTTACCTAGAGACGTCTGTGAGATGTTTAATGGTTTCACAGGCTTGGAAAATACAGGAGTATATTGAGTGCTGGGCTCATAATCAGTAATGGTTGATGACTTAGGTGTAGCAGTTGTCAAACTTTCTGATAAATTATTTTTAAAACTGTCATTTTTTAAAGCACTTAAACCAATTGAGTTTTTAGGCACATAACTTTCAAAGTTTTCTTTAACTGAAAAATCTTTATTAAAATTACAGACATTTGTTATTTCAGAACTTTTAAATCCAGAAGATCTCACAGAAGAATTTTCGTTATTAGATGGAAATGTTTTATTTATAGATGGACTCTCATCAGTAAAACCAGATGAATTTAAACTTTTTAGTAACATTGAAGGTTGTTTTAATTTAAATCCGGAAGTGGAGGGTGATTTTATTTGTTTAAAATTATCCTCAGAAGTTAATCCTTTTAGCTTATCATCAGAAATAGTGCTATTCATTAGATTATCACTACTTTTACTGGTCAAATTTGAGGATGACCTGACCTGACTGAAGTTTTCAGAAGTTAGAGCGGTATTAGTAGACAATTCAAAAACACTGCTGTTACCAGGATTACTTGGAGTTAAATTTTCAGAACTATTGTAGTCAGAAGCTCTTACAAAAGAATTCTCATTAGTGGATGGAAATGTTTTATTGGTAGATGGACCCACATCATTATGAACAGATGAACTTAAACTCTTCAGCAACATTGATGGTTGTTTTAATTTAAATCCGGAAGTGGAGGGTGAATTTGTTTGTTTAAAATTATTCTCAGAAGTTAATCCTTTTAGTTTATCACCAGAAACAATGTTATTCATCATATTATCAGTACTTTGACTGGTTAAACTTGCAGATGCCCCAGCCTGATTGAAGGTTTCATTAGTTTGTTCACAGCGAGACAGTCCTAAAACACTGCTACCAGGCTTACTGCTTCTCATTAAAGAAAAATCTGAATAAATATTTTTAGGTGAAACACAAGAGTTACTTTTTTTAATATTATTACTGCCGCTAAAATGGTGTGATGGAGGAGTTTCATTTACAGCATTATTATCTGAAATATTTATAGAACTTGTTTTAGAGTCAGGTAAGCAGTCACTTTCAATTGATGTATTTAAATCACTAGAACTAGCCAAAAAGGAATCTTTCTGAGTTTTGGTTTTGTTTCTTAAAAGTAATCTAGTTCGTTTCATTTTAGCTTTCATCATTTGTCGAAATACTTGAAGCTTTTTCAAAAGCGCACTATCCCCTTTCAAACTTGGGATTAATTCAGATACAAACGATGGAAGATTAACAAGAATTGAGAAGGCTTTATCCATTATTTCATATTCACAATCCTCAAGGTCCTTATAAATATCACGCAGATCTTTTTCACTAGCCTACAACAAAAACATGAAATAATCTTTGTGCTAGTACAATTTAAACAGAACAAGACAATTATTAGCAATAAAATCTTGTTTCCTACATAAAAAATCTTAGAAATTAATCTTAACACAAGTTTTTTTAAATTTATTTATATTAACATCTCATTTGAAGAGAGAAATAGGATATCATTAACCACGAGGTAACTAATAAATAATAATTAGCTAATCTGTAAACAGTTAACTTCTTATATTAAGATTTAACTATTGTATTGTTAAATATAAGTATGGCAAACTTCTTTTCTTATATTTTAAATATTTTTTTAAAATGATTGAGGGTGCAATAATAAAACACAAAAACAAGGTTAATCTTTTCTATAATATTTATTCTGACCTCGCACCCACCGTCATCTCCTGGGTTAAATCTAGGATGAATAATTTTAAATGAAAAAAGTAAGACACATTTAGATAAAAAAAAGCTTATCCTTCTTTAAAAAAATAGTTCATTAATGTTTATTTTATTTTAGTAGATCAAATGCCGTTTTTGAGGGGATTTTATAGATTTATTTTAATGAAATGTTTTTATTCCCTCCAGATAACGAATATCCGAGTGAGAAAAGATATAAATGAACTAAATTATCTGCCAAATTATTTGAATTGCAGTGCTAATTTCAAAACATCAGAAATTTAGAAAATAGTATTAGACCTTGAAACCAGAAAATCGGATAGCTAATTAGTCTGACAGGTAGACAAGAAATCCAATTTAAACCTTATTGGTTTTGTAGCCAGTATCAATATAAATGATCATGGTTTATGAAGGAAATTCAGCACATATTTCCATTCAATCTTTAATATTGTGTTCTAATTACTAAATTTAGACTAATGTACTATTCAATAAACCATTATTGTATTCATTCATATTCTGTTAACATGAACTATTAAAACTGATATATTAGTAATACAAATAAAAAAATATGATAGAATAAGAAAAATAGGTACTTTTTGTCTAGAGGGCCGGACTGAAACCTCACTTCTTATCTATCGTACTAACGTCATGTCACATAACCTCCCTCTTCTTATCCAGCCAAACCTTTGAGTTATTGCATTGTTTAGTTTTCAGTTTTTCCCTTATTACGTTCACTTATTAAATTCTTTACTTTTGGCCCGTTTGTGTTTATTTTTCATTATTTTCAGTTTTTGGCCCGTTTGTGTTTATCTTACATTTTTTTTTAGGTTGTGGCCCCTTTGTGTTTATTTTTCATTTTTTTTTCGTCATATTATGGATCTTCTTAGAATATGGGATTTGCTGCCTTCAGAAGAACAGGCAATTCAATATTTTCAAAATGTTGGGGCACTTGCCGACGTGAAATTGTGTGAATGAGGTCATCGAATGAAGTTAACCAGGAAGGCCAAATGGAGATGCTTTCGTAGGACTTATGACACAAAACTTTCAATAAGGAAAGGAACATGGTTGGAGGGCTCGAGGATTTCGTTTTTAAGAGCTTTAAAATTGATTTATGGGTGCTCCCATAGCTTGACAACGATGAAGTGGGGCAAAGAGCAGCTGAAACTATCCTACGGAGCTATGGTAACGTGGAACAAATGTCTAAGAGAGGTTTGTGCCCAAGACATGTTACACAGGCCAAGAAAAAAAATTGGAGGACCTGGCAAAGTGGTTGAAGTAGACGAGAGTCTTTTTCCTAAACGAAAAAATCATGTGGGGAGAGTTTTACCTCAGCAGTGGATGTTTGGTGGAGTTTGCCGAGAAACAGATGAATGTTTTATCTTTTTATAAAACAGATTTTATGTTTTATATTTTTTCTTTTCTATGTAAATATGTTATTTTAAATGTGTTTTTTTATTATTTCATTTTGATGTTTTATATGTACATATCTTCTTAAATTTTATTATTTCATTAATATATGTGTCGTCAAATAAAAGTATTTTTTTTGTTATTACATTTGTTTTTGTATCTGTTTACACTTTCAATAATACGAATTTAATACAATAATACGAAGATATGAAGTAGGAGAAGGCATATCACTGCGTTATGGGAGTTATCAGTGTTCAGGTTATAAACATTGGCAGATAGCAGTCAGTAGTGGCCTCCTAGACAAAATGTACCGAAAAATATTCCTTGCATAATACAAATAATTACAATTTCAAATTAAAACAATTAATGATCGATATTAAAAGTATCAATATTAATAGTACCAATGTAATAGAATATTAAGAAGATCAAAATATAAAATAACTTTATTTATACATAAAGGAAGCAAAATCAGTACATATAAAAAATAATAATGAATTACTTTAGCAGGAAGTTTACTCAAAACTGCTGGATGAGATGACATACTATCCAACCATGTGGCCAGGCATTCATCTGAAAGACCAAAACCATAACTAACTTCTAAAATATTAAATAGAAAAGGATTAACAAAAATGATTAATTAAAAAAAGTAAGCCAAATTACTTGGTATTATTAATGAAATGTAAAGATTGAATCAATGATATACGGTATAATCTAGTAAAATCTGAGAAAAATATTAGCAAAGTTGACTTAAAATAAAAATGGTATATTTAATGTGAATTAAAATTAACTTTTATTTCTTCAGTTTTCAACTGCATAATCATTTAATAATCATCAGAACATAATCAAAATCATTCAATCTCTGATACAGAAAACAAAGTATCCAGTTATATAACTGGAAATCTTAGTCATTTGCTAAAATAACAAGTCTTAAGATTTCCAGTTACAGAAAAAAAACATATATACATTTATATTGAAATAATTTTCAAAATATGCTGAATAAATTACCAACAGAATCCTCACAATCACCCGTATTCCCATTTGATATTTCATTGGAAGTTTTACCAGTAGTACTTCTAGAAGGTTTTTGAATTTTTTTTTTCAAATTATTTTCAACTATCTTATTTTCATTAGTCTTCGAGACAGCATCAGTTTCAATATTTTGAACTTTTTTTGGAGAATCGGCAACTATTTTTCTAATGATTTTTTTCTGAGGTGTTGCAAATAGGCCAGCCTTGGAAGGATTAGATGAAATTAGACTACTTGGCTTCTTCAAAAGAAATGTCTTTTTCACTTCCTTTTTAGGTGAAACCCTTTCATCATGAGAGCTGTCATCACTTGAAATGATAACAGTCCTCTTTTTCTTTGTTTGTATTCTATTATTTGAAGAATCTAAGGAAGAAACATTTTGAAATTTCTTCCCTGCCTCATCTGGTGTTTCGACAGTAGAAGATATATTAATAACATCTGACCTAGATCTCTCCAAAGATTTAATACGGCTCAAATCTTTCTCTGGAGAGCTACTAGGAGATGAGTCAATTATTGTCACATCTTGAGAGATCTTCTATAAAAAAAAAATAATAATAATAATAATGATATTAATATTAAATATTAATACTTAAATACTTCAACCAAAAAGAACTAAAATAAATTACACTGAGTGATTCTTGAGAAGAATAAATTATTTCATCTTCTACTTCATTTTGACCTAGACAAACAACAAAATGACAAAATACAAATTCATAAATCATTAAACACATGAGGCTAATTGAATAAGACGTTAAAATTTCCTATAAATTGAGTAAAATCTTTTTTCTATATCTGTATTGCGGCCAAGATTTGTTAGAATAGATATATATAATAAATGAAGGTGAACAAATGTATAAATAAGAGTATGTGAAATCAGAGTGAACATGTGAAATAATTAAGAAAAAACAAATAATGATCAACTAATATAAATCAATTCATGTTGATCGGAATTATTTTATCAATCAAACACAATGGTGATCAATACTGCCTTTTGGCTTATTCGTCGACAGTAGCTGGAGCAAAGGTCTGGTTTAATCACTATCATTCTAGAATCAATGGAGAATGGTTTTAAGTACTCTCTTGATTACATTAGTGTGGACTTTTACATAAACAATAAATGATGATTCTCCAAATTAAGTTTGTAATGCAGTCATGAGATTATTGTTAGTAAAGATTGTAAAGCGAAAATTAAGAATTGTATCTTAACTCTAGAATATGTGCTACTATTGAAAATGTGACAACTTTCTGTAAAAATAAAATTTATGAAAACAATTAGTTATAAAAAGTATTAAAATTAGCACAATAACAAAATTGAAATCACCTTCATTTGAGTTCCCTTTTCCAGAATCACTGCAGCTATTGTTGGTGTTATTATTGCTTGATGTCTCTGCTGCATCATTTCTGCTGTCATTTAAATAATATTGCTAGTATTAGGAAAAATAAAGACAATCACAAAATGATACAGCAGAAAAATACTTACGACGCGGTATTCGTCAGCTGACGACTAAATAATTCAGTAATAGTTCCTTGCTTTGACTTAAGTTTAGCTGTACTCAACGAGCTGCGCAGCGAATTTTTTGAAATTGTTTGAGACATAAAACTCATTATAATAGTATATCATGTCGTTTAGACTTAGTTGTTCTTATTCAAAAATACTAAAAAATAATAATAGCTAATCAAACTGATAACCACAAAGTTAACTTCATACTTTCATAGAAGTAGTAACTTAGCGGGAATTCAAGGAGAACCTCCAAGGAGCTTGTATTTGAATTATGTTAATATGACCAATCTGTGAAGTGCTGTATTGCGGTGTTGCAATGAGTTAGGACAAGATCTGTCACTCGAGCCAGAAACAAATACCTATCCTCTTATTTCCACCAAGGCTCGATTAATATTTAATTTTTAGTTCAACAAACAAATATAACGATTACTGTATTTAATTTAAACATATCTTTCTAGTATACAAAATTCGCTACCGTTGCATGAACTTTAAATCTAGATATGAAATATGTAATGTGATATAGAAGGGAGCGGGGTTGCTCTGTGGTAGGGCACTAAGCTTCCGGTGCTAAGGTCCCAGGTTCGAATCCCGGCTCATGGCAGAAAAATCATTTATTCTGTTTCATTGGCCGTGGGGTGACCCTGGGGTAGGAAAACTTTCCTGGGGCACACCCAGCTTCTATAAAGTGAGTACCCCTAATTAAATAATTGATTATGGGGGAAACCTGGTGGTTGAGCGTGATCCCCTTCCTACACAACTGTAGGCCTTGAAATAGTAATTTCCCTAAATAGCACTGATTCCCCAAGACCCTTCACGAGTTGTAGTGGTACAGGTAAAAAGGTAATGTGATAAAGAGTAATAAAAATTAGGATTTATTTTATTTATTATGAGACTCGAGTCTAAAAGGACCCTTACACCGTCAATATAATTGAAGGCAATATATTGAACTACCGTTCACACGGTATGAGAACAATTGGTCACACGGGTATAGTATTGAGTCAATATTATATCAGTTAAGGTCTTGCTTCCACTAAAGAAGAAGGTTTCCAAAGATGTAATCTTTCTTTTTTGTAGAAAAGGATAATAATGAATTTCCTATTACTTTAATTGCCTAATTATCACCTACCTACTCAAACATATTGCCATTTTATCTTTAAAAAATAATTCGAAGAGGGGGTTAACCCCACTAACAAAAAAAAAAAATAATAATAAAAGTAAAACAAAGTATCACCCACCTGCCGAAATATATGTCCGTTTTATCTTTTAAAAAACATATATCAGAGGTGGAGTTAGTACAATCCCTCCCCCAAAAAAAATAATAAAAGGAAAAAAACTATCACCCAACTACCGAAATATATATCCGTTTTATCTTTTTAAAAAAATATCGGGGGAGACTAACCCCCCCCTCCTCCCCTCCAAAAAAGTATCACCCACTTAACGAAACATATTGCCAGGAGGGATACCGGAAATTTAGTATCGCCCAGAGCTCCTCAAGATCCGTATATGTGGTTTAATATTGCTCAATTTAGCCCTTACACGTACAATTATATTGACACTGTTTCAATAATATTAAAGGAGCTTCAATAAATTTTTTTTTTAAATTAAATCAACCTGTTTGATTGACCTCAATATAATTGATGCCAATTTAGCCATTACATCGGCAATACATTGACGAAACCCAATATTGAACAGTAAGGGGCCCTTAAGCTAGATCTATGATCCACAATCAAAACGCAATAAAAAAATTGACAGAGCCAGGCCTGCAACTTTATCAGGGTGTAGATCGTTATCGTCCTAGACGAAATTGTATTTACTTAAAATTACGTTTACTTCTTTTCGCTTTGGGGTGCGGCTTGTCTTGACAAGACTATACCTTAAATTAACTGCTTCCAGATTCTATTTTCAAAGGACAAATAATAGACCTTAGAATGTAGATAATTATGTTACCTACAGAAATGGTGAGGAAGCTACACTGAATCAACTCGACAGATTTTTTTTTTTTTTATATGTATACTTGACGCCCATGAAAGTGAATTGACATATTTACCATTTTGACTTTTGAACAAGGGACTATCCAAGTTGCTTAGCGGGAACTCAGAACGCACTAAAGTCCTTTTTTTCACTTTTCGTTTTATGTGAGAACTATCCCATTCAATACTTCCATCTACCAAGTTGACTATTCAATTTGCAAACCAATTTACGAAATCGTGTTGCTGGTTTTCGTTATTTCAGACAATTTTTAAAATTACCCCTTCAAAAAATAAATTATATTCCGTGCAATTAGTTTATTCGAATGATAATTACAAATTCCAGTAACAATCAACACGTTTTTTATATGTTTATTCTCTTTGCACTACAGCCTACATTTTGTATTCTGCACTAGCGGATCCAGGATTTAATTTTGGGGAGGGGCTTCAGCCCGAAAGCTTTTTTTTCATAAAAATAACGATAATTACTTTGGAAAAAAAGAAAGAAACTAACTACCTGTATGAAATGGTGTTTAAGTGATTCCTAAAGCCCTTTTAATATTAATCACACAAACAATAACACTTTAAGAAATACTTTTTTAATATTTTGTTCGATAAAACATGGTTATATTATTTCATTTTGGGGGGGGGGCTTCAGCCCGAAAGCCCTCCCCCCCCCGTAGATCCGCCCGTGGTATTCTGCAACTAAGTTCATATCTGCTAAATATGAAAATAGCAGAGAGAAACAAAATTATACTAATAAATAATAAAGAAATAATTGGTTTTTATGCTCTTCTGTTAAAAAAAACGGAACTTTTACAAACAACCCTTTGTACTAACAGTACCGATATTTGTTTGTCACATAGTTTATGAAATGTCTAAACGCACCTTTAGAAAGTATAAAGTCCGAAAATTCTCAGAACGTTGTCCACTGACGGATACGTTTGTCACATCACATTCAAATGCCATGAAGACAATTTTTCTTTTTGGTTTTCTTAAATTACACTATTTCATATTTTTAAAACAAATATAGTTTCTATTCCACTGACATTCAATAGATTAAAAAAAAAACAAAAAAAAAACACTAAACCTTTGAATCTGCAACACCTCAAGGATACAGGACATGAAAATCAGATTTTATTTATGGATGATTCCCTCATTAATGATTTATTTGGTGAAAAAGAAAAACTTGTTCTACAAATGAAACTTCAGTTAAATGAGCTTTCTAAGAGAAATAACGCATGCAGTAAATGTTATAATAACCTTGTATTTGAGTGATTGAATAAATTACATATTTTTTAAATAATTTCTAAAATGATGCCACGTAATAAAACAAACTTAGGGGAGTCGTACTGAAGGAACTTGTTGACTGGATTATTGCAGCAATATTTTCACATTTTATTCTACATTGTTCTAACTTTCCTAAGAAGTCTTTGTTTTGATTCATGATTACTAATTAATAATGAATTGAGATTAGTAAATAAATTCAATTTAATGAATTAAAATTCATGATTATTAATTATAAAATTCATAATTAGCTCTCTAAAAAAATAAAAACCAAGTAAGCTAATTTACAGAGTTTCATAAAAACATTTTTAAATACCTAATTATTTCAATATGCAGAGCTCGAGTATCGTTTTATTTGAACTTATCGAATTATTTCGTTATTGAATTATTAATTATTGTTATATTTAATTATTAATTTGTAAAAAAAAATACATAACTAATGATGAATTAATATATTTCAAATGAGATTAGATTGGTTGTGTTTTACAACCTGACATTCTAGCGGGAACTTCGATCGACGACTTATGTTTTCATTAATATTTTGATTGTCACTCTCAGAGATACAGTTTATTATTTTTGAATATTTATTTTAAAGATTTATTATGTCTTTAAGATATGCACACAGTGAAGGCCATACCGACATCTGTTATTCTGAAGATTCTAAGTATTACAAACATCTATATTTTGAGATTTTTGGTTTTTATCAAAGATTTATATTAATTGCTCTGATTTTAGTTATATTATAACTTGTGGAAGTGAAGGAGATGTACGTATCTGGGCAGGAGTGGAAGATGCTGATCAAAAAGATGTTTGTGTAGGGGACAAAGCTTGGTCAGTTTTTCAAAAGGTTTGTGATTCCTTCTATATACGTTCCAACCGTCTTAAACAAGATATTATATAAAAGATTGATTTATTTAATTATAATTTAATGCATGTAATATTCCGGCATTTTGTTATCTGCTTCCAAACATGCCTTTTATAAAGGGAGTAGATAAGGTTTTATCAATCAAATGCTTAAAAGCAGTTGGTGCAAGTAATATATCCAGGCAAAATGAATCTGATCCAGATTAATTGTTCACAAGTGTTGTCTGGTTGACAGATAGATTAAGATCATATTGATCACACTGGACATGGAATGCCGGTTGATATCAATACCTTTGAAAGAGATCCATTTGGTGTGGCAAGGATTTCTGCTTGATGAGGCCGTAACTTTTAAGTTAAAGAGACCTGTCAAATCCAGAGGTTGTGAGAGTGTAAAGAGCATGTAACTACTTACAATCCTCTGTTTTTTTAATTCTGTCTTCAATATGGTTGATGTGATATTGACCCATTTGTGATATACTTGTGAAGTAGTACCAAGATTATTTGCGGTACGTCCCATATCTTTTTCCAAGACATAATTTTAATCTTTTAAATTTTCAGGGAATTAATCTCTACGTGGGAACTGATACTAATATTATTCAAGCTTATACATTTCCAGACCTGGAACCTGATGGCATCATCACGAGATTCACTTCACCTGCTACTCAAATTGATATTGCCCCTGATGGAAGTAAACTGGCAGCATCATCAAGGTATAGAGTTTTAGGATCAGGAATATACCAGTTGATGCAATGTCTGCTTTATTCACAAATTTTACCTCCTTTTTTTTTTTTACAGTGACATGAATGTACATGTTGTTGATTTAAACTCTATGGAATGTAAAAAGTTGACTGGGCACCGGGCTCCAGTTCTAAGTGTTTCTTTAGACCCAAAACTTGAGTTTGTTGTAAGTATAAGTTCTATGATTCTGGTTTGATATTTGACTGTAGTGAATAGTTGAAAAGAAAATTGGTTGGGGTGTTCAGTCAAAAAAATATAAAAATAAATAAATTGTATTTATTTTTATTTTTGTTGACGTTTCGGCTCAAAGTTCATGCCTTCATCGGGGCTTGTCAAATGAGAGAGACCACTGGTCTAATGAGAATCTCTCGTCTAACTTTAAGCCGAAACATCGGCAAAAATATAAGTTCTATGATTCAACTAATCTCTCTAAATCCTTATTTGATGTTTGTTTATATATATGTATATATACATTAATTATATATATATATATATATATATATATATATATGTGTGTGTGTGTGTGTATTTATAATAATAATAATAATGCTTTATTTATTCTGGGACAAGTCCCTTTAGAATAATATAAAAAGACAATAATATGGGCTAAGGAGCCTTAGAGATACATAAACAAAAATATACAGTAATTAAATAGTCAAAATAAAAAAAAATAATAGAAAAAATTATAAGTTACTTACTAATTTAGATCAGTTAAAAATAAAAAACAAAAAATTGAAAATAAACATGAAATAAAAATAATGAAGAACGCTCTAATAATTTATATACATATTTGCAGTAGTAACTATTTACAATTTTACTTTTCTATACTATTACAATTATTATATAGTATTACCATACTATATAATATAGTATATTACTATTAATTGTATAGTAATAGTATTATATACTATTACTATACAATTATAGTGTTTATATAGTCTAATTCACAAAGAAAAAAAAAGATGTATGGTGTCGGGTATTAAAGATCATCTCGAGGACCCATCTCTCTTTTTTTTCTTGTGAATTCCAATCATTTAAAATCTTCATGGTTTTATGTGTCCATTTATCATTCATTGTGGAGGTAAGTATAATCTTGAAAAAAAAAAAAGTATCATATTTAGTTATATCTAATTTTTTTAATTTTAGTTAATTATATAGAAACATTGCTACTCAATAATTTCCTCAATAAATAATTAAATAATAACATTAGTTGACATTCCGATCTCATGAGGCAATGCAGGTTTTAGCAGGAGGGATAATCTCAACCTCCTTTGTGAAGATTCATTAAAGGATATATATAAATTGAAAGATTATGCTGGCCTATCAGAAAATATCAGGATGTGGGTTGCCTAGAATCCCAGAAAAGGATAGAGGTCGGAGGTATGAGATCTAGTGAGACTGGATCGAATGGAATATTTAAATTGTAGGCTGTGAAAAATATAGGAAGGTCGCTGAGTTCTGATGGCTTGGTATAGAAAGGTAGCAAGGCAGTATAGACGGCGGTTGGATGGATAGAGCCACTTCAACTGGTGTAATACTGGGTTATATGCGTATCTCTTGAGATTCCGAAAACAAAACGTATTGCGCAGTTCATCAGGCGTTTAAGTTTGGCTTCGAATTCTCCCGAGAGTCCGCCGTACACCAGACAGCCATAGTCGAAGTGGGGGAACACAAGGGAGGAAACCAGGAGTTGTCGGGATTTATATGGAAGGAAATAGCGGAGACGGTTAAACTGTTTCAGGGTAGAGATAGTACGACGGGAAATTTGGGAAATGTGTGGTTTTCAGGAGAGAGTTTGATCAAAGCTAACACCAAGGTGTTTTATGGAATGAGATAATTGAGTTATTCAGGAAAAGATTGGGGAGTGTCTGTAAGGATTTGAGGAGTAAGGGAGTTCCGATCAGGATAGCTTTCGTTTTCTCGGAGTTTAGAGTGATTCTATTGTGGTTTGCCCAGGCCCAAATTCCGTCTATATCTTTCTGTAATTTTTTAATGGCGTCAGAGGATTCGATCAGATTGAAGGAGAGGTAAATTTGGACGTCGTCGGCATACAGATGGTATTGACAGTGTAGGATATAGGATGGAAGATCATTGATGTAGATGGAAAACAGGGTGGGAGATAAGGAGTAGTCTTGTGGGACACCTCTGTACAAGAGTAAAGATTCTGATGGGAGGTTATTGGGGACAACATATTGGGAGCGGCCGGTAAGGAAGGATTGAAAAGGAGATATTTTTAAGCTTGGTTAGGAGAATTTTGTGGTCTACTGGTCGAGTCGAAGGCTTTGGAGAAGTCAAGGAGAATTAGGATGGTGAGTTTCTGCTGGTCCATGGCTGTATGAATGTCTTGGGAAATTTTGATTAGGGCAGATTAAGTGGAGTAGCCGGGTCGGAAGCCGGACTGGTTGGGATTTAGGAGATTATTCTATTCTAAAACGTCGGATATCTGGGTTTGAACCAGTCGCTCTACAGGTTTGGAAAGGTTTGAGAGGAGAGAAATTGGACAGAAATCATTAAGAGTTGATGGATTGGAAGTCTTCTTCATCGGGCGGACTAGTGCAGTTTTCCAGGATGCAGGGAAGGTAGCATTTTGTAGTGGGTAATTGTAGATATGGTAGAGGATTGGAAGGATGGATGGTAGTGAGGCTTTGATCAGTCTCACTGGGATGTTACCAGGTCCATAATCACTGGTTTGCGATTTCTGAATGGAGTTGAGGAGGTCATCAGGTGTAATATGGGAAAAAAAGAAGTGATCAGGATTAAAATAAGAAGAGAAACACATCGGAGCCGGTATAGTAGCAGGAGGTGAGGATGAGAAGGAACCGGTGACAAAGTGAGCAGTTAAGGTCATCGGCAGAAAAGGAAATGAGCTGGGTTTGAGGTGTGTTACAAATGGTCAGTTTTTTTAGGATAGCCCATTTGGCCTTGGAGTTTGGGGTGTTGGATAAGGAATGATGGAAATAACGGGATTTGGCTCGGCGTATAGCAGACTGGGTGCTGTTTCGAAGTTGCTTGAAGGCGAAGTAGTCTTCTGGGAGTTGGGTACGTTTAAATCGCCGTCTTGCAGCATCTCTTCTTCTCATGAACTCTCTCAGAGCGGGTGTCAGCCAAGGAGCAGTGGGATGTCGGATAGTTTTAGTTAGGAGAGGAGCATGGCAGTCAAGGATGGCATGAAGATGGTTGGTAAGGATTTCCAACATGTTGTCAATGGATTTTGATGAATAAATTGGATCCCACTGGGTCTCATCGAGATCCTGCGACAGGGCTTCATAGGTGAGGGAGTTGAGGTTTCGAAAGGATATGGTTCAAGGTGAAAAAAATGGGACCGGGATGTTGTAGGAAATCTGGATAAGATCATGGGAAGACAGAAACGGAACCAGGTGCTGAGATGCCAACAAGAGTTTATCCAGGGAATCCAAGACAAACAGGTCAAGCCAGGACTCTGATAATTGGGTATGATGGGTAGGGTTGTAAGGTACTATATAAAGGCTGAGGGATTGGAAGAGGCTGGTCAGGTAGGAATGGTCGGAGGATGGTATCATCAAATTGGTATTGAAGTCTCCAGTAAGGATAATATTGGAGTAGGAAGGGAACAAGTTGTAAAGGGAGGTCTCAAATAAGTCATCAAAGGGAATTCTGGGAGGGCGGTAAATGACTGCAAAGAGAAGGGGGGATGATGGGGTTAGGATTTCAGTAAAAAGATATTCTAGGTGTGGAGAATCGGTATGGGAAGAGCAATGAAGGATTTTGAATTTAAGGCTGTCATGAACAAAGAGACCTTCACCACCACCTGTACGATCCATTCTGTCATGACGAAGGAGGGTATAATTGAATAAAGTAATTTGGGAAGACGGAATAGAGGGCTTTAACCAGGTTTCAGAAACTGCGATTAGATGGTAGAAGTTGTGTAGGAAATAATCATAAAATTCATCAAAATGAGCTAGGAGTGACTGAGCGTTGACGTGGCAGGTTAAAAGTATGTTAGGTCATGGGAGAAGGAGGGTTGGCTTGGTTAGCGGACTGGAAGGGCTTGGGGTAGGAATATTTCTATGTTGGTTTGAGCTAGTATGAACCCAGAGAACATAATTGTTGGTGACACCTCTATTAAGAAGAACCATACCTATAATAATAATTATAAATGGAGCTAAACTAGAAATAATGAATACTGTTTTTCTAGTTGAGAACTAGACAAAATACAATTTATTAAACGAAAGGTTTACTTCCATAGCGAAATAAACAATATTTACGTGAATTAATATGTCTAAAAGAATAAAACTTTCACTGTTCTTATTAACATAAATAAAATTGTTATCAAAATATATTAAATTAAAAGCAGCAAAATCGTAATCTGGAAAATAAAAATAAAAAACGGCGAATACAGTAATGAAAAATAAAATGTACAGGGTAATGAAACATGCCAGTGCTTGTCATGTGAATATGAATTATGGGTTATTCCAGACTATTGGATTTCACAATTCCTGTCAGAGCATCGTGGTTTCAGAAGTAAGCCGCTTAACCTTGCAAAGAGATTTTGTGTATGGGTAGAAAACTAGTTACTTCCGTCAATAGAAAGATGTAGGTATTTTTCTGGGTGACTGATAATTAGGAGAGTCGAAGAAAAGGTTAGAGTTTTCCTGGAGATCAAGGACCTGATTTTAAAGCTGTGAAGAACTGATCCACACCCTATGAAGGTTTAATTTATATACAATAATGTTCATTGGCCCCCATTTTTCGAGAAGGCGAGAAAGGGTGAACAAAATATATTAATCAATAATTATTATTTTGAGAAGTTAAGGTGGTAGGGACAAACATTTTGTCTCTATAAATGTAAGCTAGTTTATTTCTGAAGAGTTTGATGATAGGATATCTCTATAATTTTGTTATAAAAAAAAAAAAACCTTTACCACTACAACCTAATTAAAGCGATTTAATTGAGATCACACTCAACCGCCAGGTGTTCCAGGGTGCCCACTTATTAGAGGCTAAGTGTGAATTGAGGGTCTACTGACCCCATGAACGATCCACGGCCAATGAAACAATAAATAATTTATCTGTCATAAGCCGGGATTGGAACCCGGGACCTTGAGCATTGGAAGCTTAGCACTTTACCACTGAGCTACCCCACTACCTATAATTTTTTTCATACTCAATTAATTTCATCATTGCATGTAAAGCGTGATTGATTTGGCTTGATCTAAATAAAAGATATAAGTAATATATCATAAGCAATTTTTTTTAATCCCTCACCTTTCGGTTATACTGGGTTTTTACTAGGGTAGAGTAGGAGGTGAGGGATTAATGCCAGTCAAAAGCTCCCTGTCATGGGGACTTGAACTCGTAATTATTTTATCATGTTATCTTCAGGTTTTCAGGTAATCCATGTTTTGCACGCAATACTGAGTTCTAGAATACCCAAATCTATTCTAATCAGAGTGAGAAGGTCGAAATTCACTCCATGGGGTTCCCGATGAAATAAATTTCAACCTCTACAGCAATTTTAACACGACAGCCTTATCATGCAGGAGATATTTGCCAAATCTTAAGCAGTTTTTTTCCAATCATGTATTTCAAAATTAACTACTGATTGGATCACTGTAAAAGTTCCTATTAACCAAGCTGTTTACTAGAAAAATTTTATTTGTTAAAAAATTAAAATTGTTACTTTTAATTAAATTATTGTTGATGTTTATGTTCTGTATGGCATATGTTGGAAATACTTTTAAACAATCAATTAATTACATTTAAAAGTAATAAATAAAAAGTTATAGAATATACTACATATAATACATCAATGAATCAAAGCTTTGTATTTATAAAAGTTGTTTGATAATAATTATAAATTTGAATTAAATAAGAATGTGTCAAATAATTTAAGCTGTTTTATATTAATCAGTAGATTATTGATTACACCTCATTACATTAATTTCAATTTCAGGCATCATCGAGTTGTGATGGAACTGTAAGGATTTGGGCTTTAAGTTCTGGTGACGTGGTTAAGCAGTGGGAAGTAGTTCCTAAGAGCAATGCTTTTGAAACTTCCTCAGTTCTTTGTAGATTGCATTTTGATCTCGAAGGACGAAATGTAGCAATACCAATTGGTGAAACTGTTAAACTTTACAGAAGAGAAACATGGGTTCATGCTATGACTTTATCTAGTTCTGGCAATAATGTAAGTTCAACAAAATTTCACTTTGGTTAAACTAAATCTTTTAATGATAATGAATAATAATTATAATAATAATTACCTACTTGATATTCTGCCATAGCTCTTTAAAACTTTGTAAAATGAAATGAGTCATAAAAAAATGATTTATTTTATTTTCCTAGAAATTGTAATTCATCACTGACTATATTTGTTACTTCAAATCCAATTAAGATTGATATCACTTTAGTTCCTGGATTACACTAAATAAATTTAAAAAGTATATTTTGCCATTAGTTTCATCTTAGTTTTGTTGCCATTTTTTGGTTCCAGAATCTCTTATTTGTTGATGATCTCTGATTTTATTTTACACCTTTAAATTAGAAAAGCTTTCATCAATTCAACTCAACCAGAGACACAAGATACACATTATTGGCATGAAGCTTTCTTTTTCTTTTCTTTTTTTTTTCAGCCACATCGAATTTCTTGTGAACCTAGGTAAAAAACGGCTAAAATTATTATGTTTTGGAGGCAAGTTTATGGAGATGCTTTGAAGAAACCAACTTTGATCAAATACCTGAAATGAGTTTGGGTGGATCAAGAATATTTCAAAAGAGTCCCTTCCATTTTAGTAGTGAAATGTTGCTATTGTTCACTAACAATTCTTCCTGCGAGGTCAGGTTGTTAATGGAAACTTCTGTGTTAATGTCTGAATTGTGTGGTTCACATTTGATCGAATTTGACTATTATTTCTTCGCCACCATATTTGAATAGTTCCTCTGGAAATCCATCTCTTTCTGGAAATTTTCTATTTCTAAGCTAGTGTATATTTAATAATGAACCATTGTAATCGACCAAAAAATTCATAAACTTAAACCGTTTCTGAATATAGAACTCAAAAATTAAATTAGAAAAATTAAGTCTGTCTGCCGTCCGCGCATTTACTCCGAGACTATTGGACTGATTTTTTTCAAATTTGGGATCCAAGTTGAGGTTATCCAAAGATGATTCTCCTACCTCGACCTTACTAGCCACTCTTTCCAATCAAAATGGTGACCGAAAAATCTGTGATGCTATAGACTGTAGCACCTAAATGAGTGAACTGATTACAATGAAATTTGGCTAAAGTGTTCTCCTCGACACCTATTAAATATATATATATGAAACATAGTTATATATGCCAAAACAATATTATTGAGAATGCAGAACTTTAATGACGAATAACTCAAAAAGCGAGCATTTTTTGCACATATATGTAATTACAAATACTACAAGAACTACATTATTTTTTTGTCTCATTCCATTATATTTGTTTGAATTAATCAGAAAGTAAATATGTATATGTGTATATATTTATATTTGTTTATGTATATAACTATATATAATATATATATATATATATATATATATATATATATATATATATATATATATATATAACTTTAGAATTAAAAAATTCTTATTCTTATTTAAATTACAAATTATTTTTATCATAGGTTATTAACATTGTCAAATTTTCTCCCTGTGGAAAATTTATAGCTGGTGGGTCTACTTGTGGAAAAGTTTTTATTTGGTCATTAATAACATCAAATATTATTGAGGAAGACAACAGTAGTCGACAAGCTATTTGTGGCATTGCGTGGTGTGCTTCTAAAAGTATAGTTTTTGTTAATGCCAATGGCCAGCTCGGTTCTCTTCAGTTATCTAATTTCCAAGAAAATGATATAGAGGTAAGCTTTCTTTGCTAATCTGTCTTATAGAATTATATTTTTATGTGTTCAATCTGTTAGATGAGGTCAGAATATTATCATATTTTTTTTAACTTCCATGAATTTATTTAGTTACTATTGCTTTAGAAAGAAGAAATTGATCCTGGAAATATCCCACTTGGTGAACCGGAATTAGTTGACGATGACGATGATGATAATGTTATTTCTCTAGGGAAAATCAAAGCTGAAACTGGATTTGGGGAAAACGGAGAAATATTGAGATCTGTTTCACCTGTTGGTAATTAATCCTTTATTACTTACAGTTTCAGTTTTCTTAGATCATTTCAATTACATTGAAATTTACTGTAAAATTGTTTAAAACTACTTTTTTTCAAATTCATAATTGATAGTTATAACAAAATAAAAATCAACTACTTATTATTCTCTCTTCAATACTAATTATATTTCTTATATCAGATGAAGTTGATGAAAGATCAAGTGTAGTGGAAAGTGTCATAAGATCGAAAGTAAATATCACTGAACCACAAGGGGCATTTCAGCCATCTTCAACACCTGTACATCTTCAGCAAAGATACATGGTACCTCTTTATTTATTTTTAGTGATTAATTAGTAGTTAACGATTCATTATACCTTCTTAATCATGAATTAAATTAAAAAGTTGTGTTGTGTATTCGTTTTATGATTTCAATTTTTTTTTTTTTAGATTAAAACTTTTGTTTGTATTACTGTTTAATATAAATTAGATTAATTGGTTTAGTTAATTATTTAGGAAATATTCAACTATCATCAATTCATTCCATTCCATCCAATAATTTTATTTAATTTTTAAAATAATATAGTGAGATGTTTTGGTTTTTCTTGTCTCTAGCTTCAATAGGTTGTCAACAATGAAGTATGCTGAAGTTGAATTTCTATTTGTAACTTTCTGTTGAGCAACTGTTTATGTTTATTTTTAGTAAAAGATTCATATGGAATTTATTTCAACATTTAACTTAGCACTGGATGAGCTAAGTTTTTGGCTGAATTTCTTGCTGCATGTTTTTTTTCATTGGATTCCAGGGAAATAAACGGAAACTATGATGGGTTATTTTGGTAATCATAGTTCATTATATTTATGCTAAAACTCATCCACTATCAACGAGTTATTACTTTTTTGAAGAATTCACACTTCCTTGTATCTATAGAAGCAAAAAGGAAGATCGTGACTGCGAGCCGATGCTACTTTTCACTGCAAAAACTGAAGCAATCTTGTTCCTCATTGGACCAAGATAGTTAGTTCTATGGAAAAAACTTTATACTCTTATATACAATTGATTTGCACAGTTCATGTATAAGGCTCAGACACTTGGCCAACTAAAGCTGAAGAAAGAGATCTCCAACCTATTTGGATGAGAAGGAGCATTTGGGAAAAAGTTGAGTTGTCGGAGAATCTGATGTAAATTTATGAAACTTAAAAGGTTGAAATAGGCTGGTCATGTGGCAAGGCTGACTGATAATATGATCCCAACGAAGTTACTGACAGAATCCATACATGTAATACTTAGAACAGGGATGCCGCGATAGAGGGGTGTGTAGCCAATGAAGCAAAGAATATGATATGTATTTGAAACTGGATGTTTGCTGCATAGGATAAGGACTCAGGATAGGATGACAACTGCTGTTGAGTAAGCAATCACTTGTGTTCTCGAGCTACACATCATCATCAAACATTTTGTTTAGGAGTACATTAAAAACATTTTGAACTTACTCAAATTTTGTTTGTAAATTTATTTATCTCCAAATTAACAAATTAGTTGGTACAAAAGTATATGAATACATTTTTTAAAACCTGTGTTCCATTTTAGGTATGGAATAATGTGGGAATAATAAGACAATTTAATATGGAGGATATGAATGATATTGATATTGAATTTCATGATACATCTCTTCATCATGGAGTACGCATGAACAACCTTCTGGGTCATACCATTGCTACACTTACTGAAAAGTTAGCTGTTTTTGGATCTCCTAAGACAGAAGATGGTCCCAGGTAAACACTTAAAATATTATACATTTTTGTAACTTTTATAAGAATGACATTTGCGATATATTTTTTATGATTTAATTTCTTACATCCTGTATTAGGATACAGTACCCTATTTGCTATATTGTTGTTTATAGATTGTAACACATATATGTATTTTATATTATTTTTTATTTTTAGTAAATTAGTTTGTATACTTCTTAAAGCATGGGATGGACAAAAAGAATGGGACTGCTCCTTTGGTGAAGAAGAAATTGTACTTATTTCTGCAGGAGATGGTTGGGTTGCAGTTGCAACTGATATTTCAACTCTCCACCTCTTTTCAGCAGATGGTACTCAGACAGATCTGGTTTCATTACCTGGAAGACCTGTAAGCATAGCAGGCCATAAGGAACATTTGTGTGTTATTACAAATTGTGGAATAGGTGAGATATTAGCTTCAATAAACAAATCCTTTCTCTTTTTTAAAAATATTTATATAACACAACGGGTCTTATTCATTTCAGGATTACATGGAGATCAGTCATTATTTTTCATAGAGTTTAAAATAGACCCGTTGAGAAGGTTATTGAAGAGCACATCTCCTAAGCCTCTTCCACTATCATGTGGTTCCTCGCTGAGGTGGATTGGCTATACTGATGAAGGTTCATTAGTCACTGTTGACTATGTAGGAGTTCTTCGTATACTATATAAATCTGTATGGAGACCAGTATGCAATTTAGATAAGCAGGTAATTTTTGAAAAATAATTTACTGAGTTATTGTTTAAAGACTTAATAAACTTTTTAATCTACAATAACAGTAGATAGATTTTTAAAACCCTCTTATCATATTATCATTAGTATCAAATGTACAAATATAGTAAATCAGAGCTTTAAGTGACCAGTATTATTTTCTGGATTTTAAAAATTACCATTTATACTTTATAATTCATGTACTATAGCACTTTAGATCTTTAAGATATATTATCAGGCATCCATAATCTTTGCTTTTAGTGCAAGTCAGAATATGATCATTTTTTTGTTATTGGATTAAGTGAATTATCACAAAATGTGAGATGTATCTTATGCAAAGGAACCTACTATCCTCCAGTCACTCCAAAGCCATTGGTTGCAGAAATTAAATGGAAGGTAAGTTAAGCTATTAATGAAAGTTACTTTTAGTGATGAAAAGTTTCTGCCCCCTTTTTTTACCGTGGGCTAATATGTTCCTTTTTTACTATTTCTTTTTAGATACCGATGTGTGAATTGGATTCAGATAAATCTCAATTAGAAGAAGACCTATTGAGGACTGTCATAACAATACCTAACTTGCCTTCTGATCAAAATGAAGAAAAAAGGAAAATTGAAAAGAATATTTCAGTTGTTATTATGAAGTTATTTGCTGTAAGTGGAATGCATTAAAATTAAGAAATTATATCTTATCATATTGCTTCAAAAATAACTTTCTTGAGTCAGTATTGTTTTAGGAGTTTTAGCCATACTTGTAGGAAATTTTTCACTTCCTGGCAAAAGTTAAACATACCATAAGATACAAAATATTTCAAAATAAAAATAAGACAAAAGTTTCATTTCTTGTGTTTATTCAACTTATTAAGTTAATGCAAAGCCAGAAGTTTCTTCGATGAAGATATAAAAACTTTGTTTGGCAATGGAAGAAATATATTGAATTTTTAATAAAACATTTTTACTTTCATTTGCCTCATACCCTACAAGTGGCATTTTATATGTTGGATCTATTATCTAAAATAATTGCATTAAATGATGGCAAAATACTGTAACAAATATTTACACCAATATTTTCATTTAGTGAAATCATCTGAGCTATTAGTTATATGTTATTAGTTTAGATTAGTTATTAATGTGGTGCATTCTTAATTTTTTTTTTTTTAATTTCCTTATTTTTTTATTATAGCTATTATGATTTACTTTTCCTGATGTTTACTTATTTATTTATTAAATTTGTTTCTTTTTTTTTGTGTCCATTATAATTCTTGCAAATTTTTCACTCCAAATTTTTATGGTTCTAATTTATATAACTAGCCACATAAAATAATTTGCTTTCTTTTCCCCTTTTGTTTTCAAAGTTCCCCTTCTAATTAAATATTCATTCATAAAACTATAGTTCTTAGATTTTTTATGAAGATGTTATGTACTCCCATATCATTATATATATATCAATATTGAGTATATATTTCTTATGTATTAAGATTATTAATTCATCATGCTTCTTAGCTTGCATGTCGGAGTGGACTGGATTCGAGAGCTATTTCTCTTTGTGAAACCATGCCTTCTATTGAAGTTGTCAAACTAGCTGCTAAATATGCTGCTAAGTTGGGTAAACATCATCTAGCCGAAAAGGTGACGGACATCGCTAATAAAATGTCTAAAGTTAGGTAATTACTTAAGTATAAATTACTTTAAAACTTCGATTAACCAGACTAATGATAGGAAGGATTAGGTATAAGTAATGGAAATATACTATTTTTAGGATATGAATTTTATTACCAACAAACATATCCGTTTCAATGTAAACCAAGTAACCGACAAACTCCTACTGAAAAGTTGGACAAAAAAATTTGTTTCACTATTGATATAAAGTGGCACTTCCGGTTAGACGATTTTGACGAATAAGTTGTTGTAATATCTGAGGTATATAAAAACCTTAAATAAGCAATTTCACTTTCATACAGCTTTCTGATTTTGAGCTGGACTGTTTACATACACACAGACCATTTTGTGGGACTTGGTTATTTGGACTCAGGAGTCTTCAAAACATGTATTTCCGTTGAAAACTCAGATTCGAAATTTTCAAGACATATTTTATATATATATATTACATATTTCATATATATATGTAAGTGAAAGTAAAAAATTTAATTTCATCAAATTGAGTTAATTGTTTTGGTTTTTTATCATTTATTACTAAAATATGATGAAATATCAAGTTAAAAGAAATAAAACAATTAATTGTTGTTTGTAAAATTGACATTTAAAAAATTTTTAATTTAAAATAATTTAGACATGCAAAAAATGTAATTTCTGATGCAGACCACCAAGGGAAAACTTTTTACAGCCAAAAACACCAGATACTTTCACCTATAACTTGTAAATGATGTATTGAAAACAAAAAATATACTCTTTAAATTAAAGAACATTAAATTTTCCATTTAACGAGTACCTAAATTTAATAATTTGGTTAAGTGGGTAGAAAACCAACCAACCCTGATTTTTATCAAATTTGTCAAAAACTAAGAAAAATTACTCTAAATGACCCTGCTGCTTTGAAATGTGTTCCCTTAGAGGAAAATCACATAGAATTAAAATGGTAGACCTAAAGTTTTGCCTCCACGGGGTACTAACATTTTTAATGTAGGTCAGTATAGCTCTCGGATTGGGATTTGTTATTTCTTCATGAAATTCGGTTTCTTTTAATACATTGTTTCTCAAAATCCTTCGCTGCTGAGAGGTGGAAAAGAGGTTTATGCTGCATGTAACAGACTTTTAGCAATAATAACTCTGTAGAATAGACACCTATACTGTCAAAATATTGAAAATCACACATACCTTCATTAGCAATTTCTTGTCATCAGGAGATTACCGATTTAGTTCGGGGTAAGTCATCTACATTAAAAATGTTAGTAATCAGTGGACGCACAATTTGATACCCTAAAACTTTTATTCTATTGGTTTTTCCTCTTGGGGAACTCATTTCCAAGATACAGACAGGACCATTTATAGTAATTTGTCTCAGTTTTTGGCAAATCAGCATTGATTGACTGTGGTTTTCTACCATACCAGTTAACCAAATTATTAATTTTAAGTGCTTGTTCGATGCAAAATTTAATGTTCTTTAATTTCTTAAAGATTACATTTTTCGCTTTGATGCATTGTTTAGAAGTTAAGGTGAAAAAACAAAAAAAGATCGAAAAAATCTGGCTTTTTTATGCTGTAAAAAGTTTTCCTTTGGTGGTCTGCGTTCGCAGTTTTGTTTTTTGCATGTTTAGACATGCATTATACATTATATATATATTAGATATGCATTAAATCAGCAGCTCAGGAATGGCAGACAAGGTTCATTTTACTTTAAAATATATACACTTTCATAATTTACAATCAAACCTTCGCCTATGATGAGGTCAATTTTTGGGCCCTGGCTTCAGGGCTATTATTTAAGTAAAAGTATTAAACTTATACAAAAATACATAGTGAACTGATTTACATCAAACTTTAGAAATCTTTAGTGTTAAAAGCAAATCTGGCGTTCAAGAGGTGTTTAAATCTGTGACATATGCATACTACATTGCTAGTTTTTGTTTTAAAAGAAAATATCAACACCATCACTATCACTGGAAAATAATTATCTTAAAGTCATAAAAGATTTTCAAATTTATCCTGACAGTACTACAGATTACATATCTTAAGTATTAATATTTTTAGGTCAAGGTTTCAAATAGGCCACAATATTTCCACATTGTACTCCAATCTTTAAACAAAAATTTTTACTAGAAAAATTCTAAAATATTATTTAATTTTTGTTAATATTATTTGTTCCATAGTGAACATTCAAAATACGATATCATATACCACCCGAGGTTGTACATGTTTAAGATAAAAAATTGAAGAAAAAAACAGTCAATTTTTTTCTTTATCTAATTAAAACCACACAATTAGTATTATTTTTACTGAGAACCTATTTGAATTTTTCTTTTAGTTTTATTCCGGAAATACCAGAGGAAAATTCTGATACTGAAAACGCAACAGAACCTGAAAATGATAATTATTCACAGGACATGTTTGGTGATAATGAAGGTATGTAAACTACTTTATTCCCATATTTTTATTTTTATTTTATTTATTTATTTTATTTTTTTGTCAGTATCAATTAAGAACCATTATAATTTGAGTGTGATAAATTCAACTTATCTCTCTAAATAGTAGGATATATACCGGACCTGGATTTGTTACCTTAAAAAATCAGAAAATTTTTCAAACCTATAACAGTCATCCAATTTTATTACCTGAAACCATGTCAGAAAATTTTACAAGATAGAGGACATGAGTCCAATTTCGCTTTGATCATTACAAATGTTACTATTTATTGATAATAAATTATGAATAAGCATATAAGTTGTCTTTGTTGTTTATTACCTCCAATAAATGCTAATGATAAAGCCAGTCCTGATATACGTCTGCAAGACCTGGACACTAATGAGCATCCCAGAAAGAAGTTTTGAAATATTGAGGGTAAAATCCTCTGCATGATAACTGGAGGGATCTGATATCAGAGTACTAATCCATGCAGAAGAAGGACCAATAAAGAACTGCTTACAGAAACTGGTAAATTAATATCTCATTATATGGAGGCAAGGAGCTTAAGATGGCGGGGCATGTAGAGCTCTAAGCAATTAATTAGGAAGTCTCTTACACAATTATGAATACCTCAATAGTAGGCAAGAGACCACATTTAAGACCATATTGACAGATTGAATCAATCAGAATGCTGCAGAACTACATGGAGATAATTGGAAAGAAGTAATCCAAGATAGGCAGAGATTGCAAGGTATTTAATGTCAACAGAAAAATAAAAATGTGCTGAACAAAAATGAAATTATCCTCTTGATATTTAATCATCTATTATTTACAGAAAATCAAAAGAAAAATATTTGATGAAATTGTGGATTTTTTATGCAAGCCATTGTTAGCTCAATGAGCGATCTTTTTTTCCTCAAAATTATAGTATTAATTATTTTGGATTAATATCTCTTATTATATTACTCTTGACTGTTATAAATATTACTAATCCATAAAAAAATTGTTGGAATAGCAATATGAATTTAGAGCATTATCCAACAAAAAAGTATGCATTCAGCTTGTTTGATGTTATTTATTAGTTTATTAATTATCTATTTGCAATGTTTTATAGCCAAAGAAAATTTAATTTTAAAATTGAAAAAAAAGAAAGAACAGATGAGCCCCAAACCTCTGAGAATTAGAAGAAATGAAAACCCTTTTAAGAAAGCCAAAGAGGAGGTCAAGGTTGCTTCTGATGGAGTAAGTAAAACGTTCTTTTGTAAATACAATATTTGGGAAATTAAATTTGCCATAAATATTTCACATCAAAAAGACTTATTCCTTTTTTAAGTTCCCTCTCACTTATTTACTTTGAATATTCATGAGGAGTACTATATTAATCCTACTTTAGCGATGTTAGTTCAATACCCATCTAGGGTTTTCAAAAATTATGGAGCGAACCTACTAAATATCTATCCTTCTGGTGGAATAAGGTGCCAATCATTCTTTATTGTCATAGTTGCAACACATAAGAATAATTATTAATGTCATATTACTACAAGTAATAGTAAATTTTGTAGATTTGTCTGTGTTATTTATTCTTCCCATATTAAAAAAGTCTTGTAACTGTTGATTATTTTATTTATTGAGTTGTTTTTCTGCTTTAGAACACTTCTGTTGCTGAGCCCAAAATGAACTTCCTTGATTGGTATGATAACAACAGATCCAGGTTACAAGAAGATCATCCTCTTCTTAAAGAGGGGGAGTTAGCGATGGCTGGAATGAAGCTTTACAAACAAGAAAAAACTATTAAAACAACTCTTAACCAATCTGTGGTAATAACAATTTTTTTTTTAAATCATAATCAATCTTAATTATTATTAATTTTGAAGAGAATGATGGTTGGTGTGATCAGTCAGAAATAAAATGACAAAAATAAATAGTAATATTTATTTTAACATTTGCCGACGTTTTGACCTGAAGTTCAGGCCTTTATCAGGGCTGTTTGAAGAGATTGCTTGAATAGAGTCACTCAGGGACGGAATATTACCAATATTATGCAAATGCCAAACTTTATTAATATATTGCAATACATATTAATGTTGTATCATACTAATAATGACTATGGAATCATTCTTATTTTTATTCACTTAATATTAAAAATGGAATAAATTAGTGATAACTTTATAACAACAATATCAGAGCTTTATTCTGTAAATTGGAAGTCGATAATTCAAGGCGAACTAAGCTGTAGTAGGCTTTTTAATGGAGAAAAAGTTTCTCAAGCCAAGAGAAATAAGCCAGTTTTTAAAAAAAATTTGTTGTCCCTTTAGGATTTTTTTCAGAAAGCTATAGGCATTTAGTACTTAGGTTAAATTTTTTTTTTTTGTCATAAATTACTTTCTTACACTTAAATTATTTTTGTTTAGAACACTGACATAATTTATTAATAATCATAATTTATTACTTACAGGAAGATATTGATAAAAATGACATCCCTCCTCCTGAGCCGGAATTGAGTAAAAAAAGGAAGATTTCGCCAGAAAACAGTAATGTTTCAAACAAAAAATTGAATGTTTCTTCAAAATTGAAATCATTTAGTTTCAGTAAACGATAACACTTTGTATGAATATATTTTTTGATACATTTAACTATAAACTTTGTAAATATTGTTTTTAATTTTTATAAAAATATATTACATAATTTCATTACATACATTTCTAAATTTGTAGACTTTTTTTTAGGTTCACTGTATCCTAAGTGGAGCAATAACAAATCAAGAAAGAAAATAATAACATGTGAATACAATATGAACATTCATTGAGAATTTTTTTTCCTCTTTGAAGGTATTAACTATTATAAATGTAGAGTGTGGTTGACAGCAATATTGTTCCATCTAAGTAATGAAAAAATAAAAATAGCTCTAACAAGCAAATAATATAAGTGGGAGGAAATTAAGAGGTTTCTCTTAACAACGAACTGTCAATGATTAAGTTAGTTGTGGTTTTGAGGTGTAGTGACATTTAGATATATACAGTGAAACTTCCCATAGCAGGCACTTCTCTATAGTAAGACTTTTCTCTACTGTAGGCAACATTAAAATCCCTATCTATTTTCATAATACAAATGGCTTCTGCATTACAAAGGTCCTCTCCAACAGATTTGCACAGGCTTGGTACAAAGATTTGGATTGAAAAACTCCATAATGGACAGCAGGAAGCCAGTGAGGCTCATATTCTGAAAGCATTAATCCAATTTATATTTAATCAGGACAACAGATTTCTATGTGAAATCCATGCTAGTTTGGTGGTAAATTTTGCCTCATTGTCAGGTTTTATAATATGACCATGAACTTTAAAATCAAATATATACTTAGCTGGTAGAACCTGAAACTCTAGGTAGTACTTATTCTTAAGTGTCACTCCAACATTATGGATGGTCCTTTAATCATACTGTTGGTGTTGTGGAGGAATTCATCTGTTTTGACAGGTTTAGATTTCATTCCCTAAATCAAACTAAATAAATTGTTCTGGGAATTTAATTATTTATATAACCTATCGTAAAAAGATTAGGTACATACATAAAGTAGCTTCTATAAACCTTTTAGCAGTAAGGTACATCGCAAGATTACTTTTGTGAATATACATATCACTCAGTAAAATATTTAGGGCCTTATTTAAAAAATAAAGAAGAGCCAAATGGATCAGAAAGAACCCTCGCTCAGTATCAGACCATAGATGAAGAGCAGATTAAAAAGAAGATTTAAAAAATAATCTTCAATAATATGTTTGTAAAATGAAAATTTATTATATTAGATGGGTAGAAATGAGTTAGAGTTTTAGTAACAATTATAAGAAGTTAAACATGATTGGGAACTTCTCTATTTTACTGCAATCTACAAAAATATATGACAGTTATGAAATTTTTTTGTTTATTTCTCTGTAATGCTTATAATTTATTTTTTATTTTTTTTGCATTATCTTTATTTGCTGTTTTAACTTTTAATTGAATTTCCATCTTCTACAACTGGTGGGTGATAACCTAACTAAGGATCCTTTTTTTTCATTACCTTTTCTGCTATACCTTCTTCCCTGAGGCAGGGGATTGATGCCAGAGTGGAATTCCTTATTTCCGATTTATCAAGTTGCTGGATAACACATATTTTTCAAGTGCATTAGCCCGCTCCACAACCTCCTCCCTTAAATGAGGATCTGTTAAGGATTCTCAAAAATAATAGGTACAGAGCTTAAGGCATTTCCATTACTACTGCATACCGCCATTACATGAACATTTTGCCCCACCTTTATAATCTTCCTGAAGTTAATCCAGAACTACTAAACAAGTACTTATTTCCTCTAGCACTAAGTCAGGTTTGAACTAAATAACCAAGCACACACTGTATTTTTACACATTGTTCATTGGCTGCCTATTTTGATTTATGGTTATTCAATTATTTTAAGAGCTCTTTTCTTGGCACCAAATGTTTGAAGGTATTTAGAAACCTAACATTTCAAGAAATTTTGGCCATTAATATCATTCAAATGTGGTTTCCGCAGAGGGATCTCAAAACCCCTTGTGGTACTCCACCATCCTCATTAAACTCAAGTCCTTTTATTATCTTCCCATTTCAACTCTTACAAAACCCTATTAAGTGCAGGCCGCGCCCTTACTACCAGATGGACATCATCTGTGTAAACTAATAACTGTATCTATTGATTGTGCCGCTAGGATTGGTCTTAATTCCTCGTCTTCTCTTCTTCTTTCCTCTACCTCCTTTGTGCCTAACTTTTTTTTTCTCCTACCCTGTTACCATTTCTGGCAACAGGGGGTATGTGATTTTCGCAAATGCTACTGCCAGCAATAATTTTATTAAAACCATCTTTATTTTTTTATTACATGCTGCTAGGATGGATATTTATTTTAGGGATACAATGTAAGGGTACTATGTGATGCAGTCCAGCAAGCGGTTGCACCCAGGAAGGCAAGATGCGCAACCAGCTGGAGACTAAAGTGCGGTCCCATCAATAAGGCACACACCCGTGCACGGAGCCGCACCACAGTAAAAATAAAAGCGTCTATTGGCAGCAGTAGCAGTACTTATTCCCAATGTATTAACACACCGCTGAAACCCCATGTGGGAAAAATGACAGAAAGGGGATTTAAAAAAATAATAATTAAAGAAGAAGTAAAGTATCAACAACACCTACTTCTCCTCTGCTCCTTCGACATCCGGTGTCATTGGCATCAGCGCTTTTGCTGTGCTTTATTCCTTGGTTGACCCGAATTACTGCGGATGCCCCGCCACTCGCAGCACTGGTTTCAAATTGTCTGTCATTAGGTGCTCCAGGACTTTACTGATGGCTGGGAGGAGACATATGGGCCTATACGCCTAAGGTTGTTTTTTATCCTTACTTTCTCTCTTTTGCAGGTCTAAGGTCCGGTTCCTTCAACTGGTATGGAAAGTGCCTTCTGTCCAAGCACAGATTGCATATTGTTAGGAGCTCGTTCTCTATATAAGGTGCACCATTCCTCAAGATTACTGTATCGACCTCATTCATTCCCGGCCCATAATTATTTTCTGTTTCTCTAATGCCAGACGGAAACATCAGATGCCCCGTGGCTCGCATAGGTCAGTTCCGGGAGGGTACTCTAGTTCTTCTAATCATCTGGCAATCCTTCATGTCCTGAATTGAATCATCCTTGGGATATGTAAAGTCAAAATCCGCGGTTACAGCTTCCTCCAAGGTTTCAACCTGCCTACCATCTATTCTCATGGCAGCGAGGAGGTAGGTAGGTTTCACCTTGTTGAGTGCAATCCTGTACGGTATTCTTCAGGGATTTGTCTTGGTCACCCTTTCAATTCATCCCAGGATGATTTCTTCCGCTGGTGCACTTCCTTACAATACGCTCTGATTCTGCACCTGCTCTCAACAATTTTCACCAAACTGATACCACTCCTATTGGGTACCGTGAAAACGCTTGTCTACCAACCCAGACAGATCTGGTTATATTCTGGGGCATTCACCCCACGTAAATATGCTAGATTTCAAACGATGTTAAGCCGTTTTTCAATTCACCTTAAAAAGCCAAAACAGACGATAAAGCCAGGCAGATGCTACACTAAACCCCACTTTCGATCCCATAATCTCAGATCATTTTATGCACATGTTTGCTTTAACCTCATAAACTAGATTGACTAGGGATCATGGAAAAATATTGTCTACCAATCCAAAATTTGGTCAATTAAGCAGAGTAACCTTGTCTTAAAAATCCATTTTCAGTGCATGAAAATTCGGTTCATTAAAACATATTTTCACTTAAACCCTCTACTCATGGCAATCCTAAGTTTGATCATGTAGATTTTTCATAAGAAACAATTTTGTTTTATTCAAAAGATGAAATTCTCAATGATTAGTGGATTTATATTGAATTTTCTTTTTATTTGTAAGGCTTTTTAATAGTAGCTATTAAAAAATGTATCTCATAATGATAGTATAGTGTTAAAATATAATAAGCATTTTATAAATTAGTTGTAAGATGTTAATCAAGAAATAGATGTATTTAAAATTTATGTTGTAATGCGTGTATTGGGACTTTTATAATTATATACATATGGACAGCCACACTGCAAAAACCTGTAAGGACAATTTCTTTGGAAAATGAGATTTTCTGCTCAGTCTTGTGCTTGGGTATATTCTGATCTCACAAAATGAAATCTATTATGTTTCAATTCTTCTCTATGGCTTCTCTATCCTGATCTATGGCCATTCCATGTGCTCCGACCCCAATGCTATTGTATTTGACCTGGTACAGGACGGAGGATGCTCCCACGGTATAGACAGAGGATATATTACCTGAAGAGAAGACTGGAGCTTCTTCCGGTCAGCGCTGGAGGGAAAGCTAGTGGATGAAGAGTAGGACCACGCGGATGTTAACAATACGGATGACCTTGATTACAAGGTATCCAGGATTACCAAAGTTATTAGGGATGCCGTGGAAGAATCCCTCAAGCACCACAAAGCGAGAAAATGACCTGTCCCATGGTGGTCACCGGTCTTAAGCAACCTAAAGAGAGAGCTCTACAAGGCCCTGCGGTCATATCAGAGGTGTAGTAACGAAGAGAGGCGTGCTACACATTTTTGAGGAGTACAGGTCCTAAGGCTAGGGTATAGTGGAATGAGGTGCGCTAGACAGAAACGAAGATCATGAGATGAATTCGCTCAGGAAAAGTCAGCGAAGAATCCCTGGGGTATCCCATACAGGGTGGCCCTTAGGAAACTGACCCCACAGCAAGTCTGCAGCCCTGAAGCAAAGGGGCCACTCTGGAGTAAACAGCAAAGATGTTTATTATAGAGGCATATCCCAGGGATGATCCATCACAGGGTAATAATGACCATACATTTGTGAGAAGAGCCACAGTATACCTGCCTGGGGCGGACCTGTGTCCATCATGGTACATTTATGGCCTCCATAATGAAAGACTGACCAGGCCCCAGGTTTAGATGCCATTGATGTGGCATTGCTCAAGAATAGTATTCCCTATCTAGAGAATAGGCTGCTTCCAATTCTCAACGGCTGCCTAGAAAGGGGATACTTTCCAAGAAGCTGGACAATTGCTGATGTCAGACTCTTCTACAAAGGAAGAGACAAGGACAAGCAACTTGTCCCCATTTGCCTCCTTCCTCTAATGAGCAAGGTATTGGAAAACCTGATGCTCTTGAGCCTTCGACCAGTCTTATCAAGATCGAGCCATCCACCGCAACATGGATCCACTAAAAGCAAGGGAACCTCAGATGCCATGTTTCTAGTACGTCGTGACGTAGAAGGAAGAGCGGAGAGGTATGTTATGCTTCTCCTGTTCGACATATCCTCTGCATTTGACAGCGTGTGGTGGCCGAGTATTCTCGAGCAGTTCCAGAAGTACGAAACTCCCAGTACCCTGTATGAACTAGTGAGAAGCTACCTCCAGGACCGGAAATTGAAAATTAGGGGCAGATTCTTTGAAGTAAAAGACACCGTTGAGAGGGTCTGAAGCTAGTCTTTGACGATTTGCTGGAGAAGCTCGAAGAGTAGCGGTTCCCTGTCACGGCATATGTTGACGATTTGGCCGCCGTGGTGGCCTCAAACAGCACAGCCAGTCTGAAAGCAGAAGCTGAACGATGCGTCAGTTTGGTAGTAAGATGGTGCGAGAGGTAGAAGTTAAAGATGACTGCAACAAAGACCCAGGCAATTCTCTTGAGGGGTACGATTGACAGGGCAGATCATACGTTGAGTATAGAAAAAGAAAGGATACGTTCAAGTGAGGTTGTCACCTACCTTGGCTTAAAAATTGATCGAAAGTTCAACGTGACTCCTTACCTGGACTATATGAGAACTAGAGTCACAGTGGCCCTGTGAATGGATTCAGTCGTGTCGGAGGCGCCTTCTGGGGTCTCAGATATGCCTATAAGGCAAGACGGGAAGAAAAAAAAATTAACAACTTTTGACCTATCCAGGGCAGGCAATGAAAATTTCGTTTTAGTAAACTTTATAATGTATAATCATTTATAGTTAAATATTCAGATATGCTTTCAAACTTCTGTAGGCATACATGAGCCCTTCGGTTGACAGAATGACCTTCAATTTCAACATTCTTTATTATTAATTTTAGTAATGTTCTAGTGGCAAAATGTATACCTTTATTCGCAGTTCTATATTTCAACACTCCAATCAGCTACTCCGGAATCAACTTGCTCACTATCTGTATAGGTACCTTTTTCAACTAGAAACATCACTAAAATGATATTAAAAAATGTTGAAATTGGAGTTAGTCATTTTGTCAACTGACTGAATAAAAGCAGATGGAGTGACTAGATTTTTATTGCCTACAGTCGATATAATAAATAGACATTTTGTAATTAGAATGTCTTCATGATTTGTTATCTGTAATCTTTAAGCTTTTAGCTACATTTAAAATGCACTTCAAAAAATTTATAATAGCCCAGCATTTCCAAATAATAATTTCTACTCAAAGTAGAGCGGTAAGTGAAAGTTATAAGTTGCGCGCACCAGATTTTTGTGGTTGATATTAAAATTTCGAAGAGTCTAGGCTAGGCGAAAGTTTCATGCAAACTATTTTAATTTTTTTATTGCTATGGCAATTCGTATTTTAGAGCTTTTTGGGATGTTTCTCCCTAAAAAAATCTTTATCCCAACATCGCTAAGTCGGTTTGTTAAATTTGTTCCCTTATTATAGCTGTTGGATTTACATCCATGATTTTTGTATATATGTTATTTGGCATTATATACCATGTATTTTGTAAGTTGTTTTGTATTAATAACATGGGAGCTCCCGTCTCATCCTGTCCTGCCCCCTCTCTAAGGTACTAAGACGGCCTTATCTACGAGCAAACTACATCTCTCAGCCCAACTCTACGGCCAACGGCTAACGGGGAGAGATGGAGATAAGTACAACCCATTGTCTATACGTTACGACCCTTCGGCCACGCGATAATTACGGCGAAAACCTGAGGCGGCATAGGGAGAGAGGCGACGGAACACGGGAGCGAGACTGGCCCCTCATCAAATTGTATGTTAAGATTGCCATAATTAATTAACCCACTAAAACTGATTGCCCCTTCCGGGACATAATTGGAAGTTATAATAAAAGGCAAAATAAGTAGCGACGTCATTCACAGATATTCCTCCATTGAGCTTTTCATTTTTTATTTCTCAAGAAAACAGCTCCCGGTCATATAGCATGTACCGGACCCTCCAATATTGTACAATGGCAATCTGCTAAATATAATTTATTTTCTAAATTGGCCCGGTATCTAGAATAAAGAATTTTTTATAGAGAAACAATTGAAGAGAAGATTGGTTGGGGCGATCAGTAAAAATAAATAAGTATATTTATTTTATTTTTGCCGACGTTTCGGCCCAAAGTTCAGGCGTTCATCAGAACTGGTCAAACGAAAGGCAAGACCAATAGAGAAACAAAAGTTGATTCTCCCCAAAGTTCTCTCTCTATTCATTGTTGATTTCCCCCCTTTAAAGTGGAGATTCGTCTTATCGATAGTCACTAGAATTAGTTTTTATTATCGATGCAATGATATCGACTATCACCCATCTTTCGGTAACTGAATTTAGGCTCCAATTCACGGTTGAATAACGTTACTTGAACTATCGACTTGGTTGTTGAATTTTTTGTTAATGAACGGTAGAGATTTAAAATAATAGATCTGCTTTTAGTTTGATTAGCATGTTCGAAGAAAATAAAGATCTCTTAAACACTATATTCCTGGGCGAGGTTACAACTAATATATTTGAAATATTTTCTTCCACTATATTTGTTTAAATAATTGAATAAAGAATGTTTAGGTGGCGAGTGTTCAGCAATATGGGGCTTTTATTAAATTAGCTGGAAATAAGAATCAAGGACTAGTCCATCGAACCCAAATATCCAATAGCAATGTTGATGATGCTTCAGATGTTTTGCAGAAAGGCGATAGAGTATGGTGCAAAGTCATTAAATTGACAGTTAGTATTCTATTTAGAAATAATATTTGTTACAAATTGTTATCTCTTATTTTATTTTAAAATAGTTCTGCAAGCTGGACTTGGCTATATTATATTTTTTCTTAGGCTTAGTTTTTTCTAAATTGATTCAATTTAATATATACATTTATCTATGTAAATTTTGGTGAGATCTTTATTTTTGTGTCCAAATTAATTGCATAATTTTAAAATTCACATTCTTATAGCTTGTTATTAGTGCATTAGTCTTGGATCAAATAATTTATATATTGATTGGAAATAAAATTTTAAAATCCTGTAGCAAATATTTTAACGTGATAGAGCCCTATAAAGCATTTTGATGAATATTAAAATTGATATGATCTTATGTTGAATTTTAAAACGTGTTCTATTTAAATCTACCATGGATTCTTCTTTAAGGTCTTGTTTATGTATTTGTATATTGAAATTGTTTTGTTTTGGTATTAGGATGATGGGAAAATTTCGCTGTCTATGAAAGTTGTTGATCAAGGAGATGGGAAAGATCTTGATCCAAATGGTGTTCAGATACAGTGAGTAAACTAATGTGTTTTGAATTTTGTTCAACTATTTGTAATGGTTTGATTTTTAATTCTTTTTCCAAGTCAGGATGAGCAAAAACGACGTGAAAAGCCAAATAGCTCAGGAAGAAAAAAAATTGAATTAGAAGCTGTTTTTAATACTACCTGTTCAAAATGTGGAGTGCATGGCCACATTGCCAAAGATTGTTTTAAGGTTTGTATTTATAGTTAGCATTAATTACATTTTTACATTGATACATTCTGGTTATTTCCTTCCCTAAGTAGAGACAGAAAATGGTCTTGATCATCAACTTGGTGGACCTAAAATGTACCAAACAATTTTGGCATTCAGTTTACACCTTCCAACTTTTTGCTTTCAGTCAGTTAATGTTATAACATGGATATCATATTTACTTCAAAATATAGTATCTTTAATATTGATATAAAGTATTGGCCTTTTAAAGAGGATGGTCAGAAGTGAATGAAGGGGTAGCAAAATTAACTTTTTCCCTGCAGTAGCTTAATTCCAAAGTACGATACGTTTTAAAGGATTCACCTACTGATTTTTTTCTCTTTACTTTTTAATTCACAACTGTCAATGTTCTCTGACAACCAATGAACGAGAATACAATATACAAATAATCTAGAAGAATGCTTTTATCCAAGTTTGAATATTTGATGTAAATATGACTTTTTTAGGATCCAACTGGTAAAGTTTATGAACTTCTTCCTGATGAAGATGTTCCTGATAACAGTCAAGATCCTGAAACTGTAAGCAGAGATATTAAAGAATTGAAAAGGAAAAAAAAGGAGCTAAAAAAGAAGCATAAAAAAAATAAGAAAAAAAGACATCATTCTTCATCCGATGTAAGTTTAATTTGTTCATATGCACGTTGTATTTGTATGAAATGTTTACATTTTTAAACATAGTCTGTAAGAGAAAGATTTACAAAGTATTCATACACAATGGAATATCAGAGCTCAACCAAATAGGGAAGAGGGTTGAAAAACAAAAAAAAAATGTAATTCAATTAGTATTAATAAAATTAACCTTGATTATCTCAAAAGTATAATTAGTGGTTTGACATGATTAGCTTTAGTTCTGTGTGCCTCTTATATATTTGAAGCTAACAACCATCTTAATCTGTAATTGATATTAAGAAAGCAGAAGGGTGTCACCACAAAATTGTTAGTGCTTATGCTTGAATATTGTGCAATAATGGCTTAATTTTTACCCTCTCCTCTTCTTGCCAGGATTTATAATATTTCAGTTCAGATCTTAAGACAGAACGTGCGTCCATAAGGTCAGACTTCATCTGCTTCAGCTCAATCTGGCGACGTTCCAAAAAGATTTGGAGATTGTAAGCCATTCCCAGATTGTTTTCTGCTTGGAACATTCCAGTGAGGGCACTTATATTAAACAAATGAATAATTCAGATGCACTTTGTGGGTGGTGTGGCCAAAATTATTAATGTATATTTTAATCACATTATTATATCAAGCATGCTATCAAATTTTTATTATGAAAAAGATGGCATTCATATATCCAATTCATGATATTTTTAAGAGATCTGGTTTAGGGCATCTTTTAGCTACCTGTAAAAAGTTATCTAAAAATGGTCATCTGATTAGGTATCTTTTTTAAGATATCAAACATAACTAAAAAAAGGTATCTTTTAGGTGTTTTTCAGACATTAATGCTGGATGGGTTTTTAGTCTCTTCCATAACAAATCTTTATTAATAAAAAAACCTATATTAATCCTTTCAACATTGTTTTCGTGTTGTATATCCTGTGAATTGAGCATTCTATACTGACTTTTGGGAAAATTTAACTTTTAAGATTTATTTATTTATGTAGAGGCGACCTTTAGATGGAACGCCTATATAGAAGAAGATTTATTTAAAATTTTAAAAGTAATATTTTATTTTCAGAGTTCTGATGATGATAAGAGAAAAAAGAAGAAAAGGAAAAAAAGAAAAGACTGAATGAAAAATTATTTAAATACAAGATATAATTATCAATGATGATGACAGTTATTATTTTTTGATTTATTTAAAATTTATTATTATGTGTAAATAATAGTTTTTTTTTAAAGAAGTGAATGAAATTACTGTTGATCTTATTTATTACCGATAAATAGAAATACACAATTTTTATATGTCCTTATAGCTGGTAAATTGCCGTTAAATTATGAAAGAATAAAGTATCAGGCACAAATTTGATAAAACACAATTTGAATATGGTTTGTGTCAGAAATAAAACCTTGTGTTTGTTGCTTTCTCTAACACCTAGCTTGTTGAGATATACCCTATACCTTTAACCCTGATATCACTGACAGATTCAGGATTTAATTTTGGGGGCTTCAGCCAAAAAGCTTTTGCTTTATATATATATTATGATAATTACTTTGGAAGAATAAGAAAGAAACTTACTGTCTGTATGAAATGAGGTGTAATTAAAAGTAATTGGATGAACAATAATATTTTTTTCATTAAACGTGGTTATATTTTACCACTTTTTGGGGGAGAGGGAGTCTTCAGCCACCAACAAAAAATAATTTTTTTTTTCGCTTATTTCCACAAATGTTTGGAGCCCCTTCATAAATGTTTTGTACTTTCTTACGTCCGTATAATGATTGGAGGCCCTTTCTGAGGTATCTAGTTGGTATGTTTGGCTCCTAAAATAATTGTTTTGATTAAAATCTGTATATGCAAATTCAAAAGGAGTTGTAAGAATTAATGGTAGAGAGTCTATTTCCTTTTCCGATAAATAGAGGTGTCAAGTAGAGGGACAGTCTGAGCCCTCTCTTACTTACTGTTTTTATGAATGAAATCCATAAACTTTGTAAAAGACGAACAAACTGAACAATCATCGGCCAGTGGAACATGATACTCAGTCAGTGTCGCTTGTTTGCAAATGATAACATTCTCATTTTGTGATTTGAAAGAGAAACTGCAGCAAGCTCTACTGGAATGGCAGGAGGAACTTAAGTGGAAAGGTATACTCATCATTGCTTCTAGGAGTAGTGTGCTGGTTCTTTCCTAAGAATATGTAACAGCTCCATATCTACTAGTCAGTATATCTCCGTAATCTTACATACGAGAGGTGGATCATGCTGGACAAGCGGATAAGTATAATCACTGCAGCTGAAATGAAATAATAACTTAATTTCGCAGGAAAATGAGAAGAGACCGCATAAGAAATAAAATGATTAGGGAAGAGCTGAAAATCCAACTTTGAAATAAGACAGCTCAAGTGGCTCTCTCATGTTTGTCCAATGAGGGAGGAGCTGGAATCCAGGAAGTTTATGGAAGTTCAACCTAATAGCAAGAGGCCTCACGAAAAGCCTAGAATTTTGTATAAGGAATATATCTAGAGGATTGAAGAAAAAACCAACAAATGAAGCAAATCTGCAGAGACCATGAGGCTTAGTAGCGATGGATTAAGGCCCCTCCACCCTAGATATGGCACAAGGAGCCGGACCGGCACTGTTTAAACTTACTGAACTCCTTTAGCTCCTAGTGTAGCAAAAGACCTCAATGAACAACTTCCATTCATATCTGTTACTAGCTAGAGCCTTCACCTGAGCCGAGTTTTTTCTGCCTGCTCTGCCTCATTCAGGAGGCGATGTGAGGTCGTCCTTCAAGTAGTTCCAATCATGGCCAACTTTTCCACCACTCCAGGCTGTTTTCGGAGTGTGTAGTCAATCCACCTCTTTTTTCTTATGTCTTGCTCAACCATGCTCTGCTTCGGGCCAAATGATGTTAAGGATGCAGCGGAGACGGTATTGGTAAATACTTTAACAAAATTTTAATGATCAATAATTATATAATATTAACTTTTATCAACGTATTTTGTAGTTGATCGTTGGGATATAGATCAGATTTTTTCAAAAAATCAGCTTACAGTTTTTTTTTTAAATTATCTCAACGTCTACCGAAATTTAAGTTGTAAGTTCTCAAAATAACCGATAAATGATTATATTAAGAGCGTCATGATCATAGAAAAAAAACCAATGTTAGTTTTTACTTATATATATTTTATTTTTATTTGTACAAGCCCATTTTTTCACTAGGTTTTCTTTGGCCTGAATTTGTAACCTTATCCCCGGAAGAGTGTTGCTCCTGGTTATCTTTCTTGATATACTTTAAATTACCTTTCATTAAGTGCTTTCATTTTGTCATGGTTGTTCGTAAACTTGTGGCCTTAGGTTATCATTCCGCTGACTCGTTTTGTATTAGTAGTGAGTTTGTATAATCAAAGTTTTGTTTGTTGAAAATTATTCCTGATATTAACTTTTTTTTTGTCAATTTAGATGAACAGCATTTTAAAACTGTGGTTTTATGGTTAGAAGATCAAGTTATTAGGCACTATAAAATTGAAGACCGTGAGAGCTTGAGGGATTTAGATTCACCCAATTGGAATAATGCATTTGTGCAGTACTGTAAGGATTTAGAGTGTCCTCTTCCAGTTGCCTCGCCTAATGAATGTTTAGAATGGATTGCCGGTCTTGCTGTGAGACTGGAATATTCTGATAATAGTAAGTTTGGGGGTTTAAACTGTTAAAATTATCAATTTTGAATTTATATTGCAACCTAGGCTTATATTTATACTGATGATCTTATATTATAACCAGTCTGGTATAAATATTACAGAAATTGCTACTAACTCTCAACACAATTCATACTTTCCTTCTTCTGAGTTATTAAAAGCAATATAATAGTTCTAGACAAGAATTGAACAAATAAAAGCTATGAAAACCCTGGCCTTTGTTAAAGATTTCATTTTTCACATAAGATGTAATGTGAATGTTCCTGCCTTAATCTTATCTATATTTTTATCACTTTGAGCTCCTATTTTAAAAATTAGGACATTACTGTTGATGAAATATTTTCTTTGATCACCTTATATCACTTTAATTTCCAAATGCTCCATAGGTACCCTTAAAATATTCCTTCCTTCTTATCTTTCACAGCTTATACATTATCAATGGTCACATTTCCTCCCAGTTTGGTGATGGGTGTGTGATGTATGAAGCTTCTCACTGGTAATTAAGATCAGAATTAGGTGAACCATGAACTTATCGTTGTCCATTTTTACTTCATCTGAGAGTAGCTCTTCCTTTCCATCTGCAGATAAAATTTCTTGGGATGATACAGTTACCAAATTATCAATACCTATCACCCATCGTATATGTACAATCACCTTCAATCCAAGTCTGTTCAGCAGAACTGGAACCCTGCCTTTTTGACCACCTCATTTCTCAGAACTTTTTATTTTTATTTTTTTTTTTCTCAGTCTTGCCTTTTAGGCTATACAGGAGTTTTCCCAGGCCAGGAGGTAAGGGCGGAGGATTTATACCAGAGTTAAAAGACCTCCTCTGCACTGGGAAGCGAATTCAGAATTATTTTAATCTTATTATTTCATAGGTCCCCAGGCAACGGCGTTGTTCTGCATATGCATCTTGCTTCCCTTTTATAAATTTTGAGAATATATCGTCGTTACCACATTAAAGTAATAAATGTGCCATGTTAAACGGGCTCATATTTGTTACTTTAACGTGGTGCAATGATAACTTCTTAATTTAAACAGTTGTGTTATTATTTAAACATTAATATGTACTGGGAAAGTATATGTTGCCAAATATATGAAACTGACAAATCTACCATCCCAGAAAGAGAATTTAATTTTTTTCAAATAACATAATTAAGAATTAAAATATTTAAAAGCTAGTGGCCAGTTGAATGTTCATTACCAACACCCAGGGTGACCACATAGAGTCAAACATGCATTTAGTTGGGCACACGTCTATTGCCTTTTGTAGATCTCTTTCCTCTAGCATCTGCTATATTACCTCTTTGCTCATTCACATCATAGCTTACGTTCCCCTCCTCATACTTTATAAAGCGTTAACTGGTAGTTAATTAATAAATTAATATTCAATTTCTTTATTATCTTGTGCATTTATATTATGTTTTTATTGTTTTTTTCATTTAATTTTTTTTTCTTCTAGAGGAGAAATACAAGAACCAAACATCTGAAATTCTTAAAAACCAAAAAAATACAACACCAGTTGTGAAATCTTCTAACCCCCTTGATAATTTAGACTGTAAGTTATAACTTTGTTGCATGTTTTTTTTTTAATTTATTTAATTTTTTATGTATACATTATTTACTGTTTATTGTATTAGTATGAACTGATTTTATTACACTTTCAAAGTGATTATATTTTTTATTATAACTTTTAAATTTTAAGAATTTTTATTTTTGAAGTAACTTATTTATTATTTTCTATTGGTATATTATAACTAGCTGATGTACCCGTCGTTGACAGGTGTATAGTTAAAATTTGATAATCTTTTTTTGATATGGATTTTGTATTATGGGTGAAGATTCAAATTTAATTTCATAAAATTGGGTGGAGGGAGGGGTTTGTTTTGAAATTTTTTGTGGGGCTTATGGAAGTCAATTAAAAAAACTTTTGTTATTGAAATTTTTATTACATAGAATTAACATTCATTGCAATAGTTTCATCTCTAAAGACAAAGCCAGTTCAAGTACTAAGTAACTGTAGAAAAAAAATGATAAAACCCAAAGAAATTCATACCAAATGTTATGCCAATAATTCATTATCAAAATACGAAGCCGGGTCATATTGTAAGTAAACTTTAGACAAAAAATAAAAACAAAATCCATTGTTGTTGATGTTGGTACCTAATCGTTATCCAAATAATTCAATATACGAAGCCGGATCAAATTCTAACTTTGTGATAATCACGCAACTAAATACGGTTTCAATAAATTGTATAGAAACAGTAAATCAGTAATTCAAGTCAATATCAATAATCAAAGCCTATTCAAATCCAAAAGCTCCAAATTTTCTAGGTTTTTATTAAGGGTTAGTTCCTTACAGTTTAACTACTATAACGGTAGTATACTGAGAATGATAGAGAGAGGGACATCAAACGAAAGGAGAATGGGGGAGGGTAACAGAGTGGGGTGAGGCAGACCGGATATAAAAAAAGAGTTCTGTTGCTTTGGTCTTTTCACAACAATCAAAGTAACTTCAATAGAATAAAACTTGCTTCTAAATTTAATTGTTTCCAGTTAATTCCAATTAACTTGGAATAAATTGTAAGCTTTAGAATAAACTAATTCAAACCGTCAATAATTTCTTTTCATTCATTCAAATTTTTACTGGTGCATAAAAACTTAATTAATATTTCATCCGCGTTTTCAAATACCTAGTAAATTGCAATCAGACAATTTAAAAAAAAATAAATCTTTTTTGTATTTAGATTTTGTTCATGTTTATTATAAATTATTTGAATATCAATAGTTATTTATTAATCAATTTAATTTAAGGTTTAAATACTAAGTAAAATATTGATTTAAAATTGAAAATCTATATGTGAAAACAATTTTTAGTTCCTTTACTAACAATGGATATGATAGTAGAGCTAATGAGTAAACAATTTTAGCCGAAATTTTGGCTATGTCTTATTTCTGTGAAACGGTTAGAAACCTAAAATATATGACCATATTTATTTGACTTGGCGAGCTTGATAGAATGGAATCTTGAGCAGATCAATTGGATAAACCTAACTACTGACTGTTAAAAAAATCTGGAATTTTGTTTTTTCCCGCCGGGTTCTGAACTGAGATCTCTAGAAAAATTACTCAAGAATTCATACAGAACAATTCATAACAAAAAAACTAAATTGTCGAATTTGTTGGATTATTTTTCTTAGTCTTAGTAGAAATTGTTATGGTAAAAAGATAAATCGAATTTAAATCTATAAGTTTTATCGATTAATTAATAACAATCTGTATTTTTAATGTTTTGATTGATTTTACAGTTCAAAGTTTAGAGTTTAAAAATGGTGTTGAAGAATTAGCTAAATTGTTGAAAGTTACTCAGCATCCTGACCACTTGGTCACTCTTGAAGCAATTTGTAATTTGATTACTCAATCCCTTGATAAGAACACTGTAAATGAAACAAAACCACAGGTAAAAGACAACATTCTCATCAGAATAAGATTCATTTTAAGGACTTTTTTTTAATGGATATATTTATTAATAGTTAAGTGTATTTTATTACAAATTATTTTATCAGTTTATTTATTCCTACTTTTTATTTAAGAAGATTGTAATAATTCCTTGTAATATAACTGAAACAGAAACCAGGGCTTGAATATTTGAATAAAAAGAGAAATGAGAAATCACTCAATGAAATTTGTTATTCAATATCTAACTTAAGGTGAGGTGAGCAAGGTATTTTACACAATGAAATCCACCATCCACCTTGTGTTCTTTTGCAGCCATGTATCTCAATATCAGTATTGTTAAGAGAAGCAGAATAAACTGGTTCAAGTGGAGCTGATAAAGTGACCTTTTAGTATTCTATCGTTTTCTTTGGAGAAACTGGTGTATCTATCATATGATTTTTGAGCTATCACTTTAATTCTTTCATCAATAATTTGGCGTTTTTAATTTTTACCAGTCAATAATAATGACGATAGTATATTAGTTTAGAAATATATTAGTTTATCAAAAATTCTAATTTGATTGAGCTGTTATCTCTATTTTAAAGAATTGAAATTCATGCAATTTCTGAAGGCATATAACAGAACATTTTAGGAAATGTAGAACAAATAGTATGAAACTAATCTGCATTAGACTATTGAAATGGCTGAACATTTATTATAAGCCTTATCTTACTTGTTTAACAAGTAATATCTTGGAATGATTACATTATAAATGGAAAAATCCAAACTACAAAGCCATGAGTCACCAACAATCAAGTGAATATTTAACTTGCCAACGTATGGAGAAAAGTTGGAGTTAACTGTTCACCTACATTTTGGAGACTTGTATCTTTGTAGTTTGGATTTTTCCATTTATACCATAATTAGCTTATGTCTCTTTTCTATCTTATGCCCATTTTGTATCTTGGAAAGATTGATTTTGATGCGGTGATCGACTTTTTCTCATTTGTCCTTCATAACCCTCACTTTTCTTGATAAGTTATAACAAACAGCTTACTGACTGGTTGGAAGAACTCAAATATGTGAATAGGCCAATGCTCAATAACTTCACCAGAGATGTGACTTTTAAAGGAGCAAAGGATTTAATTAAAACTAAGATATAATCAATTTAATTTTGGAACTTGGTTATTGTACTGTGCCATAAGTTTTATATTAATAGTCTTTCTTTTCAGGGAGTCCCTTACCCTATTATGGAAATGGATTTAGGCTTTGATCTTGGTGATTATGTATTGAATAGAGCTGCGAAAATTCTCCGATTGTTGTATATACATGACCTAAGAAACTTACAAACAAAGATTAACGAAGCTATTGTTGCCGTACAATCCGTCACAGCTAACCCCAAAACTGATACTAAGTTGGGAAAAGTTGGATATTAGTTATGAAATTTGCATCACTTATAATATTTTTTTTTTAAATAAATGTTTTTCTATTGTTTGAAATGATTGTTATTTGTTATTCATCTTATTTTCATGTTTTATACTGATACATTTTAATTAGTTATTAGTTATTGTAGAGTTTATATCTGTCGTCTTGAGGAACAGGTTGGTAACTCTAAAATCACAACTTTCTGAGAGAGGACTTTTTGAGATTTGAACTGTTACTATGAAACCATTTAAAAAAAAAAATCTTTATTGACATGAATAATAATTTAATAGTATCACTCTAAATTAAATTTCTGAAACCGTTTTTGGATTTCTCTTAGTCATGTTTTTCAACAATTGTAATTGTAATTGTTCACCATACTAACACAAAAGCTTCTCAAATTATTGCCCATATATTTATTTCATGGCACTGAAAATGGTTTAATTATTTTCTATGGATTGTCAGAATTGTGAACTGACATAAATAAAAGTTATTATTGAAGAGAAAATGAGGTGAATACTTTATTTTCAATTTTTATTTCATTCATCAATTAATTATCCTTGCAGAACCTTGGCCTCCTCTACAATCCTCCTCCAAACTGACCTGTCTTCCGCCACTCCTCTCCATCAGACTACACCCAGCCTTCTATGATTGTCTTCGACATCTTCCAGCCATTGAAGTCTAGGCCTGCCTCTTTTTCTTCTTCCACCCAGGTGTCCCTCCATCATCATTTTAGGGAACCTGGTAGGTTCCATTCTTTTTTCTTTTTTGCTAGAATTTGGTAATATAATTGCAAAAATTGCATTTTTAATAAAATCTTTCGTTATTTTATCATAATTTCTAAATAAGTTCTGTAATTTGAACTGTTCCTGTAAATCTATAAAAAAAAATTTTTAAGACAAAATCGACTAAGTTAATCCCAAATCGATTAGTTGGGAACCTTTTTCGCCAATTAAAGCATATATTTGGACATTACTTATCTTCCACAGCCCCTTATTTCATCACATTAAACATTGGATCCCCCAATTTATTCTAAGCTTAGACACATCAGATCAGAAAAATGGCAGCAGCTAGGCAACATGTCAGCTTACTGTTCTGTACACCTTCTAAAAGTACCCCTGAATATAGTTAATTAAAATAACATTTGGAGACCTTGTGGGAACTGCAGCTATTAAACGATGCCACTTCACCAGACTGGTATCAACTATCTAATATTCAAAACCTCAATTTTTTTTTGAAAATAAAACAATCTTTTCTACTTTAGAAGAGTGACTTCCAAAGATCTGTGTCCTGGATTCAAAGGCGGTTGATTATAATTCTCAGTAGTAGATCAACCCAGGAGACCCTCCTGGAACACACTCAGCTATGATAAAGTAGGTATTCTTAATTAATAAGGGGAAAATTTGGTGATTGAACATGACCTTTTTCAAATCACCTCCTTGACTATGGAACAATACTTCCTTACGTAATACTGAAACCAAGACCCTTCATGGGTTTGTAGTGGTGTGGGTTTTTTTTTTTTATACTTTAGACTTGGCTCACGCTCATCAACGAATTCTAGTCGTGACAAATGTCAGCAAAACCACTATATCATTCTGCTAATTTTAATTCCCTTATATATCATATGTGGGTGTTGCTCAAACATTCTAAAGTTTATTGACGAAGTTCTTCAAGACCCAAGCAGCTAGTTCACATATTTGGATGACATTCTAGCCCCTCAACATCAATTGAAGAGCGCCTTAGTGATCTTCGTCAGATTTTCCTTTGACTTGGCAAGGTTAAAATTAAATATTGTCAAATGTGTTTTCGTTGATTAAGGAGTGCACTGTTTATTGTCTCTTTTAACGACAGAAAATTTTTGTGAACTTGGTTTGAACAAAACTAAAGGAATTTCAGACTTTCCTGAACCAAAGACTGCTAAATAGCTTAGCTCTGTGCCTTCATGAGAATATTAAATGTTTATAGGCAATTTTTATTCATTGGAGCCCAAGCCCAGGTCCATTTCTCATAACCTAACTGAAAATCAACATTTCCTTTGCCAAGTAACCATTATTTTATTTCCTAGGTAAGCTGCACCACTTGCAGTTATCCTGATGCTTCTGACAGAAGCTATTGGTGAGGTGTTTACCAAATCCACCTCTCCAAATTAGAGCCATAGAGGTTTTATAACCTGAAATAAATAAAAAGCTGATGCCTATATAACAAGATACTTTTTATACATCAGTGTTATTATTGTATGAAGTTTTTGGGCTGGTATGAAATTTTAAATCAACAGATTCCTCTAATAATATACCTAAATACCTGATTCATTCTGACCATCGACCGCTTATTTACTTGTTTCAACAAAAGACAGCTTCACAACAATTTAAGCAAATCTATGTATTGAAATTCACCACATCAAAGCATAGAAAATATAGTAGGGTATGATATACACACTATCACGTAGTGAACCAGTATATCATTATTCTTTGAATAAAATAGACATTGCCCATCAGTTTTAGTCTTGATCTCTACCACTATGTTGCACATTACGGCTTTACATTGATAAATCCTTAAGATCAGCAGTTTGTCTTATCATAATCTTTTTCACTCTGGATACAGCTACTTTCGATCAAATTCATTTGTGGCCCATCTGAATTTTTCAAGTTAAGATGTTCTTAGATCATTTTTTTTAAACTGTTATTATATGATTTACCCTAGGCGTTAGGATGTAGCGCACATATCTGTAGAATGATAATTAAATTTTTAATGCACGCCGATGATGTTATCCTTTCCAGTAATCAAGTGGGTTTATAACCTGATGTTAAAACCTCTTCTCTACAAATTTCAGATTTTGACTTAATTTGTAGATTCATTGTTTGTCATGCTTCCCAAATCTGGTGATACGATAATTATGAAATATTAGAGAACCCGTGTCTTACACCATAGCTGCTGGTCCTCCAGGTTGGGGGTTTGAGTATAGGGCTGATAGTCCCCTATCCCATAAAAAAAATGGGTGAAAGATTGAAGCAAAAGATAGCCAATCATCCTTCAGGAATGTTTCTGATGAAGATGGAGTGAAATGTGATCGCATCCTGTTAGTAAACCACGTGCTCCCTAGATATCTCGAAAAAGAGAGAACCAAACGATCACAACCGTCTCCTATAACAGCCGCAAGCAGCTGAAGAAGACTCATGATTTAATAAGTCGAAGTCAACAGGAGTGGGGGAAAAAATTGTCTGCCTAAATTGATTGCCTTGAAAATTATATTTTAAAAAACTTCGTGGTTTTGCAAGTGGTTAACTCTTTTCCACAATTACGATTTTATTTTTGATAGTTCTAAGCTAGAAACTACAGTTTGGAAAGAGCAATTTGGTACATTATTGTTAAATATCGGGAGGATTTTTTGAAATAGTTCATAGCATTTTAACCATATTCTATTCCTAATTACAATTTTAGATAGAATGTACAGTCTAAAGGAGGATCGTTCGGAAGGTATATTGTCGAAATTTCCAAAGATTTGGTCCATTTCATGACAGTCTCCATCAAACCCATTTAAATTCACTTTCCTTGCTTTGCGTTTAAAATCTTTTTTATTGATATTGATTATCAAATAACCATAAAAAAAGTTTAAATGGTGCATACCTTTTGACGCTTCTCAGCAGTCCGCTCCTTAGGTTAACTACAAAGCTGTTTTAATTATAATTTTCAAAGCCATCAATTTAAATAAACAAGAAAAGAAAGTTCTTAGACAATATGCAAAGTGGATTTTGAGTATAAAAATAACCATTGATTTAACTCCTGTTTCTAGGTGAAGCATATAATTGGATGTGATCACAAATAACGTCTGGATGAAATCTTTCTAATATTTCATAATTATCATATTTACAGATTTGGAGAGCATGACAAACAATGGATCTACAAATTAATTTAAAACCTAAAATTTGTAGAGAAGAGGCACCATAGTCTGATTAAGAAAGTGAAGTCAATATTTGTCTAAGGACAACTTTTGAGTTGGAAATTCGTTTGACTAAATGCTGACTGAATGAGAAGTGGTGAGTAAGGAGAAAAACTAGATCTAGATGTATCCACTACTCGTCTGGGCTGTCCTTTAAAATATCATTTTCATGGCCAAAGCATAATGTTGGACTTTTGAAGATGAGATAGAGATTTCTGGTGTCACAATACGATGCAAGGGCATCAATATTAAGTTGCAAACCCACTTGATTATTGGTAAGGATGACTTCGGCGTACATTAAAATATTAATTATCATTCTACGATATGTATGCTACATTCTAACGCCTCATATTAATCATATAAGAACAATGTAAACTAAATTGGTTTATGAAGAAAATCTTGAGAAAGCCGCTTATTAACTTGGACAAACTCAACAAGGTGGGCCATTTATGCTGCAAACTGAAGCTGTAGAATTGGAGTACAAAGATTTTAAACAATTTATAATTTAGGGGAAATCCTCAATCTGGATTTTTTTAAAAAAATATCATGATACACTTAAAAAACAAAAAGATAGATCTTAGTATTTTCAACACTTTGAAATCGATCACTCTCTTATTAAATAAAAAGAACTAATTCTTTTTGATAAAACATTTTTTTTTTCAAAAAGTGTCTTTGAATATCTTATTATAACTAAATTAAATCTACATTTCAGATGTAGTCTCAAGAGTTTTCCACCTAAGTTCCTAGAGTGTAAACAAGACCAGAGTTTTCTAATTCACCTTATATAAGATGAATCGGATGGCTAGTTGGTTGGTTGTTGTATAGTGAAGGTGTAAAACCTGTTGGTCATCAACGCCATTTTTTAAAATTAAGTATTATTATATCTTTTGGTTGTAAATATTAAGAAATAGATAAAATTAAAAAGATTTCAAATACAAGTTAATGTTAAAGTTGTTTACGGTTATTAAACTTTAGATATTTAAAGTTAACAAGTTAGGTAAAAGAGAAAAAGGAAAAAAAGATAGCTGCGTTAGAGGTTCAGCGATTTTTTTAAGATTCCTTCTTCAGAGAGAAAACATATGATTTTGTCCAAGATTTTTTCATCATTTTCTAAAGCAGCCGGTGTAATTGCTAGTATTCCTCTTATGTTTAATTTTCTGATTTAAAAGGCACAACTCTCGAAGATATGGACCAATTCTCTCTCCATACTTCTGACTAAGGATTGTCTTAGTCACGTAAGGACATCTTCCTCTCTGCGTTTACTGCGACTGGAACTGCTCCATGGCTTCACTTCCTTTTTTATCCCCTTTAATTTATTTGGAGGGCTATTTTCCCGTAGTGTCTGCCAATCTTGGTGTATAGGCTCTTTTAGAGGTCGAGCCAGATCGAACGCAGTTAAGAAGGCTTTACCACGGAAGGCTAGTATATGGAATATTGATTGCATCAATCAAGAAATAAAACCATTTTTGAGGATCAGATTGGACTGATTTAATAATGATCATATTAAGTTCGATTCTATGTTTATAAGTTTCAAATAATTTTTATGGCAAGTTAACTAGGGTAATACTAGAAGTACTGTTTCTCCTGGATTATTTGTCGTAAGGTATTACACACATTCAAGGAGAAATGATCAGAGAATCATTCCGGAAAAAACCTTAAAATAAACTTTGATTGAAATACTATTTTGTGATACAAAACAATTACCATTCAATGATGAACCCAAATTACTAATAAACGCCAAGTATTTCTGAGCAATGACTGCTTTATTGTTTATGTTTGTTGTTCTACTTCAAGGAGGTTAGAACTCGATATTGAGCCTGCCCTACCAACTTATGTGACAAAAGGCTTTTGTGAACGTTCACTATGCCATTATGTATTAGTTGTAAGCTTTCCTATGTGTATACAATGTTGTTTAGCTTGTTTATTTTAAATCAGAATTAGGTTTATAAGTAAAGTGTATGAACCTAAAATACATTCTTAAGAAAAATTTATGAACTATTTCTATCTAATATCATTTAGAAATAAAATTAACACAGAAGATGAATAGCAGTTCAGGAGAGAGTAATGCCCCACTCGATTTTCACATTTCTTCGTCTTCTGAAGACAATTGCAAATTGGGTATGTATGCTGAAGAGGCCGAAGATTGTCCATTGTGCTTTAAGCCAGGAAGAAATTTTTACTGCAAAACTTGTATTAACCATGGCGAATTTACTGTTTCTAGTGGAGTTCGTGAGGAGAAGTTTTCAGATATGAAAATGAAATTTCTTATGCTAATGAAAGAAAAGGTTTTAACTGAAAAATTGTGTGAGAAAGCCTTAGCCAATAAAGTCAAGGCTGCACAATTGTTGAGTGAAATAGAAGTTGTGGGTGAGAGAAATAACATTCTTAAGCAATTATTGGAGGATACTAAAAAAAACATTTCTGAAAAAGAAAAAAGTTATTCTGAAGCCAAACTTCAGAATTCAATAAGGTCTGTACGATTGCTTAAGTATCGAGATAGAGTTGAGAGACTCAAAAGATATGTAGATGATAAACTCATTGAAAGAAAAGAATTAATTACTAATCTGATTCAGGAACAGGAAGAATTAAAGCAGAGAAGGCGAACAAATATCCGACAGTTGGTAACTTATATATTTCCTATATCAGTCGTAGAACCATCGCAAAAACAGGAATTACATTCAACTGTAAGTGCATTAGAAGAAGCTTGTCAAACCGCGTTTGTTCAAGGAAAATGGATTTCTCCAATTATGTCCTTTGAGCGACAGCATCGCATTGTTGCTCCCACACTTCCTGCTTCTGGTGATTATTCAGCATATAATGACTGGGTTGCTGCAAATAAGGAGTGTGTGCCTAGTTCAAGTAATAGTAATAGTGTAGATTTCAATCCAGCATACAACATAAGTGCTGCTTTAACCTATACAACACAGTTAGTAAATATGCTAGCTTTCTTCTTAGATGTGAGGTTGCCAGCAAAGTTGTGTTACAGTGATTTTTGTACCCATGAAATGAGTAAAAATAAATTTACAAAGAAAGTGGCTCGTTTAAATTGGAATGTTTTACATCTTTGCCTTTCACAAAATGTGGATCCACGCTTGCTAAATCCAGAAAGAACTTTGAGTAATCTTGTACTTCTCCTTGATCAAACAGTTTCTGATTTGGGAAGATCTTCGACTCCAGATATAAAACCTGAAGAATCAAGAGTGCTTGAGGATGCTTTAAGGCCATATTTAGAAAAAGATGATCCTGATGATTCAGGAGATGAAGGTCTTTCATATGATTGGGAAGCTGTACCTACTAGCAATGGTTTGCCTGAAAGTGAACCAATCCAAAATATTCAATCTCAGCAAATTTCTAGTACTAGTGTTGCAGGTGGGTTAATAACTAGTACTGCTGCTTCCATTGCTTCTTTTCTTAGATGGAATCGGTAACACTTAAATTTGGTAACCATATCATGTTTGTGATATATTTTATGTGTACATACTAGTTTAATTCATTCATTTTTATAAAAGCTATTCCTGAAGGAATTTGGCATTTTTTAAAGAATATTAGTTATTGTTGATTTCCACTAAGTTTACTCTCTATATCTGAGTGTAGACTAAACTGTAAGGTCTGTCAGAACACCAAATAGCATAATTGTGATTGATGATGTTCCAGAGGTATTTTAAAGCTACTAATTATATTTTTGACTTCAGATGTTGTATTCCTAAAATAATATTTTTATACTTTTGACTTATGTGTTTTAATGGATATTTATAATGTAAATATGTTGTTCATTATCTGAATTGTTGCTATTTTTATTATTATTTTAAATATTATTATCTTAACTTAACTATCTTTGTTGAGTTTAAATACGATGAGATTGATGTCAAAAAAAAAAATTCATGTAACGTTCCTAAAAATTTGTTTATGTTATTCCTTTTAAATATATGAAATTTTTTAAAAGTGTTCTGATTCTTTCCCAAATTTAGTTGCATAACACAATATAATTATTTGTCTCTCTGAAAATATATTGTTCTTTTATGGCAATAAGCCATTAAGGAACATTTTAAATTAAATCACTAAGTAATATGGTGAATTTTCCCTCTATGGGATCGTAAGATTGTGTACTTAGTGCAACTATTTTTGACATGTACTAGGATTTGTGTTATTTTATTGCACTTTATGAAGTTTTGCTTTGATAGATTTGATCAACACACACTTGAAGTTTTTCTTCATCAATAATGTGCTTAGTGACTTGGTAATGAGCCAGCGATATGTATTCCACCAATCTTTTGTAATTTATTATCCATTACATTTTGAATCCTGTATTAGATAAAATGAGGATGAATCACTTTCAATGGGATGCAATTTATTTTCAATTTACTTGTATAGATGAGTCAAGAATAATGGCATTGTAGTGCTATTATTACAAAGAGGTGTACAAGAAATATCATGATTTTAAAATTTGTCAACTTAATAATAACGATGTCATTGCTCAATAGACCATTTGTCACTTGTCAGCACAGTATTCATTCTCGGTTGTTGCTTGTTATTTTAAAAATTTTGAAGGGAGATCAGTTTTATGATAGTGTAATTGTTTATGGTTCGAGATCATTAGACAGTGAGTATTGCATGATTAAATGTGCCTTTTTTATTTATTATAACCCCCTATCTCGCTGATTGTGGCACATAGTGGAAAGGAGAGAGTGGAGTTGTTCTAAAGGTGCAACGAAACCTATACTATCCAGAGTAGGATGGTCAAGATTAATTCCGTGAGTCTGCCATAAAATAAATAACTTTTTGTATGCCTTTATTATTTCTTCTTCTCCCTTTTTTCATGAATATTTCATACGAAAATCACCATATTACCGGTCAGATTTTGGTGTAACTTCTCACTTAAATCAGCTGAACTGTGAGGTATGTGCCATAATTTTTAAATACATTAATACTCCGAGGCTCTTTCTACTCAGGTTACCTATGCCCTTTTGTTAACCCATTAATATTTTCCTGGAAGGCTGATATATGTTAAATAAATGATAAACTTTTTTTTTACTTGATCTTTATTAATGTTGTATTTTACACATATATAAATTACAGAAATTAAATATTTGAAACTTGTGAGCCTTATTTTTATAATAATATGAGTAGTTTTTCAGTGATATAATCTTAATGAATTTTATTTGTGAGATGGTGTGTGTATGCTTGTGCTCTTATCAATGTTTTTGTAATGAAACTTTACCAAAACTGAGAATATTTTTTTTCGAGTGGATTTCAACTATGGCTATGCTCAAATTGATTCTTTTGATTTATGAAGTGTATTGGACATTAATACCAGCTGTAAGAAATAATTGTGTTGGTACTTAAAAAACTGATATTCATAGCATAGGATTATAAACTGATATTCATCTGGATTATTTCTTTCTATGTAGCATTAGACAAAATATAACGTATTTTTCAGCACATTCAAACATATTTTTTATAGTACACAAAATTTGTTTTCCTATAAATCAATCTATTCTTGTAAATAATATAAAAATCATGATTTTATTTCTTGAAGTCTTCTGGCACCAAAGCCGGTGGTCACTTTTTATGATCCTCCAAAGTCATTGCCATCCTCCAATTTCAGATTTCATAAGCCAATATATACCTCATTTATGAAGATTTACTCCATGAAGTTAGAGTAATAATATAAAGTATTTTGGAATCGCTAGAAAGAAGTGAAAAAATATTACTCTTTTTTATTTTATAGTTAAGTATATGGGAAAAATAATGGCAGTAACCAGATAAATAACATATAGTTCTAAAACAAAACTATATTTTGTATCAGGTCTGAGACCTACTCATAAATAAAAAAAGAAAAAAAAATAGCATTATTTTTTTTAAATTCTTTCCTAGATCATGCTGCAACTGAATGGACGATGGCTTCTATCTTGAAAGAAACATCTTTACTGATGATTCCAATAAAAATAAGTAGAGTTGTGAGATTAAGAGAGTTCCAGGCCAATACCAAAATAATACTTTTTGACTCTTTGAACATTAAGGAAGAATTTCTATTAGTGAGTATCATTTCCTATATTTATTATAATTGTTCTGCTTGATTTTATTCTCATTTTGTGAGAGATCTGACCGTTTTTTTTTTTAGAACTATTCCTTGTTGAAGGGATTAGGATGGGTGGAGGTGGAGGGTGGAGGAAGGGGCAAGGGCACATAAGAAGATGTAAAATTAAGGGAATTTTTTTTTTAAGTAGAATATATTTTGGTTATTTTGACATTAATGCAGTTAATAAAATGAATCAATTTTAAGATATGATATTTATTTCGAAATATATTAGTATATCTAAAATATTGTTATCAAATTATGACTTTTATTAGTCATATGATTTTATTAGTGGAAGCACAAAATAAACTTGCCTCTTCAGGCAAAAATAATGGTTCTGGACCATGTATTTACAAACCCTATATGGATTCAGACACCTTTCCACAGGCGGATCTAGGGGGAGAGGGGGCTTTCCTGCTGAAGCCCCACCAAAATGGCAAAATAATACCATGTCTTTAAAAAAAATCATCTCTAAAAGTATTATTGTTCGTGTAATTACATTTAATGAGACGCAAAATTCACTTAAACATCATCTCGTATAGGTAGTTAGTTTCTTTATTTTTCTTCCAAAGTAATTATCGTTATAAATTAAAAAAAGAAAAAAATCTTTCGGGCTGAAGCCCCCCCCCCAAAAGAAATCCTGCATCCGCTAGAACACCTGTCTGAACTCGTTTACTGTTTGTAGTGGCCTATTACAAATCATATGCGGTTTCAGACCCCTCAACGCAGTTTTTGCGATAGGGAACTTAAATTCTTTAAAAATTACCCATAGGTAAATACATCACAAAATTTTAATTGTTCTAACTAAATGCAGGGCCTTTTTGTTAAAAATAATATGCATATTCATTGACATATCCACATCTTAGAAAAATAAATTATAAGAAAATAAAGGTTACCTTTATCCATTTGATTGGTAAAATTTTACATTGTATTAATTCGCAATATCTATAATTTTTTAATTATTATGATATTACTAAATTTAGATTGGATGTATTTCGATTTTCCGCAGAAAAGTAAGGCATTGAAGTTTTCTTTTTAAGTCGCGTTTTATGTTAAACAGGAAGGGATAAAAAAAAAAAATAAAAATCCAAGTTGTTACCAATTGCTTCATAGTAAACTTGACGATATTTCCTCCAAACAAAAGTGAATTTTGTATTAATTTAAAGGATTTTAAAAAGGTTTTTAAGCAACCAAGCAACGCTAAGTCCAGTTTCATAAAATCAGTGGTTACTCGCAATTTTATTTTCGTTTCCCTCAAAATGGATGACAAATATCTCACATTTAGATAAGAGACCTTGTTTTATAAGCTTTACATCTATATTAATTAAGTCACTAGCGGATCCAGAATTTAATTTCGGGGGGGGCTTCAGCCCGAAAGCTTTTTTTTCATAAAAATGACGATAATTACTTTGGAAAAAAAGAAAGAAACTAAATATCTATATGAAATGGTGTTTAAGTGATTCCTTAAGCCCTTTAAAATGTAATTACACGAAAAATAATACTTTAAGATATAATTTTTTAATATAGTTTTCCATAAAACTTGGTTATGTTTTACCATTTGGGAGGGGGGAGGGCTTCAGCCCGAAAGCCCCCCCCGTATATCCGCCCGTGAATTAAGTTGAGGCTTATTACAGAATAATTTGAGATTCGCCTTCAGTTGTGGAAGAAAATGATTTGATTTGATATTCTGCCATGATGTATAATATATGTCATTTTTTAAAAAAAATAACTCCGATAAATTATTACAAAACAATATTTTAAAAAAATAATTAATGTTTTTAATAATTTGTCGTATAAATTAAATTAATTTTTAAAACATTTCTTTACACATTTGGTATTAACAAAATCCAATATTACATTACTTTGCAATATCGACTGATACCACTGTCGACCCCAAGTCTTGATAAAGCAGGAGGCAGGAGGGTTGGTAACGCACTATAGGGCTGACAACCCACTTCCGTAAAAGCCCTGTGTTATGAACAATCAACAAAGCCGGACTCAACTAGACTAATTTGCGCCAACAACTTGCCTTACAGAATCGGATTTACAAAATGGAAACTTGGAAGGCTAAAACCCTCAATAGGCTTGGTGCACTGATTGAACTGAGAGCAGAGACCAAGAAGGATGACCTGGATATAGTGGCTGTGCAAGAGGTGCGATCGTTATTAAGGAACATAGTGAGAGTGCACAAAACCTCGAGTTTGGAACAATATTCCTGATCCCTAATCAGTTTGCGGAAGCAGTGCTCAATTTCCGGTCTATAATGTCCCCGAGTATCAAAGGACAATTCTGCAATAGCTCCATTTTTAATACGTATGGACCAATAGAGAGGAAGGAGCCAGAATTATAGGACGCCTACTATCGGGAGCAAGCCTATGATAGCATACCATCGCATGACATGAAGATGTTGCTTGGAGACTTCAACACACAAATCGGAAGGAAAGCAATGTTTAAATAAATAAATAATAAAACTAAAAGATCGAGAGGTTAAATATATAAACAACACTCATTATTAGGGGAAGAATTTTTTTTTTTTTTTCGTGTTCGAATTACAATTGGCTGTATTCTTTTTCTGTTTTTTAGGTAATTTAGAAATCTTTCTAATTATCATTTTATATCATTAGAAATATATTCTATCCGAAATATCCAAGATTTCATATTTTTACTTTAACTTACCTATATATGTAATATATAGTAAGGGAAAGTATTGTGATCGTGAAAATTTACGAATATGAGTTTTCAACGGAAATACATACTTTGAGATACTCTGAGTGTAAATAACCAAGTCCCGCAAAATGGCCTGTGTGTATGTAAGCAGTTTAGCTCCAAAACGAAAAATCATAAGAAACAATAATCGTAACATTTGATAATTTAATAAAGGAGAAAAGTATTATTACTGGTGTAATTACATTTAATAGAACTTCAAGCACTAGCGGATCCAGGTTTTAATTTTTGGGGGGCTTCAGCCCGGAAGCTTTTTATTTTTCATATATATAACGATAATTACGTTAGAAAAACATAAAGATACTAACTACCTACATGAAATGGTGTTAAGTGATTCTTGAAGTCCTATTAAATGTAATTAAATGAGCAATAATACTTTAAGACATAATTTTTAAATATTTTTTACCATGAAACATGGCTACATTTTACCATCTTGGGGGGGCTTCAACCCGAAAGCCCCTCCCCTCTCCCCTCCGTAAATCCGCCTGTGACTTCAATAATTAATTATACACCATTTCATATAGTTTTTTTTTATTTTTCTTCCGAAGTAATTATCGTAATATACATTTTTAAAAAAGTTGTCGGACTCAAGCCTCTCCCCAAAAATTAAATCCTGGGTCGATTAGTGCCCCTAATCTAGCATATGAATGTTTTAATATAGCGTTTCTCTATTTGCTAATAAATAAAATCATTTATTGCAATAACTTCTCTTGCCCGAATAGAAATTTGTTAAATGAAATATTTAATGTATATACCTTAACTCTTTGGTATGAACAGTAGTAGTACATTTGGATAATATTTAATAATAATAATAATAATAATATTTTTTAAATGTGTTTACCTTTTTTTTTTTTTTTAGTACAAAAACATTAGAGGCACGCTTTCAAACATAATTATCCTGACTAAGAACACGACTAATACTTTTGAGCAGATGGATTCAATGGGCTTGGCTATCGTAGGGAGGTACACAGATGGAAATGTTACATTTTCAAGACTACCTTTCACCTCTGATCAGGACGAAGAAACCGAAGTTGTTCACTGGTCTTGGGATGAGGAATTTCACCCAACACTCTTTCCGTTGGACAAGATGGTACCAGCGTTCAAATCCAAACCACTGGCACTACTGTTGCGTCATGTAATCATACAAAGAGTCGAATATTTTACGTTATGATATTGACTTTTAATTATGATATCACATTATAAATCCTTAAGAAATATTCTATCGTTTTGATTAATAATTAATCAAATCATTCATGTATTAATCATCACCTTACCCGGTGGCTTATTCAATCTTCAGCATTGATAGCTGATAATTATTGTTAGGATTATTTAATAAAATTTAATATAAATCATCGTATCTTCTAACAATATCATATTAAAAAAAAATTAATAATAATTGGAGAACTACATCAACATTGATAGTATACGTGGTATTTTTTAATTATTTCAGGATCCACCTTTTGTCACCGTGAAATCATTTCCTGACGGTTCCAAATACGCAGAAGGTTATTTAGTTGACCTATGGAATTGTATCACAGAAAGGTTGAATTTGAGGTAAGTTCAAGATCATCCTGCGCAGACGGATCTACGAGGAAGTGGGGAAGACTCAAAATTAAATCCTCGATCCGATACTGCCACCCTGAAATAATACATATATTAAACCTTCATATATTATAATAAATACTGTATAATATTAATAATTTAACTACTTATTAGTTATCATAAGAATTATAATTATCTATCCTTATTATAAAGTACCAATTTTTTCTTTTCCGGCTCTCAGGAGCGATGTATTTTGATGAATGAGGTATCAAACGAAAAGGTATTAAATGGAGCAGTGACGAATCATAGTGACATACACCTGAAATTTCATGAACAAAATTTATGAATGAAAAGAAAATTTGTTTAAGAATTACTTAAAAAGCATACTTTTTTTTCTGGATTAGACCTATTATTATTTGAAAATTTACTAAATTCTCTGCAAAACGAAGAAAAGAACTTATGAAAATCGATTAGAAATTTGTAAATTAGAAACAATTTGAATTAACCCTAAGAGCAAAGTGGGTTCAAATATTTGTTTAAGGAGGGACAGAGTTGTATTACGCATCTCGGAGAATTCTCAAATATAAATTTTTATGTCAATCGAATAAAATTTTTTCCTATGAATTAGAACCAAGGCTTCCTTGAGTTTTTATTTTTTTTTTTCAAAAATCACAAAAACTGTGACAACTTTAAATTCAGCTATAATTTAGTGCTACATGAACTACACGAAATGTCACAAACCGGATCCTCTTAATTATTAAAGGTTTGAGATATAAAATAAAAACGTGTTAGGGGTTTTTACTTATTTGCAATTATGGAGGTATTAGATCAAAAAGTTACTTATACGGATTTGAAGAGAAATTATTCGTCTTTCCAACGGTTATACACGCACTAATTTAAGAGAAAATTTTGAGGAGCTATGAAGATTTTAGTAAAATATAGGGAAACAATTATAATGGAAAGTAAACCAGTTGCTATGGCTACTACCTCAGTACAACTATCTATCTTTATAATGTAATAGGACGATCCCTTTTCCGGCTCTCAGGAGCGACGTATTTTGATAAATGAGGTTTCAAACGAAAGGGTATGATGGAGCATTGACATCCACCCGAAATTTCAGGAAAAAAAGTTACGAATGAAAAGAAAATTTATTTGCGAATTACTTAAAAAGCATACATTTTTTCTTGATAAGACCCATTATTATTTGAAAATTTACTAAATTTTAAATCCCTACAAAACGAAAAAAAAACAGGGAAATCGGACCATTATTTAAAAAGATACAGCATATTTTAATTTAAGTATTTTTGCTTCTAATATCGTTTTCAAAGAAGTGTTATAAAATATTAATTATCATTTTTACACATACGGTTTTCGAAAACTACTTTCATAATTTCTGATTTGTATGTATTAAAGGATAATACTGACAATTTTTAGGATTATGTAATTTCCTTTTAAAGTCCTAAAATGTACAGTTTTCCAGTTACCGTTTTAGCCCAAATTTATAGCTGCGATAGGAAATCTTGATGCCACTGTTGTCATGAATTCTTATTCATGTAAAAATTACAATTTTCAGCCCTCTGTAGTTACAAATCGAGTGTATCTGCAGTCGAATAGAATAAAAGAGATCAGCCTGACAAAACTACGAATCGGACACTCAAGGCTAAAACATGAAAACCTATTGACAAAGGGGGCATCCCTTGAGTTTCTTACCTACGTGATAAATATCACGTTGATGCACATCTAGATTGAGCGTTGTTCCTATAAAGAACATTGGATTGAAGTGGAGTTGGAAAATAATAATGCTGATATTTTGAAAAACAACACAAAGATGGCAACAAATTATTTTTATTTATTAAAAAAAAACACAATTATGTAACAATTTCTTTTTTTTTGTTAATGTTTTCTAGTTCAAGTTTACTGGTTTTTTTTTTGGTTTTTTTATATATATATATATTGTGTAACATAACATCGTGTAAGAGCTAAAATGACCAGTAAGTGGTTGGAAAGTCCCCATCGTTAGAAATAAATATTGTGTTGAGTTTAGACCACACGATAGAAGTGAAAACAACTGCGATATTAATAATATGATCTATAAGTTATAAATAATAGCTCATTATAAAGAAGATGAAATGCTGAGCATTTTCCTCGCTTGCAGTATGCAGGTTCGATATTTAGTTTTTGAGATATTTTAATCAACACTTTCTGTAAAACTCGTTGTAATTTGGTTTTCGACACTATTTTTCCCTTTTCGCCTCTTTAAAACGGCGTCGCGTTAAGGTTTTGAATAATAGCTCATTACAAAGAGGATGAAATGATGAACATTTCCCTCGCTAACGATATGCAGGTCCGATTATTGTTTTTTGAGATATTTTAATCCATATGCAAAAACACTTCGGTAATTATTTACGAACGGTCCTCCTCTCGCCATCTTGGCTGAAGTGATGTTATGTCCCGTGTTCTGATAACGTTTACCAAATCTAGCACCAGAAAGCGCCACTATTGCGGAGGGGTTGTCTTGTCCCCTCCACCTTACGTTCATTACAAATAATTACCAATTGTAACCTTTACAATATATAGTGCCCACCATTTTTTTTAACTTGTCGATTTCTTTGTATCTTCAATATATCGATTAACCAAACTTTATATTTCAGATGTTATTATTTACACATATTACCTACATCAATTTTTTTTACCATTATATATTACTAATATTATTTATAATTGTAGTGTTTATATATTGCCCGTTTTTGTTTTTTTAGCTTCGAGATTCAGCATTATTAATGCTTTTCGCTTTCCTTATCATAAATGAAAGAAGTTTATTAACTTAAGTTTTGTTTTAATTGTGACACTTTATCTCTAATTGTACATTATCTAAGTATGTCCAATATTAATACAATTCAGGAAGAATTAAACAATTTTCTATAAGGGTTTTGATGCTGGATAAGGGTTATACTTATCAATTATATGTTACTTAAATCTTCTAGCAAGAAGAATTAAACAATTTTCTATAATGCTTTTGATGCTGGATAAGGGTTATATTTTTCAATTATATGTTACTTAAATCTTCTAGCAATAAAACACATTTTCAGTCTACTCAGGTACATACTGGCAATACCAGATGACCAGTTATCCCTAGCCATTTCCATTGCTGTCTACTTACATTATCTGTATCTACTTTTATATTGTATTGTCTCATTAATTTTTCTGAATCCTGTCAGAATGATTTATTAGGCAAGAAAGTGTAAGTTATCTTCATCATGTGTATTCCGCCAGACGTAACTCATTACCTTCTTCTTCATAAAATGTAAAATGTCCCTTAGTTATATAAATGAAGTATAGACCTATGAAAGATTTAGGTTTTACTTCATCTCATGTTTTGCCTTCCAGCCTCAAACTTTCCAGACATTGTTTAATGAGTTTATTAATTTCTTCCTAAGGTTTCCCTATATGTATTTCAAGACTGTAAATAATTTAACTATCGAGAATGACTTATTGTCCAAATAAGGATAAATTACCACCAGTAATGATCAAATTGACCAAGGAAAAGTAACCTAGAATACCTTATTCTTTAGTATAAGCATAAAAATATTATGTGGATAAGATGGAAATGGGTGTTCAATCGATGCTTATTTAATGGTGGGTAAGGAATGGTTAATTTAAAAAAAGGCGGGTAATATATAACCTAAACGATCTAATTTCTATATTTACTGAAAACAGAGGTAAGGTGGAGGGGACAAGACAACCCCTCCGCAATAGTGGCGCTTTCTGGTGCTAGATTTGGTAAACGTTATCAGAACACGGGACATAACATCACTTCAGCCAAGATGGCGAGAGGAGGACCGTTCGTAAATAATTACCAACACTTCAATTAGTTGACTCCAGCCGACTTTACCCGAGCATTACATCGGGAATCTGTCGGCTCGATCTAATTCAATCTCCACAAAAAAGTCCAAAACGCGCCTAAAGAAGTTTTCGCTTCAAATGAAGATGAGAAAAGTATTGAAATTTAATAACATCTTTTCCAGTTTTGAAATTAAATATTATCCGACCAAAGAAAGCGGTGATTTTTGGAATTTCACTGACAATGGGTTTAAGAGTGAAATGGAAAGGTCTGAAATAGATATAGGGCTGTTTGCAAGTGCTGATCCCGCCGACATTTATTACAATTACACCGGAGTTCATACAGGAATCCTTCTTCGGTAGGTATTTATTTATTTCTCTGATTTTTATCTTGTTCTGATGCATACTTAATCAACTCTTTAGTAATATGTTTTATTATAGATTGTGTATGTACCAACAGAAAAAACGAATAAATTATTACCAGTTTATTAAAACCATAAACACTTCCTGTTTCAAAGTGTTATCACTCATTGGTTTATTCACTTTAATTATAATGTACATTAGTGGTAATAATGTGACGGATTGTACATTTTGTTTTCTTGCTATCACATTCAATCAAGGTAATTATGAGTTTATGATATTTTTAACATGCATGTAATGTAAGATAAGCACGTTTTGACCATTACATATGTTTCTCTTTTAGAACATCTAATTGTAATGAAGCGTTGAAACAAGACTATTGTTTTATTGATAGCGGTTATTATTGACAAATCAGATAATTGGACAATTGTTTTTTCCAGTGTGATATATTTTCAAGAAAGGGAAATCATTGACAATCAGAGAACAATATTGAATATACATAAAAGTGTTACCAACATTGTTATTACATGAATCATTGATGACGTAAATAAAATCAATAAAAATTATATAGTACGTTTTGACTTATAAAATACAGCAAAATACAATTAATTTGACAAAGTTATTTACAATGCCGGCCTTAGACATTCGGCGCCCTCGCGTAATGAAGTCATCTCCCTCCTACTAAAAAAATTAAACTTATTCCATAAGCTGTTTTATATTATGAAGTATTTGAATTTTATTGTATTCAATATTTCTCTAATAATGTTGCTCTATTAATAGGCTAAAATTAACCATGTTGATACGTTTTGTATTTTTTTTTTAAAACTTTTATCAAGTGGTACACCTGAATTGCCCCGATGTCCCCTCCCAAAGGCCGACACTGATTATTTAATGGTATCCTGGTATGGTGACATGGCAAATCAAACCTTTTCTAACAAGACGCAGACTTCGTTATCAATAATTTTTCTCAACAAATAGGGGATCAATTCTCTTCATTATAGAAGATGAGTAATATGTCTTTATAAGTTATATGTGTTTTGTTTATGATTAAAATTTAAAAATGAGTAAAGCACATTTTTAAAGACTCGTTGATTATTTTATTAGAAAAAGGTTCTACACACATAGTTTTGAAGTAAAAATATTTTCTCTTTGGATTTAAGAATTATAGCTCAGCGAAATATTCATTAAAAAAAAGTGACCGATGAGGTAAGTCTACTGATCTACTGTAAAGCCATAATTTTGTGGGATTTCGATTTAAGGAAACAATCAAACCAGGGAACAAGTTAAGGGATGGAATGAGGTCGTGATGGCCGAAGCGTGTTATAGTGTGAACTTTAACATTCTCGAGTCTAACGATGTAATTAAAAATTTATTTCGAAGTAGACCAACAGAATAAATCTTGACTTCCCGCTCTTGTTAGAATAGGTTTGGTTGTATCTCTAGAACTCCCCCTCTCTCCTCCGCCCCGTATGCCAGAAATGGCGAGTTAGGGGTATCGAGAAAAACAAAAAAAGTAAAAATATGGAACAGCCATAGCAAGTGTATTTGTTTATAAACTACAATTGTTATAATTATAATTTTACTTACACCGTTTTTAAGAAGTGAACAGAAATAAAGATTCTTAGGAAGATGGAGGGAAGAATTCCTGGTTATCTATATGAAAAATTAAAGTTTACAGTGTACAGTAGACTTAACCAATTAGCCTCTTTCTTTCTTTCTTTTTTTTTTTAGATAAACGTTTCTCTCAGAAGGTGGTTTATACTCCTAAAAGACATTTTAAACCTAAATTAAATACATTTATATGAAGTTTACTGGAATTCGTCTTCTATAAAGTTGGAACTTGATAATCTATTTGTTGGGAAAAATCGATTCGGCTAACCACACTTCCTTAAAACCAAGAAATAGTATTTCTATATCAAACAAAGCATTGCGATAGCCCAATGTGATTTCTGCCCAGTGCTTTGAATGTCACCCTGAAGAAATTCAAGCAAGGGCGGGTCAACGGCGGAGTAGCTATGACTATGACTCTCATTTCCGTATCAAATGCTAATTCTTTTCATTTGGACCAAAAAAACAGTCTGTTTGTGATTTCAGAAATGCTAATTGAAAGTGGTTTTCCTTGCAGTTTAAATATCATTAAAATTCTATTACATTTTTAGGCCGGAGTGGAATGCTGCCAACAACTTGCTCCGTAAGGACAGCAATAATTTCATTTTCGATCAGTGTTTTGTTTTTTCTCTACGTCAGCTCTGCTTCAATGACTTCTTTATCGGTAAATGATAAAGACTTAGGGTCGACAACAATTGAAGAAATGAATAATTCCTACATTATACAGTCCCTGATGGTAAAATACTCTTCAGCTCATGTCATGATGGTTCGTCAAGTTGTACATTATGTTTTTGAGTAGTATTTTTTTAAGAATTGTGAAATTAAGTTACTGCAATTTGTACCTCTATTTGTTTCAGCTTTATTCAGATTTGTCGACAACTTTTGACAAATTAAGTGGGGCGAAAATAATCAAGCTTTCTTCTGTAACAGATGCATTAACAGTAACTTCAAAAACCAATTTGTTTTCATTCATAGAACGTGAGAGAGTTCGGCCCTATTGGGAAGAATTCCAGGGTAGTGTTTCCGAATCTAATCTCAATATAATGAGACCGACTCTGTTTTTGGTTCGAAGAAATTTTCCATACACGCAAGCTATTCGCCAAGAGTAAGTCAATCAATTATTTTGTGTATTATTAGAAATATCAAAAAGGTTTGTTGCCAAAGTATTCAGGAAAGTGGGAATTGAATAATTGTATTAATAAACATGATTTTATATTTTTATTGAAGAGTGTAAATCTTATGCTCTGATTTTTTTGTTACTTAAGCGATCAAGTTTATACATTGATGTTACTGAACATTCAATCGACTTCACAAACGACCATTCTACAGCTTTATAAGCAAGAAAATAAGGTAAGACTTGAAGGACTGGTGGCGGCCATACTAACAATTTGAAAAACGCATATTTTGCAGTTAATGTAATGCAAATTCGTTCAGAGAAGGCCGAGTCCAGATGTTATCGGACGTTTGAATCCATTAAGAAGTTGGGAAAAAAAAATTCTATAAGGACGGGAAAAATTTTTGAAATAAATTTTTTTTTTTCGTTACTTGTTTCTGTCATTTTTGTATTCAACGCTTATACCGTTAGCTATTAGACCATTTGGCATTCGGCAAACCAATATAATTTTGCCATAATGAAATTATGCAATTTGATGCTTCCACTGCTAGTAGCTATGCCATTTCAAAATATTGAAGTACTGACAATCAACATCTCGTTGTCAATCAGTTTTTAAGAAATATGTTGGCTATATTTGTTTGTATTTTATTTTTTTCTATAGAAAATATTAGGAGCTACCTCCTCTCCTCTTCACAATGTCCATTTCCTACAGACCTTGGCAATGTTTCGATCCTAAACTTCGGTTTCAATTTGTTTCCTGAAGAGTTTAGATTTATTTTGAAAGGATTATAATTTCATTTCACATAATAAGCTGACAATGTACTTTTCTATTTTTCTTTTTCTTTCTAAAAATTATACAAAAGAATACAGTGATATACTGTGTGAGACTTTTTGCAACACACAGAAAGAACATATACAGCGTAGTACATATACAAAAAAAATGTTAGAATATACAAAAATATACAAACATATACAAAAAGTACATATACAAAAAAAAAAAGTGATATCAATCCACTTATTATCCACTTAAGTTTTAAAAAAATTCGAATTTACTTCTATATAAACTTACTATACAAGTTCTATATAATCCTGTACTATATATAATGTGTGTGTGCGTGAACAGCCTAGCCCAGAAACAAATTCTAAGAAATTGAAATTACATATTTAAGATATGCATATGTCCGTCTTGACAACCTTGATTGCGAGTTTGAAGAACGGTCCAGTGTCGTACCTGACTATTGGGTAGTGTTGCCCAAAATCGGTCTTGGTCTTTGCACTTTGCAAGACCAAGACCAAGGTCGCCTAACTATTGCAAGACCAATACCAAGACTGATATAAAAAATCATTTTAAAAAATAAAAATGAAAGCAAAATAGTTACTAATACTTGACAATCTTAGTTACTATATGTTAATAATTGGTGTAACCAATATACTTTTGCATTTAACTTCTCTAATTTTTCATTCGGGCTTAGTTAGGTTTCTCCTATCTAAGAAAAATACAGTAATATCTCTCTATAACTGAGTTCGCTAGACCAATACTCGTCTCGGTCTCGCATTTGGGCAACACTACTATTGGGGTTCGGTATTTATTTTTGCAATTATTTTTGAGGTCCCCTAAAAATAATAATAAATGTTCTTATATATGGTGTCTTCAAGGAATATATAAGCCCTCATACTTTCAATTTTTTTATTCGGCTTCGAGCTGAATAGCTCATTATCAAATCATCAAACAATTTCTTATCTACTAAAATATATTTCAATGATATAATTTCATTGAACAACTATTTGTAGTACACCAAATATCAAAGATAACAACAATCCTCATCTCCCTATTCCTTAAATGTTTGTGCATTCATTGATGCTTGTCCTTTCCGTACGGTAATACCTCCTCCGTCTACTTTTTAACATAATAATAAATGAAAGATCACCGGAAATTTATACAAATAATAACGTTCTCTCCTGATTTAAAAAAAAAAAAAAAAAATATGACCTCCTGTCGTGGGATACCTCATTATGTCCGTCCCCATAGATATCCCACTGGACCGGTCCCCAACAATATAAAAAATAATGATGAAAATTATCAAATAACAAGTACAGATTTAGGAAAAACACAGCTAATATACACACAAATTAAACTGGATCCGAAAAACCGGAATATGCAAAGTAGTAAAAGTAAGTGACCATCAGTGTTGCCAGTTGGACAAAATAATTACAGAAGCTAATTCTTCACTTAACAGCATTCAATTTTTTCCCCTGTTGTTATTGAAGTTTAGGTATTTACGGTGGTGTAAATAAATTATTATGATAATTATTATCTGCACTATTTATTCAACATTTCATGAATTATTTTTAAGTAAATAACTGTTAAGTAAATATCAGAGAGGACAAAATGAAGCTTTACTATCCCTTTCAGCAAAACTCCCAGATCTAGCCCAACAATGAAATATATCACAATTTACATACCTACCTAACAAGTAATAAGTAAATAAAAAGTAGAAAGAAATATTTTTTAATTAGGCAAAAAAAAATCCTAATTCGCTGTCCTCTAGGTTCTGTCACAAGGGCTAGTGCATTGCTTGCAGGTGCATCCTTTGCCTTTCTCTAGTTCCGGACCTGAATGGGCTGATGATAGTTGGAAAGCATTTAGTTATCTAGTCCAGCATTTCAACAATAGCCTAAGAAACGACTGGATTAATCCTGAGTATGGACTACCAGCACTTCAGAGATGAAAGAAATTCTTAAGATCTAAGAAGTATAGAAACGAATAAACAATCAGTCCAAGCGTTTCAAAATTAAATGTCAAAGTATTCTGACTAAATATTGAGATGCAATTAAAATTTCCTATTGGAAAACATGAAGAAAAGCATTAACCGAAGGATAGTTGATGACGTCCAGAATATGGTGGTGAAAGTAGGGTCAAAGGTATGATGAACCTCTGCAGGATATTCTCAACCTCTGCGCAAAGTAAACTTTAGATTTAATATCTTTATGTAAATTATTCTGATTAAGTAAGGTAAAGGTAAAATTGGACCTTTCAATAAAAAAAAAAAAAATAATTAGTAACTAAAGTGTTCTTCCAAATTAAGTCATCTTTACAATTCATACATGTCTGTTGTTTTGTTATAGGTTGACCAGATTAATGGAAACTGGAATTTTATCACGATTAATAAAAAAATGGTGGCCAATCATTGAAACAAATGGAATAGAATTTATCCCTATTTATTTTACTGATGTAGCTGTTATCTTTAAAATGCTTTCATTAGGTGTGATCTTTTCATTTCTCATATTTTTTATTGAAAGGCACTTTGGAACCACGTCAGGCTAAAGAAATATTATTATAAATGTTTACACCCAATGATTTGATTATACAGACAACATTGAAATGCTCTTCACAGGTTTGGTAATTAGATATTTGTATGCCATTCCTAAGTCAATAACCTATTGATAACGTTTTGCATAAAATCACCCTGCTTGAAATATTCCATAAAATGATGGAGATGTGTGTCGACAGTTTGTTGAAAATGTGTTCAGGGTTCTGAAAATTATGTAATGCAATCAAAGTCAGGACCATGTAGAGAAACCTAGAGTCCCAGGAACAAATTTTCCAAGTCCGCATCAAAGTTTTAATTCATCACTGAAATCGAGCTTTATTCATTATAACGTATTACACAAAGGGCTGTCGTGTGAGATGTTGGCACTTTAGGCAAAATTTTACCTGGTATGCTCTTCACATCCTCCCAAATCAGCAAGTAGCCTACTTTTTCATGTTTGGGATTTATACTTATTATACAGGACTAAAACTAGCACTTCCGCCAATGCCCTATCAATTGCAAGCCTCTAGCCAGTTTGTAATTTTTCTAAAAACTGCAAACGGAACTGAGTTTAGAAACAAGAATTTCCACTTGAAAACTGGTTATTTATGAGTGTCTAAACAAAGATAAAAAGGAATGAATCAGAAGATGCAATGTTGATAAAAGTGGTACAGTTTTTGAGAGTATTATGAATGATTTATATTTTTAATGCTTATTCGTAGCGCTCTCCTAGGATCATTCTCTCCAGCAGGCTCATCCCACTCAAGTAATGCCACAGCACTGCGGCATCTCCAATTGCCATCACGTCATCAGATTAACAATCCATTAAAATGTATTAGTTTAACATTCAAAACATTAATAACATCCTTACTTGATAATATAATTTAGTATTCCATAATATAATATATTTATTTGCTTCTAAATAGATGGCAAAACAACTTTAAAATATTAAATTATATTATATTAAATTAACTTAAATTAACCTTTTCAAAGCCTCAAATTATTAGTCAATATTAAGTAATTATTATAACAAAATATTTCATATGTTTGTAATCATAAAAAATGTGGAATGATTATTAAAGAATGGAACCCTGTTTTGGTTTGTGAATGTTTCGTTAATAAAAATACATTACAATTGAAATAATTTTTCACTACACACACACATATATATATCTGAGCTTATAAATTCATTGGTTCCTAATTATAAATCCGAAGTGATTTTATAGTTGCTAATGAATGAATGAATGACTACAGTCCCCTAAGAATAATAACAGAGTTACAAATTTATGGGTCTTAGTCTGGCTTAAAATAATAAGAAATACAAACTAATTAACTGCTGATTGTTATTGCAATTGTGCAGTAGATTGAAATTAAACAGTATACAGATGCAAACAATTTTACATGTTAGCGAAAGTTCGAATGTGGAGTAGGTGGTGGAACAGGAGTTGTTTGAAGGAATTTGTGGAAGAGGATTGTCGTATGGAGGTAGGAAAAGAGTTCCAAAAGGAGGTGTCACGAATGATGAAGAGTTTGCTGAAGGAAGTAGTTTTATGGTATCAATTTATCAAAATCAATTTTTTTATATATATATATATATATATATATATATAATAATCTATAGGTTGAGACTTGGTATTAAGAGATTGGATAGTGAAACGTAGAGTAAGGAGTTACAGGATGTGGGGAGGGTTTTTGGTTCTGAAGACTTGAAAAAGGAAAACACCAAGGAGGAATTGTGGTCGGGAAGTAGGATAAAGTAACTTCAACTCTGTGTACCTTACTGAAACATGTGAACGCCTGGGGATCCTGAAGATGTATATTATGAAACAGTTTATGAGTTTCTTCAGTCTCATTTCTAGCCTGGCAGAAATGGCCAAAAGCCTCCATACACCAAAAGGCGGTAGTCGAAATGGGGAGATATAAAGGAGGTTACAAGGAGCTGTCTGGTTTTTAGAGGAATACAATCATGGAATCTTAGGAATTGTATAAGGACAGTTATGGATTTTTGGGTAATTTGGGAGATATGGTTATTCACACAACTTTCACATATTACTTTACTTTAAACATTGTCTGGCGAAATTGGGATATTACTACAAGTTTTTGAAGTTGATTTGTAATGCAGCTAAATCTTAAAGAGCATATTTTGAATTGCAGTCATCTTAATCTGTGCAAAAGATCATTATGACCATAAAAATAATACAAATTCTATTCATTATATCAATGTTAGGCAATAATAAAAGTCATATATCTCCATCAGTCAATTTGAACCACATAAATCTAGCCTCTGAGTTCTATATATAAAGAGAGATTTGAAACTATATATATATATTTAATCTATAAATAAGTTATGATTGTACTACATTATAAAAATTGTAGAAATTAAATCTCTACATACATGTATTTAAACCAGAGCTTGAAACGGAAAAAAAACTTTAATTTTTAAAAAGTTTCTATATCACTGAAATTTTATTGTCAATAGTTTTCTAGTTCTTCTAGAACTAGAAAACTATTGACAATAAATTTTTGACATTGAATTTTTTTTCAAGCAAATTTTTAGATATGAGTTTTTATAAAACTTGTACTAAAAGTTATAAGTTTATGAAAAAAAGGTTCAATAATAACAGCTTCAACTCCTGATTTAAACTATCTTTTTTTTCCCTTTTAAAATTTACCAAAATACAGTTAGTAGGTTTTCAGTCATATAACCTTAGGAGATAACTGTAAAAGAGGCAATTAAAAACAAAGGTGCATTCTAAATAAACATAGGGGCAGGCTGAACAGTAAATTTTATTGATGCTCTGTTGGAAGCTTTTCAAATAAGGCTAATCTACATAATGGCACAAAAAATAATGAAGATAAGAACAATTAAATAAACTTACTAAAGACAAGATAGGTATTTGTAAAAGAAAAAAAGATTGTTTTTACTTAATTATTTTATAATTTATACAGACAAAATTAATTAGTTTAATACAGAAATTACAATATAAAGAATGTGGTAATATAAAACGCAATGTACTTCAGCACTTTTCAGTGGTGCTGTCTATTTCTAATATTAGAATTTAAATGCTTTTTTATAAATTGTTTAGACAGTTAAATAATACAAGATTTACAAATATAAATAAAAAATTAAGATAAATACCCTTCTGAAGAAATTCAAATTATAGCAATTATATAAATATATATTTCTATAATAATATGAATATCTATTACTAAGGCGGTAGTTTGAATAAAACAATTTGGAAGAAGAAAAAATCTTCTAGAATAAAAAAAAATATACATATATATAATTACTTCCAGCATTAAGTAAGTCACAGCCATCATAACACATATATGTTTTACATTTAGCATCTTTCCATTACAAATCTTTAATAATCAGTGAGCACACAAATCCATATTCAATATAGTTTCTAGATAGATTAATCAGTTTAAGAAATTATATTAGTTGAAATTAATAATGGTGCATCATTAAGTGAATATGTAATCATGAACTTGGTTGGAGGTGTTCACTGGGTAAGTGAAGATTTTTACATTACTGTATGTTTTCTCTCTTGACCTTAACCTCAACCAACTCCATGAAGAAATGTATTTGTCAGAATTTTGTAAGAACTATGCAAGAATACAATGATTTTGAAGTCCATGCATAAAAATGAAATTAACTAACTGATTTGAATTTGTTTAACTGCAGTAACATACATAATAAGTGATCAAAGTATTTCACTATGATACATATCTGTAAAGAGGATTTTTTCTGATCGATCAAATGATTAATATATTTATCTTTTGAGAATTTTGAGGTAATAACGCCGCTATCCATAATACAAATATAAACAATAGGTTACATTAAATTTTGACAAGGCTGCAAAATAAAAAGACAATTCATATATAAAAAAGTTAATTAAATATCTGAGAAACAAAATACTCACACCAGGTTGACATTCACAATCAGGCTAACAAACTTAATTAGACTAAATAGTTACAATAAAGGCATGTAAAAATAAAACAATCCATAACACCCTACTCTTTTTTCACAGTATTTTATTTTTTAAATCAAGATTGCATTAACTCAAATATATCTTCAAAGATATACACCAGATAGATGATAAAAATTAGTAGTATACCGTAATAGACTAAGTAATAAAAAGAAATAAATGTGGAAATAAAATGATACTTAATTTCTTTCTCTTCATTTTCCAGCACTTCTGTTTTTATAAATAAATTAAAGTATTGTATTCATTTAACATATTAATGAAGATAATATATAAACAAAGAGTCCTCCCATAAGTTCTGTTACAGAAAAAATTAAACACAGATTGACTATCGACAGAAAAATTTATTTTAAACTTTGGATTTTCGGGCAAGACTCAGTTCTTCCATACGAGGGTCAATATTTCAATGGAGGTTGTAGAAGAATATTCATTATAGTTTCAGAATAGCTCATGGAAAGTGAAGATTTAAATCCTCTAATATTTTTATTTTAGTGATGCCTGGAGTTAATAGTGGCGCAGGGTACAAACTGATGAGGAGAGCCTGAAAGTCCACAGGTGAAAGCATTTGACTATTTTTAACAAAATTTATTGTCTACTATAATAGAAGATTGCTTTCACAGACTTCAAGTTTGTCTACAAACCAGCAATGGTTCTTTTAAATAATTTAATTATCATTTAACCATTCATATGTGCAATATGGTATATGAATGAATTGCACTGTTAAAATTCAATCAGTATTAAGATTCAATTCATAGTTATATATTAATGTATATACATACATAAAACATTTAACTATGAACACAACTCTCAAATATTAACAATTTAGTAGATTTTAGACCCCAGATTTTGGTTTTTAAGACTATAAAAAATTAACTAAAAATTATATAACCTAACAAAAACAATGAATCTACAGGTATACATTATCCTTTAAGAAATCAATAGATTAAAACAAGAATATATTTTAACAATACTTTATCATAAGGATAAACATCATGTGCAATTTGTGCAATCTTTGTTCTATAAAAATACTATTATCTATAGTTATAGCTAAAAATAAATAGAATAATATACATCATTTAATTTCTAGATAATAAATATTTTTAAATGTTTAACAAATTTTATTTTTTTTCCAATTTACGAGTTTAATTGACAGCAATAAAATTAAAGAACTACATAGTCATGTTTAAAATATTAACAACTATAAAAACCTTTAAATCTAAAAGGTCATATTTATCTTTTCATTTATCTTTTCGTAAAAGTCTCAAATTTGACAATAGAAAAGAATAAACAAACATTTAAATCTTATGAGCATGTGTATTGGTTAACACACACACACAAAAACTTAAATAAAATTTAACATCATAGTACTTATTTTTCTACATATATACATTAAAATTTTAGTCTTTTAAATATTTTGATTTATAAAAGATATTATTTCAAAATAAAGATTTAGTTTATTCTGAGAACAAAAATTATTTATTCATGATAACAAATTAATGTGAACAATGGATTTAAAATGTTTTAATTAAATTAAAAACTATGGTGAAATAATTGTTTCATAAATACTAACATCAAATAACAACTTCCTTACTTACAACCATCATGAAGTAATATAGTCTTCAAAACTGAATACTGAAAGTAAATGGTAAAGTAACAACTGATTTAAATACTTTAAATAATAATAAAAAAATTGAAGACATCTTTTAAATTTACCCACCAGCACATGTAATTGTTCTATGGGATTCACTTTTCTTTCTACCTTCTATTTGTTCTTTAGGTTTTCCAGATAGTATAGAACTTAATTTTTTTCTTCAAAAAATAGTATTTCAAGGAGAGACCATAATCCATGAATCTATGGATGTAATTCTGAGAGAGAATACAGGTTTAACTTTGTTGAAAAGTAGAATAGAGAGGCAAAATTTATATAAATTTAAATAACATTTTTGAATTGGTTTGATAAATACAACAATTTGAAAATTCACTTTTTCACTCCTTAAAAATTAAAATTTAAGAGTAAAATAGTTTTTAAATTGATAAAAAATCAACAAAAAATTTGCTTCAATCTATGAAACACATAGATGCCATGTATGTACCTACAAGATTAAAGGGAATATAAAACCTCTTAAATGTAAGGTGATACTATAAAGCACATTTAGTAAACTCCTTCGTTAGGTGCGCTAAAATGTGTATTTAAACAAGTTCGGAATGTTTTTACAATGATTGGTAAGTAAATTCTGACCAGTTTTTGTGGAAGCAAAAAATAGGAATGAGATCTTTTCAATAATATCCATGAGTTCTTTCATTTATACTGCATTGAGGGCCAGTATTCCATCAGTAATAAGTGATTCAACTACATTTATAATGTAATGAAATGATCTTGTGAATAAGATCAATTTATAAGTATTTAGTGATATAACTATAAAGAGTGGAATGTTATTAAAACTCAAAATTAAACATGGTTAAAATATTTTAATATGGTACCATTTGTAGTTTCATTCACTCTTTAACTGTCTTTGCTTGTTCAATTAATTCCAAACATTTGATTTTTAAATTTATAGTTTTATTAAGCTCAGTCCATTTTTACTTCAAGGCCAATGGCAATTACAACCATTATCTCATATGTCAATGTTCATTATTATACATTGTTTTATGTAACAATGCTTGACTAATTTTTGTAATAGTATGTACAATTATAGGCCTTACAATTAATAGTTAAATTAACGTCAATTAAACAGTGCGAAATGACTACATCATAAAAATAAAACAAAATTACAAGTTCTAAAAAATTCAAATAGAAAAATGGATTTATTTTAATGATAAAAATATTAATACTGGTCTTCATATTTTAACTAAAGGTACACTGAGGAGATCATATTCATAAATGCTCCTTAGGATGATTTGTTATATTCAATGTCTTCTAATATCTTCTTTTTGTGCCTGTAGTAAGCTTGCAGCCTCACTTCACCGAAGCTCTGAAAAGACCATATTTACAAATTTACTCTAACAAGTAGCATTTTATTAAATTTCTTTTGAATGGATTATAGGTCTGATCATCGGATTGGAAATGAAAGTGATCAACTGACTTTGTTATCGTTCCTGAACCAAATCAGCAATTCTTTATTGACGGAAGTGTGAAATTATCAATAATTATTAGTTATTTATTAAATATTTATAATTTCACAATTATCAATACTGAAGTGTGAATTTGGTTTAGACATGCGGTAGATAGCAAACAAATTCATATTTGTAAAAATTTCAGTTGATCACTTGATCTCCAACTTGACTATATTCACCCAACCCAACTATGGCAGGAAAGACATGTCACTAACTAATCCTAGCCAGAATGAGAAAATTGAGACTCATTCCTTGTGGATTTTACAAAATAAAAGTAAACCTTCAAAGGCCAGAAAGAAATTGATTATTTATTTAATCTAAAACTCATTGACATACATGAAAACTCTTACCCAATAATCAAAACAAATTTCAGAGTCAGCAGAATTCACAACACTCCATAGAACCCAAAAAAAGTGACACATCAATGTGAAAGCTTCTATTTCCTTCATTATACAATCTAAATCATCTTCTGGTTGAGGCTTATATTCAGGATATTTCTTCAGTGCTTGTAAATAACTTTTTACAAAGTGTTCCTAAAATGGCAGTCAAAATTTACATTCAAGCAGACAATGCATTAAATTTATAAAAATACAATTAAATTCAGGGCAGAAAATCCATATTAAAATACTGTATGGGATAGGTAAAGAGGAGAAGAATATCTTACAATCGATGGGTTCAAAGTTGAGTGAAATTATAAACATAAGTTGCCTAGTATTTTTTTCTTTTTTTTTAATGTTATTCTCTATTAGATAGTGTATCTCAAACTTTTATAGCGAGGATGCTTCTACTTGAATTATAAAGGTGACTATGATCTTTAAGGTGTTCAAATTTTGTCTGTTAAGAAAAAAATAACTGTTTTAGTTATTAATTCCTTTATTTGTGGTAATATCTAGAAATATGACTGCAGGTAACTCTGCATCAGAAATTGAGAATACTTTGCTCCAGCAAATGTGCCTTCACTAAAGTTGTTAATTATGCCGATACGTTTGTTGACTGATCTTTTTAATTTTTGAACATCCTTGCAATATCATAGTAAATATAATAGTGATTTCCAACTAATTACAAAAAATATGGATTTTATTTGTTGGGGAATTATATTAAATAAAAATTTATTTTTTGAATTTTTTTTTATAGTTAATTTTAATGAAAAATGTTTATTAAGTTTGAAAAAAGAAACATAGACCTTTCTCAAAGAATACTTAAACATTTTTTTTTTTATTATGTTTATATATAATATGTGTATAATTTATTATGCCATTCGCTTCCAAGGCGGTCAGGGATATTGACATAATAATTCTGCTCTTGTTGCCAGAACATTTATTGTTCTATTGTGGTTAAACAAATTATTCGGGAAAAACTGCATAAATTCTAAAACTTGATTCTGCCATTCCATAAATTTTATGAAAATTGCTTAAATCTCTCATTAAATTGATGTACCTATCAATCAAATCTGAAATAGATACCTAATCTATAGTGACAAGTAGTATGTGAAAAAGACAGTAATTTTTGTTACAAACTTAATTACTTTTAAGGTTATTATCGGAAAAATATCCAGACTTTGTTTACATACTGGCATTTAACTAATAAATAAGACTTTTTAAAATAAAAATACAAAATTTGGCATAGATTTTTCAAACTTTATCATCCAATTTTCCATCAATAATAATAATAATAATATATAAAATATGTTTAATGTTATAAAGATTTACCTTTTGTTTAATGTCTGCCTGATTACTTTCCATTTCCCAAAAATAAGGTGGTTCTTCATTATTGTAATCATACACCCATTCGCAAAAGTGATTTGCAAAATCAAAACCACGGTAATTATAAGAACAATATTCAAAATCTATTACAACAAGGCTTTCGCTTGTTAAATTTTCATAATCAGGTTCAAAGTCAGTTGTACCAGTCATTGATTTTTTCCTATTATCAGTAATACTTTTATTTCTCAGAAGAATATTTCCTTTCTGAAGATCATTATGACAAAAAACCACTGGAGATTTCACATTTGTTAAATAATCTCTGGAAAAATGATTGGGTAATTTAAAAACAAAAAGGGCCAAGTAATGTATTTTTAATTTCTTTTAACTTGCAGTTTAACAAGCTGTTCGGTACTTACTTCAACCAAAGATATTCTTCATATAAATTGACTTGTTGCAATGTATTTATCATATCTCTTACACTTTCTTCTACTTCATTTGATGAAATAATATCATTGATCTGTCTTATCCATCTACAATAAAATGATAATCTAAAATTATAATAATACAAAAATATAATCATAAGAGTTTCTGACATAACTGAAGTAATAGGTACACATTTCTTCTTTTTTCTAGATCATTTAGGTTTAAAGTCTCTTTTGGAGGAATAGATTTGGATAATATGAGATTCAATTTGCAATATATTAAATACTGAACCTGTTACCAAAAAGTGTTTAGCTAAAAGAGGAACGTAAAAGAACTAAAAGATTCAGAGGATGTTATATCAAAGACAGATAAGATAAAAATACAAGAATTTTAATTATAATATCATCAATTTTGTTTGGAGAATATTATTTTTCTAGTTAAAGGAAAAAAAAAAGAAAGTGTATTAAGAAAGAAAAAAACTTGAGAGGACCTTTCTGTGGTTTGCCATAGCCATTTTGGTTGTTTATTGATTGGTACATCCATTAGATGAATTTGTGCCACTTTATCAGCTATCAAAGAACTTACAGTGGCATCTACAAATTCCTGTGAAGTTAGGGGTCGAGCCTGGAAGTAATAATAATTATAAAATGTTAGTTTCAATGATACAAACGGAAATACTAAACAAATTAAAATGTAATATAAATTATAATAGATCAAACATTTGAGATTAGGTGATTTGAGCATTTGAGTTAAAGTAATCAAAACCTTTCCACCACCATCAAAGAAAAAATGAATATATATAAAATCAAATAATGAAAACTAAGCCAATTATTTTTAATCTGGTTAAAAATAAATGATTATACTACCGCTTTCAGTATAAAAAAAAAAAAATGGTTTAGTACTAACGTCAGGCTTAATAAATACCTATAGTAGAGTCAGTCATATAAAATGACTCTGACATTTTGAATAAGAAGTCTTAAGATTGTCATCATAGGCCCCAACCCCAAATTGTCATCACAAACTAGTAATAACAACCCAAGTGAAATAATGAATTATCAGTTCAGTGAAATAAAATATTAGACAACATTCGATAATGAAATTGATTTTCAAAAAGTATTTCAGACTTAATATTATTAAAAACTTTAAATTTCAAAAATGTTTACTAATTCATTAGAACAATGTTTCAAACCAGTAGAACATCTTCAAGTTTCTAATTTTATATTTTCCAGTCCCATTAATGGAATATAACAAAATTATCCAATTTGTTTAAAACTTTCATCTTCATTTCTTATGCTTTTTCAAAATTATATTATTTAATCTACATGGTTTTAAATTCTAGCTGTGTACTCTTTTATTGGAAACTTGTCTTAATATTAAATTTTCAGAAGAAACATCCGATCGTTTTTTAAAGAAAATTCTTATATTTTTATGGTGGTAATGCATATGATTTTTTTTTTTTTCCTAATGAATTATTCTAGATGAATCAATTTCAATTTGTTTCGTTTTTCAAAAGTATATGGTTTATTTATGCTTTTGTAATGTATATGTAACTATATTTATGTTGTTATACTTTTTGATATATTGTTCTGAATTACCAAATTAAATTTTACATTACAAATTCAGGAATATAGAAAGGTTTTTTGATCACATAAATAATAACGTAAAAAAAGAAAGTACGAATTAAATTTTATTCTAGAAAGAAAAGGAAGGAAATTTTACACGCAACTAGTGTGTATGGTGCCTGTGAAAAAATATAAGAAAGGTCTTGTTTTTTAGGCTTGTAGAACACATTTGTAGAAGTCCTCCCTCTCCCCCCCCCCACAACTATGTTTCTACAGGTTTGAGAAGGTTTGGGCCTAAAGTGATTGCCCTAGCCCATGTATACTACCATCCACTCACAAATTATTAACAGATACTGATTTTTCACTCTGCGATCAATCGATAAACCCTATAATTAAACAGAATGTGTCGCTGATTTCACTGAACACAAATGACCCCATCTCAGCTTTTCCAAAAAAAAAAAATAAATAAATAATAATAAATGTTATTATTTTCAAATTATAAAATATTTTCACATTTTAATTACTTTATATTTGATTGGTATCCTTAAAATACAATTAGCAAGAATTTTGTTTATGAGAAAATCAACAATTAAATCTAAAAGTTTGGCACTTCACTAAAAGTGGTACATTCAGCCATTGATGGGGTTTGGAAAATATTAACAAATACTGATTTTTCACTTTGCGATCACCCGATAAATGCTATAATTAAACAGAACGTGTCACTTAATAAGATTTGAAATTTGAGGATGAGTGAATTGGCTTGTAATGTGGCTCTTATAAAATAAACATTTTTTTAAGTTTGAAGGATTGAATATTCCTTGGAATTTATAAGGTACAACTAATGATAAAGTATTTAATATTATATTCTATAAAAATGTTTACTTCTCTAACCTCAATATATTCTTCCAAGCGACCTCCTGGGAAGACTCCATATAATCTTGGCCCTCGTTGACTTTCAGACAACAGAGTAAAAATTACACTTTCTGTTACTAATGTCTCCATAGCTCTATCATGATTCATGTTGCCATAAAGTCGAAGAAGCAAGCGATTTGGCTCACCTGAAATGCTTTCTGTTCCCTCTGGAAGTGCACAGAAATATAGAAAATTGCTGAGGCCTCCACTAAAAACAAGTAAGAATTTTATTAAATATTTTGCATAATCCAGTAGAAATGAATGTATAAACTAAACTTACAAATAGTCCATAAATTAAGTTGGTAATTAGGAAGCACAATAGAAGATTTACCTCTTGGAAATCAATTATCAAAAACTTTGTTTGAAGTAATTTTATTTGTGGGCACCAATTATAGATTATGCTTACAAGTAGTAGTAAATTTGAAAAAAAAAATGCAATTTTACCCTAGTTAATCAATAAAGGTGATAATTAGTAGCTAGGTATAATAATTGATAAAATTAATCTAAAGTAAACTACTTTTATAAGTCATACCTACAATTTTGTCTAAACATACCTTTAATAATATATTGACAACAAACCAGAATAAATAATTTTTAAAATGAAAGAAGAAGTATAAGTTAATAATTAATTGTTGATATTGTAATGTTAAAAAACATTTAAGAATGACATATTACATCAGAAAAGTGATGTGTTCCCTTCATGAACAAGGCACTAAAATAATTTCAAGGAAAGAAAACGTATTCTAGACCTGTTCGGGCTATGGTGAATAGCCATTTAAAAAAAAAAATGTATTATCTATATTAAAACAAAATATTAAATCATCTTTCATCCACTTAACAACGCCAAGTTTTAATTAAATCACCTCCTTTGCAACCCTCACTGAAAGCTTAAAATGGAATCCATTGTGTATACCAAAAAAGTAAAAGTTTGTAACAGTTATATAGGCAACAGTTATTGCATATACATTACAAGTGATATTTCCATTTTCCACATTCAATTGAAATTATAGGTAATTAAATTAAGAACACCAGGAACGATTGATAGAATATATCATTGGTCAAAAAAAAAAAAAAGCTTTAATGAGTTGTTGTTACACCTCTTTAAATATAAATTCATTTTCAATTACCAGAACTATTCAATTTAGCGATATAATAATTTTATAAATTGTTTCTCTATTTTTTAAGCGAAATCTTAATACAATATGGTAATATGGTAACAAGCCTTGTCACTAAGAATTAGAATAGAAAAGATGAATTAGATTACACACCTGACTTTACTGAAGATCATGTCTTGGGGTGAGATTGAAAGCCAGGCACCCCCGAGGTGGTCCTTGCACAATCGAAATGCCTTATCCCTGATGGCTGCCAAGGAGTTCTTCTCACTTTCGTTTTCTTTTGGCCATTCCTCTTGAGTGCATCCTCGCGACACTTCCAGCATATTAACACTTCTATCACTGCCTAAAATACCAGTATATATATCATAAAAAAACATATTATTAAACAAACTTCTTTATTTTAGTAATCTATTTGTTAATCTAACCACAATAAACTTTGGTAATAAACTTTTAAATATTTCAATGTCATAAAATTCTTGGTATAGTAAACAGCTGCATAGCAATAAATGGTAGCTGATACTAACAAGAACAAATATTAGTGAGGCAGTAAACAATTTTTTTTAAAGTTAGCTTTAAAAAAACTTTATCTTGAGCTAGAGGAAAATAACTCTTGAAGAAAGATAATTACGTCTTTTGAGGCAGGCTGTTCCCACATAGCATAGTACACTCTTCGAGCTAACAAACAAGGAAAATATATCTTTCATTTCTTTTACAGTGAGAAGAACATACACAAAACTTCAAATAATATTTTTGATGCATCCAATATTAATATTAATAAGGAAGTTATATATTTTTCAAATTATAAACATATCCCTTTTGACAAACAAAAACTCAATATCTCTAAGAGAAACTTCATCATCTTAGACAGAATTGATCATTTTGCATAATAAACAAACAAAATTTCATATCAACAAATAAATAGACATTTAGAACAAAGATGAAACCAATGATCAATTACAGAATATTGATAAATGCAAACATCTATTGAAATGTGAATGATAAAGGAAATCTGGAAAACATTGATTTTTGCCATTATCATTTCTAAATAAGTGATTTACACAAGCAATCTGCACTCTGTATTACAGCTGAGCAGATCTCTCACTTGGATCCTCTTTAATGGGCTGAACAGCATTGCATTGAATAGATTACTAAAACTGACTAAATTCTATCCAGTAACATTAGCATTTTGTTTTAATAAAAACAGTTTGTAAATCAGCCATTATTAATAACAAAAAAGGTATCAAAAACATGCATAGCGGTACTTGAACAAAATATATCCACACACCAATAACGGAATACATAATTTGGAAATTTGGAGCAATATTCTGCTTTTTAAATTTAATTTATTCTTTACTTTAGATAGATTATTAAAACTTTTTAATTTCTGGAATGTGCTATCAAAGCTATTTGTGCATCTTAAAATAGTACCTGATTTTTATTTTTTTTTTATACGATGGTTATTTTAACTTCAGAGAGAAAATTTTACATATTTTAAAAGTATCTATGCTCAATTACATTTAATGTAGCATCTTAATATATTGATACAATACACGGGCGGATCTACAGGAGGGAGGGGGGAGGGGAGAGGGGCCTTTCCGGCTAAAGCCTCCCCCAAAATGATAAATTATAACCATGTTTTATCGGAAAAAATATTAAAAAATTATCTCTTAAAGTATAATTATTCGTGTAATTACATTTAAAAGGGCTTTAGGAATCACTTAAACACCAGTTCATATAGGTACTTAGTTTCTTTCTTATTTTCCAAAGTAATTATCGTTACTTTTATGGAAAAACACTTTCGGGCTGAAGCCCCCCCAAAATTAAATCCTGGATCCGCTAGTGATACAATGTGGATTGAACACAGAGTACTGAGACAAATTTATCACAGGAGACATCCTGAACAAAAGTATAGTTGTAGATGAACTGAGCAGGTCCTTTCATAAATCAATAACAGGAGTTTTTGATCAGATTTAAAACATGTGAGAATGAGCAACAAAACTAAAGCTTTACACAGTAAAAATATACCAAAGGTGACATTAACAGATCCAGTATGTTTTTTAGTAATCTTAACTATAGGAAAAATAATGCTTTTAGGGATAAAATGTTTATATTTTTTTCTTGACATGTGCTTACTTATAGTAGCTGAAGTAATATGTTATATAATTAAAAAAGGAGAACATGTTGTGATTGTTTATGTATTTGCCATAAATCATTCATAGAAACAAATAATCACTCAATGAAAAACAAAATTGTCTATTTTGTTTGGGGCGGGAAGGGGAGTGATGGAGGGGCTTCAGCCTGCAATTTGCTCTTCGAAATAAAATCTGTTCTGAATATAGAACTTTTCCGGGTATTACGATGAAAATTCCACCTGTCTAGCTATGGTGTGCAGGGAGATAAATAAAAAAAAATACATTTGCCTGATTTCTGGTTGATAATTTAAAATTATAAAGATAGTAATAATTTAGTTGACGTTCAAATTTAAACTATATCTACTGTGGCCATGTCAATATTTTCAATTAAAGTTAAATTCTTTCAAAAAAATATTCTATAAAACTTTGTATTTTATAAAATTAAAAAAAGATAAATTTAAACTTAAAGAAAAAAAATGAATTTAAATTTTATTAAAAAATTAAAACTAAAATAAAGAAATCATTGCCACAGATCATTCATTCTGCAGAAATCATACCATCAATCAACAAAAGAAAGTAGAGGGTAGGCATTACTACAGATGGGATCCTAACTTCTGACCGTAAGTTATTTGTAGATTTGTGATAAAAATCTGAGTATTTTTTTTTTATGTATGAGAAATATCGTTTACTGACTTATGCTTTATAAAATCAAGCTATGATCCATAAGAAAGCAACAGTTACCATAAAGGTCAATCAATCTTTTTTTTTTCGTCCTCGCCTTTTAGGGGTTTCCCGAACCAGGGGGCCAGTTAATAGGCCCTCCTTGGCACCCGAACGTATTATTTTACCAGATTATCTTCTAGCCAGTTTGCCAGACAATCAACGTCAATCAATATGTAAAAAGTGTCCAATTTTCGTATCAGTGAAAGAAAGTTAACGACACACAAACTTTCAAGAAGTGTACAATGAGGGCAAGTTCCTACACTCAGCGCTGAGCTCATCGATGGCATTGTTTAGTCTAGTTAAAAGATAGATCCGATGTCATCGATAAGCTTAGCTTGAATTTAAAGACCTGCCTTTATTCTTGAGATTTCAACCGCCTTAAATTTAGATTATATAGGCTCTTTTCATGATTACCCAAGAGAACACGACCAAGCACATCTGATTAATCGAATAACATCGGAAATATTTGTAAAAAAAAAAAAAATAAATAAGGAAACGTCACTAAGTACATACTGACTTGATAGACAGGTATTCATTTTAAAACTAAATGAAGCAAGGAAGCATTTGCTTTTAACCAACAGTAGCACCTTTCTCCGAAAATTCTACTAATTTTAATATTTTCTGAATAAGAATTTCGCTCGCTACCTCCCACAATAAAAAAAAATCATATTATTTTAAAAAGACGTGGATATAACCGGTAATGAACAAGCATATCATTCTAATCTTAACGGCGTTGAATATATTTGGCATGCTCTCTAGCTAGTTTTTCTCTACACTATAAAAAGTACATTTCTTCAAATCTTGTTCACAGCCAATTGTCATTAAATGGTTTGGAGGGGTTCGTGGTTTGATGAAAGAGCACAATACAGGACTAACAACTTCAAAATTAGCATGAATAAAATGTCTTTAGAACATTAATTTAAACTTGTCTTCTAGTGCCGGATATCTCCCATACATAACAAGAAATTTCATTTGTGCTGAAGTTAAAGGATCGAGAACAAACCACTCGTAAGTAATTTTCTTGGTCCTCTTCGGTATTTTTGGGATACAGTGCCTTTCACTAGCGGATCCAGTGTTAAATTTTGGGGAAGTTGAGCCCGATAGTTTTTTTTTTTGTTTTCATATATATAAAGATAATTTGGCAGAAAACAAGGAGGAGGAGACAGAATAGTGCACTTGAGTGGAGTCCCATTGGAACAAGTGAAAACTTTCAAATACCTCGGTGCCCACATCAATGGACATGGATGGACCGACGGAGAAATAAAGGAAAGAGTGAAGTCTGCAGGAAGGTGCTTCAACGCCATCAAGCAAGGATTCTTGAACAAGAGAGAAGTGAGTAAAGAGGCCAAAACGACCGTGTACAAAAATACTTTCCTCCCAATAATGACCTACTCCAGCGAGTCATGGACCCTCACCACAAAGCACATCAGCCAGATTCAGGCCATGGAGATGCGATTCCTCCGCAGGGTCGAAGGAAAAACAAAGAGAGATCGCATAAGAAACTCCATAATACGGAAAAATTTAAACGTAAGAGCAGCCGAAACGGTGATGGAGGAAAATCGTTTGAGATGGTTTGGTCATGTCTCTCGAATGCCAGAGAATCGATTGGCCAGGATAGCGTTGGAAAGCAAAGTTGAGGGAAGAAGACCTCAGGGAAGGCCCAGGAAGACCTGGGAGGCTAGTGTCAAGGAGGCCTTTGACAGAAGGGATATTGACTGGAGGAGGCGGCAGTGGCTCAGGATCGAGAGTTGTGGATTCGGCTTTACATGATTAAGAAGAAGAAGAAGATAAAGATAATTAATTTGAAAAAAAAAAACTAACTAGCTATATGGAATAGTGTTTAAGTGATATTTAAAGTCCCATTAAATGTAATTAATTTCACGCACATTAATACTTTAAGAGATAATTTTTAATTATTTTTTCCTTAAAACAGGTTTACATTTTCAGCCCGAAAGCCCTCCCCTCTCCCGTAGATACACCTGTGGTGCCTTTAAATAAATGATTCTTTTTTTCTTTTTTGTGAACTTGTAAGAATATTATTTCTGAGAAGGGTTATCTCGGTTATCAAGGTTGTCAACTAATAAACTCAAGAACAACGCCATAAAGTATGCCATTAGCTTCATGGCTGGTTTCCCATGAGTAAATGATGTGCTTTTTTTTTCTATTTCACTTTTTTATGATGTTTTCCGATGCGAAGTCATCAGTTTAAAGAACAACAAACTTTACTCAAAGAATCAAAGAAATGCCTTATTCTGCTTAAATCAATTGGTTTGACGCATTTGTACATAAAAGTTCTTTTTATGACGAATCATTTAGTTTTCAGAAAGTTTAGAGGAAAATCTGGAGATTGTAGGATTGAGGGTTGGGAAGAAGTAGGGTTAAATATCTTCTCCTCCAGTAGGGCTGTTTCCCACCTCCTCGACTGTCGTATAACCAACCTTTAGCAGACATGTAACCAACTTTGACAAGAAAGTGGCTCTTTTTTTCA